TCTTCAAAATATGAAAGGGTTGAAAAAGTATTATTTAACTATTTTTTAAGAGCTCAATCGGGATAGCCCTCGGATTATTATGTGTTTTTACGCTTCATTCTGTAACATTTTACTGTAAATTTTTATCATGTTATCTTCAGGTTATTGTATTTATGAGGTTGCCGTAAACGCATATTTTACACACGGTTTAGCCCTATCGGCCACCCCATCCTCAATCCACCCCATCCTCCAAAGAGGTTTAATTATAAATTTTCATTACTTTTATTTTTTGTATTTCTTTTTCAAAGATTTCTAGGTAGGAGCCACTGCTTATGCCTTCCCGAAGATACTTGTATGTGAAATATTGTTTTTCAAGTTTAAAAAAATATATTTCATTACGATTAATTGATTAAAAATGATTTTCCTTAGATGAAACCTTTTAAGTCAGCTGTAAGTATTTAACTGTCTTCGAAGTAGGACAGACATCAAGGACGTCAACTTCTCAAAGTACCTATCATTGGCTAAACTTTGATGGGTTCCTGAATAAAGTGAAAGCAAGTTACAGAAGAATTTCTACTAATTATGAAGTTTTAAAGAATACCCCCATTAAATCTACTTTAATAGCTAAAAATATAAAATAAACACCCTCAATATTTTAATATATATATCGCCTTCATTTACGAGTAACTGCAAGGGCGGATCTACGGGAGGGAGGCTTTGGGGCTGAAGTCCCTCCCCCCCCCCCCCAAAATGGTAAAATATAACCATGTTTTATGAAAAAAAATTATCTATGTAAGTATTTATGTACAACTATTTATGTGCATCATTAATGTTATTTATTATTAACATTTATTATTTAATATATACATTATGGATGGTTTTATTTCTAAAAAAGTAGGGAGCATTGGAGATTTTACGGAGGATTTTGGATTGTAAGAATTGGATACGAGAGGAATTCAATGGTATAGTGGAGCCCCATAGCTCAACTCCTTAAGTCCAAATAGGCCTTATTATAGTCATGAGTCTTTTGTAATTAATTGGAAGTTTAGAGCGTTTGTCTAGTAAGTGCTGAAGTAATCGGAAACGTCGAGCGGTTTCTTGTCGTTTCAGTCTAGTATGAGTCAAAACAAATAAAAACATTTTTCATAATGCATTTCCCATTTCGATCTTCAAATTACTGGCCTGATATTCTTTAAATCAGCCGCCATTCTTAAAAGCTGCGGCTCTAGAACGGCAGACAAGTTTCTTTTTACTCAGAATAACGTACACTTTTGTAATTTACAATCAAACCTTCGCCTGCGATGAGGTTGATTTTTAGGTCCTGGCTCCAGGGCTATGGGGAAATCTTCAGGGGTGCTGGCCAAGCAGGCATCATCCATTATTTTCTTTTTCTTCATTAGTCTAACATAAGTATATCTAAATTAAATTTCAATTAGTATTTTTCTCAGAGATATTTAAAAGATCTAATGCTTCAGGAATTAATGTTTTTTTTTTTGCTATATTTGTATGGTTTTTTTTTTTTAAATGAAGGATAAATATAGATCAGAAGATTAATTCACTATATTGTTTATTTATTTACTTTTTCCCTCTGTTCAGTTTATTTATATACGTACGGAGTTGTTTTTTCTCTTTTGTACTTTTATTTTTAATAATACCAATTGAATCGATCGATTCCTAGTGAATTGTGATTCTTTCGTATGAATTGCTTGAGAGTACTTATACTGTTACATTCTATACGTTACCTTTGATATAGTACAGAGATCAAATTACGGCACCCTAAAGTAAATCTTATTACACAACAAAATTAAAAAAAAAAAATTTAATAAATCATGCAAAAACGAGATTCTTACAACATTTATTGCATGAATTGTTTCTCTTAGAAAGTTCATTTCCCAACAGAATTGTCCTCTACTGAATAAGATTTATTTTTTCACCATAAGCCCGCGGGACTTGGTAGAGGTCTCGATGTGGCTCGCGGGCCAAAACGTTTAGAGACCCCTGACAATAAGGAATCATAAAATTTTGACCATGCTCGTGCAACCCCGGCGATTCTCTATTTAATCTTCTGTGATTAATTGTCATATACTTCCACAGTTTATACCCACTTATTTTATATTAAAAGTAACAATGTAAAATGGTTCATTATTTTTAAATAAACAAAATTAAAGATACTTTAAAGAAAGAAATCTCGAACATTTGATATTTGAGTGAGTTCTGCTTTTACATTTCAATAAAAATGGCTGCCTAATATTAAGGATAACTTGATTTTATATTGATGTAAAGACTTATTAAATTCGTTGGAACTTTTTTTCAGAAAAAAATGTAAATCCGATTGTACAAAGTGCAACTTTCGGTGGTTCGTCGAAGGAATCCGGGTTTCGGAGGAACCCTAGTACGACTCGGAGAAGTGGGCCTTCGGAGGTAAACACTAGCACTATTATGACCCGTGGGGTACTAGAGGCTGTGTGGTAGTGAGAGGACACTTCGGATTCAGGAATGCGATTGTAAACTAATCACCCTGGGAAGGAGAAGCGGTCATTGCGTTAAGCCGTTTGGTAGGAAAGAAGGGGAATTTGAAGGTGTGCATTGTAGGAAACATGACTCGGGGGCACCAGGCGATAATAGGGTGTGACCTATTGGGACAGGTAGAGGCTAGAGTAAAGAACAGTAACGGGACCTGGAGTATCAAGCTAGGGGGGACACAAGAGATAAGAAGGCACGGATAGGAACAGTAAATGGAGTCGAGGACTGGAGAAAATCCATAAAAGCGGAATGTAAAGACATTTTCTTCAAAGAGGGAAAAATACTAGGCGTAAAAGTGAGGACAGTTCACGAGATACTATTGAAGCAAATGTGGATGACGTACGTAAAGGAGAGGAGATACCCACAAGCACTTAGACAGCACAACCGGAAGGAATTGGAAAGTCTAAAAAAGTAGGGTATAATAGTCAATAGCAATTCTCCATACAACAGTCCTTTGTGGACGATGAGAAAGAAGGGAGCGCCGGGCGAGCCAAAGAAAAGTATCGAGTAATTTGATTATCGGAATCTAAATGAAAATAGGATAGAAGAAAAATATCCGATCCTCAGATTTGAAGACATATTGGACAGGCTGAGTGGGGCGGTAATATTTAGTACGCAGGATCTTAAAACAGGGTATCACCAGATAAAAATGGCAAGGGCCAACATAAAACGGCATTTACATTCGAAAGGGAGCATCAAGAATTTAACTGTTTGCCGTTTGGACTAAAGAATGCTCTGATAACTTTTCAGCGCTTAATGGACGAATTCTTGAGGGGCTTGGACGAAACTGTATGCCAGGTCTATATGGACGTCTTGCTGGCAAGACGGAAATTGAGCACGTAGAACACTTACGAAACGTATTCGAGAGATTTCGCCGTTTTGGATTAAAACTATCCAGAGAAAAATCGTTATTGGGACAAGAGCGGATTCATTTTTTATGCCACACGATTTCCAAGGAAGGAATTATGTCGGACGCGGAGAAAGTAGAGCCTATTAGGCGAATGGCGGTCCCGCGAGATGTTAAGGGAATCAGGAGACTTTTCGGTATGCTTCATTATTATAGGAGGTTCCTGCCACAAATGGCGGAATATCTGGTTCCAATTAACAATCTACTAAAAAAAGGCGCTAAGATCATTTTAATACCGGTAATGGAACATAACATCAGAAAGTGTGTGGAAATATTACAAAAAGAACAGGTACTGGAGTTTCCAGACTTCATTCACAACAATTCATCCGGAACAATTCACTGTTACCACTGCTAGCGAGTATGCGCTGGGGGCAGTACCATCCCAGGATGGAGTAAGAGGGGAACATCCCATAGCATACGGGAGAAGATGTCTTACAGATGCAGAGAAGAGATGCAGTGCTTTCAAGAGGGAGCTTCTCCCGATAGTGTGGGCTATCGATCTTTTTATGCCTTAGGTGTTTGGAAGTTCTGGGTCCACACATATCACAGGCCCCTCCAATGGGTTGAGAAACTTAAAGAATCCTCCGCAAAGGTCATGAGATGGAAGGAATTCCTTAGCCAATACAACATTGAAATAGTTTACAAACCGGGAAAGGAGAATGTAGCGGCAGACTGGCTAGCAAGAGCCATTATGGTTAATGCAGTACAAGAGGACAGGTTCACGTGATGTATGCAGATTCTAAAGTGAATGGACACCTGATGGAGAGGAAGAGGATAGTACTGTAAATACCAAAAAAATAAATATTCAAATTGCTATTTTTTTAATGAATCAGAAACTTCAAATTCATTAAAATGTTACTTAATGACTTTGTAGCAATAAAACGGCGATATGTTGAATACAAGTGTTATAAGTCTTTTTTGGAAATTTTGTAGCAGGAATCACTTTGATGAGCTAATAATGTAATTAAGTAAGACACTCACAGTCTATCATGTAGCATGTATTAAATTTCAAGATTTTGAGAGGGTTCTTAACTAAAAAAATCTCTATGCGAGAAACTAAACCACTAGAAAAATATACGAGAAGGAGTTAGTCGGGGGTGCGGTCAGATAAATACTAAATTAAAATATAGTAATTATTTTATTTTTATTTTGCCGACGTTTCGACCCACTTTGCAGGTCGTCTTTAGGGCTACAAAAGATACAAAACTATATTTAATTTTTATTCTCAACATGTTTTGTATCTTTTGTAGCCCTGAAGACGACCTGCAAAGTGGGTCGAAACGTCGGCAAAATTAAAATAAAATAATTACTATATTTTAATTTAGTATTTATCTGACCGCATCCCCGACTAACTCCTCATATTATATCAACGGTCAACCATCTCTACATCATTAAAAAAATATACATTACATGTGAAATTTAATATTTTAAAAACAGGAAAGAGAAAATAAAAAATATAAATATAAATAATTTATTAGGTATTTGAATTTTTTATAAGAAATACAAGGCACTTATTGAAATATTAATTAATTGAACATCAAATCACTAAAATAAATTTATATTAATAAACTATTATTGTAATATTAAGTACAATCTATGTAATTATACCTTAATAAATAACATACAATACCAATTGATTGCTTGGTACAAAACATTATACACATAAAAAGGAATGTATATTAAAATATAACAGGCATCACATTTCATTAACAGTCTTAAAAGTTTTTATTGCTAACATTTTGTTAAATCTATGTGCTAGTAAAATTTCAATTAAAATTCATTAATATGATTTCCCTAAATTTACAATATAAATGATTTTGAGCTGGAAATTAATAACAATAGACAAAAATATTTTAATAACAGATGCTATATGAATTGTACATTTCAACTACATAATAGTTCTTTATCTTTTATTAAGAAAAATATAGAACATAATGGAAATGATTAGCACCAAACGTTAAATAAATTTGGATATTTCATTGAATTTGTATTCCCTAATAATTTTTATTCCCCCCCACCTTTAAAGTTCTTCCTTTACATTTTGGTTTCCTTTCGATGCAAGGCTCATTTTTTTCAAAAATGCAACAAACCCTGATCTCTGAAAAATATAAACAAAAATTATTACATTAATTTTTGATAAGGGTCAAATAAATCTAACTATTTATGAATTCTAAATAGTTCTATATAATAAAAACACAAGCACTTTAATTTAAACTTAGATATAACTGATAAAATATTACGTAGATGATAATTTAAAAGGTAAAATGAAAGATGATTCAAAACAAGAAGAATAAGAAAAATGAATATTTTTAATACTTTCTAAAACATTTATTTCTATTTTTATTTTAAATTACCATGGAAATATTTTTCATTACTCCCAATAGGTTCTGACCACTAATAGGACAGAAATTTGAAAAAATCATAATCATATACTTTTAGAATTCAAAGAGAAAAGTTTATTAATTACTTATCAACTGTCTTGTATAAAAAAAACCTATTTATATATTACCATATTAGTACAATACTTTAGGAATATATCGCTACTGTTAGTGCAAAAGGTTGTATGTAAAAATTTAGTTGTTTTATAGAAGAGCACATAAAAACCGATTATTTTTTTATGATTTATTAATATAATTTCATATTTTATTTTCTTATTTAGCAGACTATTTATAGCAGTTGCAGATAACAAACTGTCACCTTTAGCACAAAGAAAATAAACATGTAAAATTGTTACATATAACTTCTGTTCATTTATTCAAATTTTGGTGTCTTAAGGTTTTATTTTTTACATAAATTAGGCCAATTATCACCAAACATTTTATTGATACGCTATTTAATTCGACGTTTCGACCATACTAAGGGTCATTTTCAAGTCTTGATGAGTCTTCCACTGTTCCCATCACCTTTATGCCGATGATTCCCAAATTTACCTCTCCTTCACTCCCTCTGAGTGGCATGATGCGTTTGCCAAAATACAAGAAGACCTAAATCGAATCTGTGCCTGGGCAAATGAAAATAGATTAAGGTTAAACGCTGCTAAAACCCAAGCCATTGTCATTGGTTCCAAACCCCTTCTCAGATCCAATACCAACATTCCTCTCATCTACCTAACTGACCAACCCATCACCTTCAACTCTTCAGTTAAAAACTTAGGTATTTTCATAGATCAAACCCTCTCCTGGAACCACCATATTTCCCAAATATCCCGACGCTCAATTTCCACCCTGAAACTCTTCCATCGCTTCCGCCATCTCCTACCCATGTCCACACGTAGACTCCTAGTATCTGCCCTCATCTTCCCCCACCTGGACTACGGCTGCGTAGTGTAGGGTGGCCTCTAATTGGAACTTGGAGACAGATTGAAAAGAATCATGAATGGCTTAGTAAGATTTGTCGAATCAACCCAGAGACGTTCTCGTGTATCTCACTACTACGCCGAGTTAGGGTGGCTCTTCCCCTCCTTCAAAAGACAATATTTCCTTGGTACATTCCTCTACCAAATAATCCATAATCATTGTCCGTCCTACGCATTCAATCTCCTTCAATTCAAGTCATCTATCCACTCCCTCTCCACAAGATCTCGTCCTTCTGACCTTTATACCCCTTTCCACAAATCTGCCTCCTTTCAACACTCTTTTATTGTCCGCTCCACTACCTTTTGGAATTCCATCCCACTTAAAATCCACCATGCACCATCCCTATCCATATTTAAAACCCTCCTATTCCAATTTCTCCTTACAATTCAATCAGAAGGTGGGTAGCCATTTATCATGTAACAAAATTGCATTTTTCTCTATTTATCATTAGTAAATAAATATACATTCTTTTTTGAGCATGGAAAAGATGTCTAGTCACGTTCTGTAATGTAAATGTAATAAGGTAAATACTTCTGCTATCACTTAGTTTTTAGTTATTTTTTTTATTGTAATATGTATTTTGGCCAGATGGAATGTTAATTTTTATGTACAAAATTGTTATTCTTAAGGGACTTTGTCCCAGAATAAAGTTGATTCTTCTTCTTCTTTTTCTTCCGTTATATATTCATCATTAATGTCGCAAATAATATGTTCAGTGAACTAACCTACGTAATTTTCACCTCCAGAAATGACGTAAGTGAAACCCCTATAGATCATGACAATTTATTGTTCATTTAACATATTATTTGCAACATTTATGATGAATATATAACGGAGGACTCATCAAGACTTGAAAATGACCCTTAGTATGGTCGAAACGTCGAATTAAACAGCGCATCAATAAAATGTTTGGTGATAATTGGCCTAATTTATGTAAAAAAAAATAAAGTTATATATAACCTTTTTGCGCTAACATTAGCGATGTGCCTTCACCTTACCTTCCGTTCACCTGAATAATCAATGTTACTTTCTCTATTATAATAACTATAGTATTTGATTGTAGGATAACCGGTCACCCCGACCGTTTGACATAGTGAAGAATGTTTAGTACAATCTACAGCAGCAAAAGCCATTTTAGGGTCATCTTTGACCTGTTCAGCAGCATCCTGAAACTCGGGTTTTGCCATTTTACAGTGACCACACCCTGAAATTTTTAATATAATATTTGATTGATAAGGTGTAAGAAAGTTTTTGATTTCAGAAAAATAAATAACATACTTTTCTGACACTTTAGTTAATAATCCACAATGCTTATCTGTATCAAGTACTGGTGACAAAATATACATAATAATAAAGCTATTTTTTTAGTATTACGGAACACACATAAAATGAGAAATGGAAAACTTTGAACCTTCACTGAGATATATGTCGTGGTACTCTGTAAAATATTCTAATGTATTACTATTTTTAGCTGATATCAAAGGGTGTTAGATACAAACTAAACACTTAGATAGTCACGAAAATCCCAGCCTCAATATCAGTAACTTATGGTTTGGCACTATCCATTAAAAAGCCATAAAAACCAACAGCCAAGAATGAATATAATTTTCTTGATTTTACTGTTTTATATGATATATATATATATATATATATATATATATATATATATATATATATATATATAATACTCCATACACTTTTTAATGATTTTGTTGTATTTTTTAGATAACTAGTTTTATTAAGATTGAATAAAGAAAATTCTTAACTAAAAGAAAATTTAGTTATTTGAAATAAAACACTCTCACTGAATTTCCACTGGGTTTAGCCCCAGTGATGGGGTTGAGAGAGTAGTGCAGGAGTCTCCTGGAGTCATGCTTTTCCCTACACAGTTGGAGGGACAAGTCTGGCTCGGAGTTCCCTCGCCTGATTGTAAATAGTGTATATAGGTATGTATTTTTTTTTTTTTTTTTTTTTTTATTATATATTGTATATATTTTTTTCTGAATAATTTATTTTTAGTTATTATACATAGAGTGTGAATGTTATCTCTGAACACTATTATAAATGTCCTTTGAGACAGATTGTAATTTTTTTCAATAAACAAGTTTAATATTTCAAATAACTTTTTTTTTTAACTTGTTTATTGAAAAAAAAAACACAAACACTTTAATTTAACCTTAGATAAGATGTTACATAGATGATAATTTAAAAGGTAAAATGAATGATGATTCAAAACAAGAAGAATAAGAAAAATGAATATTTTTAATACTTTCTAAAACATTTATTTCTATTTTTATTTTAAATTACCACAGAAACATTTTTCTTTACTCCCAATAGTTTGCTGACCACCAATAGGGCAGACATTTGAAAAAATCATGATCATATACTTTTATAATTCAAAGAGAAAAGTTAATTAATTACTCATTAACTGTCTTATATAAAAAAGCCTATTTATATATTACCATATTAGTACAATACTTTAGGAATATATCGCTACTGTTAGTGCAAAAGGTTGTATAATCGTATAAGTATTCCAAATCTTTTTGTTTAAAAGTATTAATAGGGTAATATTAATACTAGCATTGACTATAGAGAGGTCCAACAGTAAATAAATACCAAAAAAGTCTTTAAATAACCATATTATAATCAGTATAACTTATTTGGATATCAACCTACTGTTTGAAGAGGACTACTAAAATTGGTTTCAGTAAAAAATAAAATATGAATAGCAAAATAATCCATTTATATAACATTCATCTTCATTTTTATATCCAAAAAGGTAATAAATAATTTTTTTCAGGCAAGAAACAAATAATGTTTTTTTTTTTGAAGTCTTAAAGTAAATAATATACTTACATGGGGCATGAAACATCACTAAAGCATGTTTCTTTTTCTTCAAAAATGGTTTAAAATTTTCAACACTCAAATGAACTACCTCTGACGGCACCTCCTCCCAAGAAGGTTCAGGGGGAGGTGGTGGAGGAGGTGGTGAAGGATCTTTCATGAATTCATAAAAATCATCCGCTTCTCTCAATGGAGAAACATCATACTTTAACTCTCCAAACTGAAAGTATTTTAAAGTTGGATAACCTTTCACTTCAAATTGTTTAGCAAGATCACGGTCTTTGGTAGCATCCACAGCAGCTAGAATTCCCTTCACCTTCAAAAATAAAAATATGATTAAATAATAAATAAGAATATTCTTTTAAAAAGTCAATAATCAACTTATAATTGATTAATGAACAAAAATTATAAATAACTAATAAAGCTTTGTAAGATACTTATGACCAGGTGAAATTATAGTAAAAAACATTGAACAATCATCTCTCCACTCATGAAAGTTTGACTATACGAAAAATAAAAATAGTAGAAAAGTATATTGTCTCTTCAGGAAATCAAAACCACAACAAAGAGGATATGAAAAATTTATAACAATAATAAGGCTTAGCGAACCCGAAGATTTGATGCCGATACCATCGACCGCTGTCTACATTCTTTCATCAATTGTTCACCGTCCAAACCCAACCCTGTCAAATCAGCCTTACACCTCTGACACTGCCCAGTTGACACAATACATATTAATTTTTAAGGAATTCTTTTGTTACTAAGTTCAGCGATTTTACACGCCCATTTTATTTCCTGCAACTTAATCACCTTAATTATATTAACTGGATCCAGTTAGTGCAATTTGGCGTAATATAACCATCTGAATCCTCCAGTTGACTCATTCTTCTTTGGTCCAAATATTAACATGGCTTGTGTTCTTGGTTCTAAATTTAAAAAGAAACTTAGAGACATGGAACTTCCAATTGGCCACCATCTTATAACAAAATATCAGATGGTAATGTTGAGATCCAAGATTCTTCCAGGAGTGACCTGTGACTTAGTATTGAAGTTGAAAAAAAATTTGGCTGAGTAAGCTCAGGGAAAAACCACAGATACACATTTTAAATTCAACTTTAGATTATAATTATCTTGAAGCATAAAGCCTCAAACTTTGAGTCTGGAGTAATAATTTTTCTCTTGCCCAATTACAAATGTTCGTTAATAAAAAATAAATAACCAAAAACCAGTGTATCAGTAATAAAATTTATTTATAAAAACTTACTATGAAAAAAAATTACTGTCCAGGACTAAGATAACTCCTTATCCTGCACCACTAACAGCACTAAGATATAAATAGCTCCTAAGATCAAAACACAGACATATCTGTATCTAGACAAATCTCTAATAACAAGTTTCTTTTATTCTTAGAAATGACTAAATTGGCTATCCCACAAATGAAAATGAAGGAAGATATTAAAAGGAAGATAACAGAGTAAAATATTAAATGCCAATAATTTGTTTTAAATTAAATTTTCATATCAATCTAAATTCTTGATTTAAATATTTCATTTACCTTTTCAGTCTTCATCCGAGTTGCAGCTTTTTCAAATTCAGGTTTCATTCTCTTACAATAACCACACCATGGGGCATAAAACATAATTAAAGCTGATTCTTCATTCTGAAACATTTAATTAGTTCTTAAAACAATACAAATAAATAAAATACTTAAATCACACCAATATTAATGAGAAATATTTATCATAAAATTCTAAAATAATTTAGAAAACACCATAAAAACTAATTTTATCGAAAAAATAAAAATAAAAATCCTATTTATATAATTATATAATTAATATATTTTTTTAGATCTTTCAAATAACTTTCACTGTAGTATAAATTTTTACATTATAATATTAAATTAAACAAATTACGATCACCTACTAAAGATAAATGTCACAAATCATAAACTATCAATAAACACTTGCAAAATCACTACAATATTCAATACATATTTTATGTAAACATGCACACGCACAGGCATACACACACACAAACAATGTGAAATAAGCAAACAGTCAACATTATAATAAACATGGTCAGCAGCAACAAGTCTACATCAGCGTTAAGTCAGATTTTACTCGAAATACTAACGAATATTTAAAATCAATTAGCGATCCTCTAGATGAATCCTACTAGTATTTTGCGAGGATAGATAAAAAGATTCTGCTCCCAAAATAATATTATTTTTTAAAAATTTAGCCGTGAAGCTGACAGCGTTCTCCTTCAGTTAACCAACAAATGGTTTTTGATGGTTTAGCTGCCAGATTGTGAGAAATATCATGCATTCAACGCAGAAAAGTGCAATTTTCAAAACAAGTTGATGCCCGACCGTATTTACCATTTTAAGGTTCAATATTGTTCAAATGGGTGTTTGACTGGAGACAGAATTACCTAATATAAAAAATAAATATCTCCATAGATGTATATATTACAGATAGTAAATAGTATTGGTATATTTTTTAAAAGAACTTATTTAACTCCATTTTGTTCATGGCCCTTGTTTAATTTCAATATAACGGGCAGGGTCGTTATTGGCAGTCACAGGTGGATAGATATAGCCACCATCATACAGTGGTGCAAAATACTTCATTTTCAGAAAAAAACCTCACCTATCTTAGACATATGACTTTAAAACTCATGTAGGGGTCATTTTATATGAATTTTCTTATTCCGTATCGAATAAAACAAAAAATAGATCAATAGCTTTACCCGTTTATGTTATTTTAAGAATATTATGTTTTAAATTTTGATAAATTCTGAATAAAAATTAATTTGATGATTCAAGTCAATATTATTGGGAAAATTGTTTTTGAATATACAGATTTATAATAATTACATAACATGGAACTAAGGTTCAAGCATCAATATTATTTTTTTTAAAAACCGATATTATCTGTCGAGAGAGTATCTTAATTTTAAAATTGTTGTTTTTTATGATATCTTCACCTAATTACACCCAAAAGCTATTATTACAAAAAAAAGAAATTTTTTTTTTTAAACTAAACTAATAAATTTTAGATTGAGGACTAAGGCGATTGCGGAAAGTTTAATCTTTCCCAATAACTTTAAAATGCAAACAGTTATAAGATTTGAGAACCTATTTCAAACTGTAAAAATTAAGATAAAACATTTTACTGAAAGAGTTACCAAAATTTAAAAAAAAATACCTTTTGGTCTAAGAAAATAAAATGTTACTGATAAAGTGTTTTTGAATTCGATACACACCAAACCACTTAGATAGAATTGTTGGTAAATTAAAATTTTTTTGAATCATTGTTCAAATTGTAAAACAAACAGCTTTTTGATAAAATAAATCATGAACAATTTCTATTTCTATTCAGAATGAAAGACATTTTTTTGCTATGAAATTGCATTAGAAAAGATTTCTAGCTCATCAAAATCTAACATAACATTTTGTGATCAATATCGGATAAACTTGCTATGTTCCACTCGAGTACGCCTAATAATGACTGCTATTGTCTGTAATAGATCTTCTCTTATTCATATAAATGTGATTAAAGTACTAACTGTCAAGAAAAAAGTACTTAAATAATGTTAATTAATTATTGTTAAGGAGAGATAATATAGAACAAAAAGTGTGATTGGAACACATTCATTTTAAGGTTTTTTTCCACTTCTGAACCACTGTGCGTCGTCGTTATAACAATTATATGTTTATAACAACAAAGTTTACCACATTTATAAACATATCCACATCCACTGTATATTAATTCCAATTTGAATAAAATATTTTCGAACCAAAAAAAATTCCCTGCTTTGACAATTCTCTGACTTTCCCAGGTTTTCCTGGTTGGTCGCCACCCTGACACACACATATTTTTTTTATTTCAATCATACAATGGTTAAGCTAATCTCATTTTTATCAAAACTTTTACTTACTTTAATTAATTCATCAAAATTGGAAGATGAAAGATGAACTACGTCGTTTTCCCCATCTGACCATTCTTCTTCTTTGGACTCTGCATTAAATGATGATGGGTCTCTCATAAATTTAATAATATCGTCTTTGTTATTCTTTCCCTCATATGTATATTTAACTTCGTTATTACTAAAAAAATAATAATAATACAGAAATTGTATAAATTAGGTACTAGTCTACTATACATCTTCACACAAATATTTTCATTTTTGAAGATTTATTATTTGCCAAAATCTTTTATTACTATGCACAACCAGAGGAATCACCACAACTTTACAAATTTCTCTGCCATATTTTCACTAACAAAGAGCCATTTTCAAGCATATTGTAAAAACAAACAGAAATAGTATTTGCAATTTAAAACTTTTTGTTATTTTCATATAATATAATATTGTTTAGGGTTAATTCTTATAATTCACTTCTTTTTTTTTTATTCCTCCCCTTCCTTGCCTTTAAGGCTATACGGGGGTTTTTCCAGGCCAGGGAGTGTGGGCAGGGACTTAAAAGACTACCTCGGCACCAGGACGCGAACTCGTGACTATTTTATATCAATTGTCATATCAGATTAACGGGCAACGGCGGTGCTGTGTACACAAGTTAGCCCATTTGGCCATCCTGTCCATCTTCTTATAATTCACTTTAAAATTACTGCTTAGTGGCCAAAAGAAAGCAGAGTTCTGTTTAAGACAGAGATTAAACTTATTCACAGTAATAAAAAAACAAACCAAATAATTTTAAATCAAAATTTTGTAGACTTGATTAGATTATTATTAATTATTTTTTACTGTTTATACTAAGGGCTATAATAAATGTATGCAGTCAGTGGAACCCCTCTTGAATATTTGTGTTCATGTATCCTAACCAACTCTATATATTTTATGTTATATTAATAACTCGTAAAATAATAACCTATACCCTATATTTTATAGAATTTTTATTGAATGAGTTACATGAAAAAGATCAAAAGTTGGGAAATGTACAGGTGATGTCAAAATTGTTTTATAAAGCCTTGGTAATAGCTAAGCAAACCTCCAGGGATCCAGGAACCATGGTTTATGAACTTATGAATTAAACTATGAATTAAGATTTCATTCAGTTCTTATTATTTTCAGTTTATTCTATTTAATTATTAGTTCTAAAACATTCATCCACCATTGGTGTTCCTTGTTCTGTCTCATTTATAGATTCCATTAGGCAGGATTTCACTATTAATGATTTTAGACTTAAAATGTTTAGGTTGTCATGGCATTCTCAGTAAGAATAGATATTTTTCATAGAGCAGCTTATGGACATGGAATAATTGAATGATAAAACAAATTTTGAGAAGCCTTCCTTGTAAATAAAATAGCAAATTAATGACAGAGAGAAGGGTAGGATTGCTGGAGTGAAGGTAGTTGATGCCATTTTTTTTCCCATGTCTTACCGTTTCTACCCTCTTTATGTAATCTGTGATCCATTTTTAATTCAAAGAAGTTGATGACGTATCAATATTCTAAAGTATACTATTTGTATGAAACACTCTTTGTTTTAGAATATGACTAAAATTATGGAGAGATGTTACAATTATTAATGCTTCATAGAAGGCCTTGGTGTCGACATAAAGGACGTGGCAAGGTTGACAGGGAATATAATTCTCGATTCCCGGGGAATGATCCACCCTCATGTGCATGGGAGAGGATAGGTGGAGAGGTTGTTCATGGAGGGAGGCTTGCATATGTTACAACTTTTTGATATTATTCATTGAACTCGTCTAGGGTATTTGTATATATTAATTTTTTTATTCTGTATTTGTATATATTAAAAACTTGTTTTTGTTTTTTTATTGTTTGTTCACCTTTTTTTTTCTTTTTTTTTTATTGTTAATATTGTGTAAGTTGTTATCAGAAAGTATGACTTAAGTAGGGAAGAGAGAGAGAGAGAGGAAAATATGGGGAGAAATAAGAGAAATTTATAAAGGGAGGGAAGGGAAAGAAAGGGAAGTAGAATGTTAATTAAAAAAATAGTGGAAAAAAGAAGATAAATAAAATAAAACAACAAAGAAATAAAGGAAAAAAATGTTTATCATGCTCATATGTATTGATGATACTATGTCTGCAGCAATCCAATATAATGGGCAATAACCATTTATGAAAATAAAGTGATTCCCTCTAGTTGACATCTGCAAACCTCAATAGTTTTTAAAATCCAGTTTTACAGGCCATTTCTTCTGGATTACTTAATTAACTAGCAGTCTACTCTCTTCACGTATAAATTAAAAAATACTTTTCTATATTTGTGTTATCAACTTCAAATAATCATTTGATCAATAGGGATCAATACAGTTAGGTATGCCAAAAATAATTAAACAAAAAACTTAATAGAAATCATAAAGCCTATTAAATTAACGTGAAGGAAATTTAAAAATCTTGATAAAGGAGGTACCACAATATTAATTTTAAAGCATAAAAGAGCAAAATATTTCATAATTGAAAATAAAATGTAATAAATATGAATATAAACCAGATTACTAAAAGGGTGAGATTTCAAGCAACATTGAGAGAGAGAGAAACACTTTATTTTCATAAAATATAAAGGATTGCTGCCCAATTATATTGGGTTGCTATATACACAGCATACTCTTCTATCCTTAAGACAATACATGAACTTATATATAAATATACAGAAGTATTAGTTAATATTAGTAAAATAGATATATATATATACATTTTTATTATTTTATTTATTTTTATTATTTTTTTTTCCTTTTTCCTTCTTTTCATTGTTCATGATTTTTTTTTTTTATTTAACATTAAGTTTCCCTTTCTCTCACTTCTCTCTCTTTATCTCTATTGTTTTCAATTATTCACTAAATAAATAAATAAACAAATACATAAATTAAAACTCTCGGGCTAGCCCATGCACGTGGTGGTGAATGATTCCCAGGGAGTCGAGGACTATATTTTCAGCCAACCTCGCTACGTCCTTAATGTCGACACCTAGTTCCTCAAGGAAGCTCCTTGTTCTTTTTGGGATAGTTCCGCGAGACCCAAACCAGAGGCCTCTCACAGTGAACTCTCTCTCTCCGAAGGTCTCACGGAATTTCTCTTTTAGGAAAGGGATACATTTATCGTACGTGTTCTTCTTTTCCTTTCCACTTCACCCGCCTGATCGAGGTCATTGCTCTCAAAGCGGACAGTTGGATCCAAGATCAGCGCTGTCCTTCCTGTCTTGGGAAATGCGACGATATCAGCGTATCTCGTAGAGCCTTCACTATCGATGCAATATACCTCGTCAAAGCAAGAGAATTTTTTTTCCCTAAGGAGCCTAATCAACTCGAACTTGACCTGGTGGTGACAACGTGTTATGAGGAGGGAGTTGTTGGGGCATTTTCCCAGCACATGGGCTCGTGTTTCAGACTCTCTGCCGCATTTACGGCAGAGGGACCCAACTTCTCTGACCTGTCCGCTGACTCCTGGGACTCCACGCAGAGGTGCATAATTAATGTTTAGTTTTAGGGCATTCGACCATTCAGACCCAGAAAGTACTTGCTTTTCATAGATGTATCTATTCGCTTTCGGGGTCTCTTTAAAATGGCGAACACCAATACCCTACCACCTGCAGTTGGCCTATTCCTCAAATGCATTTTCTCGTAGCGACTGCCGTAGACTTTCACATTTCGATGACCCTGATCAACCCCCAATCTCTCGGCACATTCAGCAATTTCAGCTGAATAATCGAAGGTAGACTGAAAAAGGGCATCTGGTACATTGGACAGTCGCTGAGCAATGGACCAATGTTGAAGAGGAGCCTCCCATCGGCAGCGGATTAATCCCAATCCTCGGTATCTCCTGGGGGCATACAATATCGCTGTGGAAGTATTCGCAGGGAGTCCAATAATGGTCTTTACACTCCTGTGAATCATAGTGTCGATGCCCTTCAGTATAGCAGGACGTAGCTTTGTTAGGGGTGCAGTTTGGAGAGGGTAAGTAAGACCCGGGAACAGATATTGATTGACAATGTTGAGTTTCTGCTCAGGTTTAAGTAAGCAAGAGGTTACCAGCTTGTTTAAATTATCATTCAATTTAGTCACCGAATCTTCGTTGAATTGTAGCTTTAAAAGAACAATCAATGAAATCATTATAAAGCAAGGGATGAAATTGATAACTTCCTAACCACATTACTATCAGGGTTAAATGTAAAATTAATAAATAAATATAAAAACTTACTGAAAATAAAGAAGAGTAGGGAAGCCAGAAATGTTATATTTCACTCTTATACCAACATTTTCAGGACGATATACATCTATAGCAGCCAAAATATGCGTTCCTTTCAATTCAGATGCAGCAGCACTATATTCTGGTTTTAAAGTTTTACAAAATCCACACCATGGTGCATAGAACATTATCAATATGGGCCGGGTTTCTTTTTTCAGTAGACGCTGTAAGCTCTGTAAAAAAATGAAAATTAATTTAAAAAAAGGTATTCCAATCTGAAGAAAAGCAAATAGGTTTTTGGATGCATTATAATGCAATAACAAAGTACATTTGATCCTCAAAAGAAATTCTAATTAAAATTATAATTCTAAAGGTTACTATTATTCTTTTTTAAAAAATTGAACACTCAGTAAACATGAACAAAGCTTAACATAGTAAAATATCAAATTTAAATAATAAAATTGTAAATCCAGTTTATTATTAATAAATACTTTTTAAAACATGAATTCACAGTTTAAAACAAGAAATCAGGAATTTAAAATGCATTTCCTTGTTCAGTTAAATGTACTAGGGACCTTCTGTAAGCTTTACAGATAGCATTTCTTAAATTTGAAACAAAAGGAATAATGGTGTAGCAGCCCAATACATTTATTTTTTTTAGTTATTAGCAAAAAAATAGACTGAAAATGGACAGAAAGGAAATGTCGATAGATATTTACTTGATGGCTTAAAACATGATTCAGTCAGGATTCTATAGCAAAATAGATTAAAAACTGAGCTAGAAATGTTGAAAACAAACTCCTTTAAGATGGAAAATCAATCTGCACAAATTAAAAATGCGATTCATCGAGCTAATTAAGAGGCATTGGAAATACAGGAAAGACGTGTGCCAATAGATAAAGAATGGTGGAATGAAGAAGTGGCATTAGCAGTTAAAGAAAAAAAGGAATTATATAAAAAATGGCTTTCAAACCATGACCCAATTGTGCTACAAGAATATAAAAGAAGCAATAGAAAGGTAAAACGGAAAAGGAAAAAAGCTATAAATGAATCATGGAATAAGAACTGCGAATATATTAATCGTTGCATGCACGGACAAAAGTCTGTGGAAGCTTGGAACAATGGGTAATTAATGAAAGAGGATTGACAGGAATTCATGTTGGAAGAAATGCAAGACTATGCAGAAGAGGTCTCAGTTGATGAATTAGATTTTGCATTAAAGAACATGAAAATCACCAGGACCAGGAAATTTACTCATAGAATTAATCAAATATGGACCTTGTAAACTTAAGAAGAAATTGGCCGAGCTCATGTTACTTTGCATAAAAGAAGTTCTCGACAAATGGGCAGAGAGTTATACCACTCCTATTTACAGAAAAGGGAGTTAACGGTTGTGTTTGAACTACAGAGGGATCATAGTTACAAGTAGGTTAAGTAAATTATATGCAAGAATAATAAATAAGAGGTCTATGGAAGACTGTAACAATATGACACCTGAGGAAAAGGCCGGATTCAGAATTGGTAGACCATGTATAGATCATATATTTACACTTACTCAGCTTATAGAAAAATTTAAAACTCACAATAAGGAGATAATTTTAATATTTGTTGATCTACAAAAACCATGTGATACAGTACCTCTTAATAAACTATGGAGTGCTATAGAAAGCATCTGGGTAAGCCAGTATATGATCCGAGCTATAAAAGGATTATATTCACATGCGACAGCAAGGGTCAAGCTCAAAGATAACCTAACAAAGAAATTTCCAATTACCAAATGCCTCAAGCAAGTCTGCTCACTCTCTCCTCAACTGTTTACTACATACCTTGAAAGTATTCTTAGCCTATGGAAAAGAAAGAACAATGGTATGGGGATAATTATAGATAATGGATGCCTGTACAATTTACAATTCGCCGATGATCAGGTCATTATTGCAAATGAGAAAGAAGATGCTCCTTTTATGATGAGGAAGCTGTTGGAAGCTTATATAGGAGGCTTGGAAATCAGCAAAAAAAAAGTGAATACATGGCATTCAATGGGATTTGGCCTCAACTGAGCAATTTAAGTACATAGACAGCTGGCTTGCGAAGGGGAGCAACAGCAAGAAAGATATTGATGAAAAAAGTATCAGAATTAGAAAGATCATACGCACTTTAAATTCTGCTTTATGGAATAAAGAAGTCATCCTCCAAACGAAAAAGAGACTATAACATTCCTTTGTCATAAGCACTGTATTAAATGCCTTAGAAACCTGGACTATTTCAACCAATTTAGCAAGAAAATTGTTATCAATGGAGGTGGATTTTTGGAGACGTAGCTACAGAATATTAAGATTACATGTTCCAAATAATGCCATTAGGAATAAACTGAATGAACCCCTCAACATCCTGCACTCCATTGAGACAAAAAAGCTGAGTTGGTTTGCCGAGGTAGTCTTTTAAGTCCCCGCCCACACTCCCTGGTCCGGGAAAACCCACGTATAGCCTTAGAGGCGAGGAAGGGGAGGACAAAAAAAAAAAAGTCGTTTTATATATATATATATATATATATATATATATATATATATATATATATAAACTAAAAATACCCACAGAGAAATTAAACCATATACTGGCCTTCTTCATTACTGCTGAATTTAATGACAAAAAGGATGCCTACATCTGGTAATATTTTGTCCACAAGGCATTACTTGTACTTGCCTCATATAACCTACACCAGCGATCACCATGGTAGCCAGTAACTGCAGTATGCAGTATTACTGATAACAAATTTTTATAATTTTTTAGAATAACTAATAAATAATTAATTGGGAATACAATCAAGTTCTTTTTTTTTTTTTAATCTGTAACAATTGATACCATCACATTTTAACAATAATTTTGTGTTATTCTTCAGCATTGTTTTTCTCACTTTTGTTTTCCCAAAACAAATTGAATGATGACAGCTGTTTGCTATTACATGTAAAAAGTTAATCTATTTAATCTGTCTTTGAAATTTAACTAATTTAGTGATTATAATTTGTTATTTAGTTGTGAAAAAGTGTTTAATTAGGACGCTAAGTATTAGTACTGCTACTGAAAAAGGAAATACAGAAGTTTTCAATATCAGAAATGGAAGAGCCGTAAGTGAGACTAACACTTAATTCAGTAATTAGTGAATCGATAATCTCAATGGCTCCTAGGAGCTATTTACTAGTCACAAAAGATCAATGCCTGTTACCAATGACTGAAGAAAACACAAACGTCCTTTAAAAAAAAAAATCTGAATACAAACCGATTTAAAGTCTTACAGGAAATAACTGCCAAACAATTCACACATAACCACTCAAAATGACCTAATTCCACCCATTTTTATTAATGGAGTGGAAAATTGTCATACGCTGATTTTATTTTTAGGACAAATACCTGGACCAAAAACAAAATAACTAGAAAAGGAGTGACCATACCCAGATACATCTGACACCGACAGAGAAATTAATACAGGCTTCAGGTTGGAATATGCAGATTTCCATATTTATATCAGCTCCCAGAGAACAGATGTTTAATAATAGTAAATAAAATCTGCACAATGCGATACCTGTGACCATTATAAAAGAAGAGCTGAAAAGAATGGGCTATGAAGCAACTAACATCGTAAATGCAGATCAAAACATCTCCTACCAACTTTATACTTTACAATGAATACCTTTATTATTCAATAATAAAAATAGAAGAACTGCACAAAAAGATAATTAACCCTCAATATATTAGGTGTCGACAATATGGACACACTAAATCTTACTGTAACCACCAACCAAGGTGCATGGGATGCGGTGGATTTCTCGACACTCCTTCATGTACAAAAATTAGGGATGTCAGCTATTTGGACAAACTGTAACAGTCAGCACTGAGAAAATTACAGAGGCTGTAAAATGTTGAAAAATCTAAGAGCTCAATGAAATTCAAGAAATTGCCAGTAGTCTAAAGAATCTAAGCAATCTCAGGTACCTCCTGATCGAGAAGAGATCCCACCTCTCGCAACCTCAACCAAACAGAACCAGAGACCATCAGCAAAACACAACAGCACATATAGAGAGGGTCACAAATATACAAAAATGTACACAAATATATACAAATGTACAGAGCAATGTCCCAACCAGTACCTCTAGTTGAAAATAGCTTTACCATGTTATTTACAGCAATTATGGACCATAATCACTTAACAGACGACTCCCTGTCAATTCTCTTATGAAATGCCAATGGATTGAAACAGCACAGTACTAAATTTGACTTGTACTTTACACGAAAAACTAAACCACTTATCACTGAAACACACCTGACACCATGAACAAAAATTTATATTCCAGACTACACTAGTCACATTTTTTTTCACCCTACCTAGCCATTTCTGGTATAACACAGTTAAGGCATACACTACTCACAGGACTGACAGGACCAGTCTTGCACATGATAATACTGTAATACAGATTAAAACTTCACTTAAACACAATCCTATAGACTTACCTATCACATCAGATAGACAATCTACAATAAACACTCCATTAAACCAAGCACCAAGGCTGGAGTTCTAGATACTTTTTTTTTTAATAAAAAGAGTTCTAGATACTGTACTCTAAGAGGTAGAAATCTCTGATCTGTCCCTCATCAACTTTCATTAGACACCATAATTCCAAAGGCACAAAATTCCTGGATTTCTTGATTTCGTTATTACTAAAGGACTAAGAACTGGCGACAATACAAGCTCTGATCGCTCCTCAGTGAATTGGTTTTCTTTGACAAGCCTTCTGAGGCACAAAAAAAACCTAAGCTTATAAAATGTTGCATAGACTGTGACACATATAGAGACCACTTGAGCTCTAATCATTCTATTCCAGGTTCAAATAAAAATCAAGAGGAACTAGAAGTGGTAGAGACAATCATAAAGAGCATACAAGATGCAGCATGGTTTCCATCAACATCTAGGCCACAAAGAACAGTGAACTTGCTCCGTTATCTTTTGTATATTAGAGACATCAGAGCAAAGAGAAGAACTAGTAAAATATGGCAAACTAATAGACTTCCTTCGAACAGATGAATTTTTAATAGACTGAATAACAAACTGAAAAGACAAATTTAAAAGCACAAAATGACTATGAAAATTTCATTAATAATCTTTTGACAGACAGATGATGGAAGTTTGTGGAGACATACTAGGAATCATTTAAAGCATCGTCAGGTGTGAGTATCTCTACAAAGAGAGGATGGTTCTTGGACTGTTTTTGACAAGGAAAGATCTGATCTCTTTGCTGTCTTTCTTTTCTCTGTTTTTAAAACACTTACCGAATTCAATAAATGCAGAATTTTGTACAAAACAATTTAGACATACCTCTACAGCTCACACTGCCACCGCCACCTATTACACCATCACAGGTTTCACCATCATATATGAAATTAAATTGCAGAAAAGAAAAACTTCTGGACATGACTTGATAAATACTGAGGAACTCCAGTAAATGTCAAGGAAGGCCCCAGTGTTTCTAACAATAATCTTCAATTGTATTTCAGGAGCACCAAACCACCTTGTCTCCTCTGATTCCTTTTAGCATTGCAAATATGCATCAGGAAAATTTGGGACTTTTTTTTTTTTTTATAACCTAATCATTACAAACTATTGAACATTGAAAATTCATAACTACCCCATTGAAGAAAGCCAAGTGCAATTATGACAAAACTCTGTACACCAAGACAAAAGCAACTTACGGCAGGATCAGGAAGATGCACAACATCAACAGTTTCTTCATCCTCTTCCCAAGGGATATCTCCAGTCGGGTTCCTCATAAAGCTAATCATACTTGCAACAGTTTCTTTTCTGTCATATAATTTATGAAATTCTCCATTCATGTAATGACGCAAAACATAAGGTTCAGGTGAAACTTTCAGCTTTTTACACAACTTTTTTCCTTCACTAAAATATAAAATATATTCAGATCATACAAATATACTAGCAGAAAGTCCATTGTGATCCTATTCCATCTTCTGAAGTCTCTATTTATTTTCTAGGTATTAAATATTAAGGGGAAATTATGCATGTTAATTAATTGTCTTTAATACTTTATTCCAACACCAAATTAACATATATATATATATATATATATATATGCAGTAATATTTATAAGAGTAGTTAAAAATAATCGTAATATTTTTACAAATGCATTGGACCAGAAAAAATGTTAATATATTTATTACTTTCTAAATACTTTAATTTTGGTATTAAAGTAAGTACTCCAATTTTGCCGTTTTAATTACAAAAAATGTAACGTGAATGCATGAAGTATTTTTATATCTTTGTAATTTAAATGAAGTAAGTAAAATCTAATATTAAATATAATAAATGATCTTTGGATAATAAAGCAGTTACAAACAGAAGATCAACACTTTTCTCTATGTATCAATCAAAAAATTGGAAATTTTTTTGGAAATTCACATGCTTCTTTAACATTTGTATATTAAATAAGAGACACTAGCACATTAATGAAATAAATAGTAGGTTAATAAGTCCTGTATCAATTGCTTCTAGCTAAGTTGGTACAAGAACTGTGGTGGGGGGTACATGGAACAGGTAGACAAGAGTGTGGAGGGAAACTTATTTATCTTATATTTTTGTTTTAATTTTAATTTTAGCCTTGATGAGGACACAAGCCTAGATCGAAAGATTATTAACCATAATAAACATTTTTATTGTAAATAAATTCATAATATATATTTTAGAGATGGGTAGATAGTTGACTGTTGAAATTATAAGGATGAAAAATGGTCAGGATGTGTAGTCCAAAAGTTTTTCTCCCATAATATATATTTATCACATGTATTTATTTATCCCACTTATCATTAGTTGCGTGAATAATCATGACAGATGTAGTATAAAAATACATTACATTTATACAAACATGTAATATGTGAGATGGAGTTAAGCAGTTAAAAGCTAAGGCTAAGTAAAATGGTGATAGTTACTTAAACAATTAATAAGCAAAGAGGAAAATATAACTTTTAATATAAAGTGTAGTAAATAAATTATAAGAGATAAGTGTGTATATACATACATGCAGGTAGTGGATATGAGCAATAATTCTTATTAATGAAAATAGAATATATAAATAAAGTACAATGATTTATTTTAATCTTTTTCAACAAACTAATGAATGGAGCAAACAAAGATATTCAAGCTAAAATAAAAATAAAAAAAACCTTCATTACAACAATTCAGAAAAAATTAATTTCAATTCTCTGAGCTTTTTCCAAGATTGACTAACACTTTAGAAGAAATTTTTGGACAATACAGTACTGTGAACAACATAAAATCCAAATAAAGTGGGAAAAAACTGGTGCATAATTATAACTTAAGAATAATACTAACTTTTTGGGGATCCTTATGGGTGAATACTGTATTAGGAATCTTAACATTACAGGAACAAATCCTGACACTTACCTCCAGTATGGACTGTTTACCATGGGAAGTTAGGTCATTACCCGCATAATAAGGGAATGCCTACAAGTAAAATGCTAATTAGGCTTTGGCAAAATTTGAAGAGAAAACAATGCCACAGTAATGGCGAATAAAACAATTTCTAATACCTAATTTATTTACTTATACAATTAATTTGCTTTATAATAATGCTGAACCAAAAATATTTGTATTTTTGTAACAACACAGCATTATATTTCATACAACTATAACCAATATTTTTATCTAAACTTCTACACCATCTAAAAATAAATAGAAACATATTTTTTTTTTAAAAGACCAATGTTAGTTAGTTATTTCATATGGAAATAAAAATCATTCAAGTCTTTCTGTTTGATGAGAAAATTATGCAAGGCTACAGAAATTAAACATCAAAAACAAAATGATCACACTTGTATGTATATGTTATCCATCTACTTAGTTCTGCCATAAATACTAATACAAAAGTTGAATTTTGTTTACATACTTGGGTATTATATAGATAATCCTTACCTCTATCGGGTTAGTTTCTTTACATGTCAGGATAATAATCCCAATTAGTTTTTATTTTTCTTTTGCTCAGTTAACATGAAGTGGGATGACAAAGAAAACCGAATAGCTGTGATCACCTTACACAAAGTTGGAAAATGTAGGTCAGAGATTTTCAACACTTTAAAACCTTTCAAGCCGCATGTCCGTGTACCACACTATAACTAGATTTAATGAGACCCTATCTATATATGACAGACCTCGACCAGGCAGTCCCCGTGCTTTGAGAATGGCAAATGCAGTGAGAGCAATGGCTGCTTGATTCAGGAGAAATCCCATTCGAAAACAACAAATCATGTCTCGGGAAATGGGAATCTCTGTCAGATCAATGTCTCGCATAATAAAAAGTGACCTTAGGATGGGTACCTTTCAAAGAATGACAGGACAAAGGCTAACCACTTCCCTAAAAACAATTAGAGTGGATAGATACAAAGTGCTCCTTGGCTGTTACACCAATGGTCTTCATCGAAAGATTTTGTTTAATGATGAGAAAATGTTTACAATTGAAAACAAATTTAATCGCCAAAATGATCGTTGTGTACGCACACAGCTCCAAAGAAGGCCAGGAAGTCATTGGAAGAGAGGAAAGAGGTAGTGACCCTTCCTCAGTGATGGTATGGTGCATGTATACAATGGTATGGTAGGGAGTTTGCTTTGATTGCACCACAAAGCTCCATTTTTGTGAAAAAGGAATTAAAACATTCGCTAAAAAATTTCAGGACGATATTTTGGAACCTGTTGTCAAGCCTCTAAATGATACTCTGTTTGCTGGAAGTCATTCAATTTTCAAACAGGATTCCGCTAAAGCTCGTAAGGCCAGTTCAACTCAGCAATGGCTGCAAAAGAACATTCCAGAATTCATCTCTGCCTCAGATTGGTCATCAAAAAGCCCTGATCTCAACCCACTAACTTGGAAAGCCTCAAACAATCTCTGGTCCAAACAGTTAAGTGCTTTCCTTAAGAAGTGCTGCGAGCTGCTATTGATGACTGGCCATGGAGATTAAATGCCTGTGTCAAGGACATTTTTAATAATTTTTTGTTTTGTTTTACTCTCTATAGATATACATTTTATTTTCTGATAAAGTTAGGGAAAAAATTAATTTTTCTGTTGAAATCTGTATATATTTCCTTGTAACAATATTTATGTCAGGACTAGGTAGACAAAAAGAACAAATTATGAACAGCTATTTAACAAATCTAAGCAAATATATTTTTTTATTTTTACTGTACACTAACATAGTTTCAGAAAGGAAGAACAATGAAACTTCAATTTCAGTTTACAATTAAAATTATAAATTTTAATGAAAAAAAAAAACATGTTTTCCACAGGATACATGACCTACACTATAAGTCAGTCATGGAAAACTGGTCTCTCGATAAAGTTAACTCAAGAATAAAACTAATGCAGGACTAAAAAAAAAAAAACATTTTTTAAGTTTTTGAGTAATGTCTTGTAGCTTGGGTTGGGTAAGAACTATTCCTTGACTTGCACAATGGCAGAACGACCTTACAAAAATATAAAAACATTGTTTCCTATAGGTCTTTCCATAACAGCAGACCAAACCTGGCACCGATCCTTACCCTTGCATAAAGCAAGGAATTGCTTCATTAATTCTTTTGGCTTTGACCTTCACGCATTCAGGCACCAGAACGGCCTGATTTATAGAAATCTTTTAAATTATCTCTTTTCCACAACAAGCAATCATAACTTAAATTATTACCTATTTATATTAATATTTTATAGCAATTTTTAATGTTATAATTATAAAATGTATAAAGCTATTACATGAGAGAGGAAGTTCACCAATAGAATTTAAATAAGTAGATTGTTCAAGTGGAATGTAAATGAGACTTTATATTTGTATTTTTAATTTATAAAGATCTTAATGCTGATAATGAACAGCAATGGTAACTGCAAGCCTTCCTTATGGGTATAAAAAGACAAGCATGAGTAAAAATTAGTAATGTTATTTTTAGATGCATAATTAAATTATTTTAGACTATAGTAGCAGTAAGATAGTTTGGTAAAAAATAAATCATTTATACGATAATTGTAAAAACTAAAAGAAAAAACAAAACCTAATATCATTTTACATTTTAATATCATATTCTTTAGCAAGAATAACTTTAATAAAGAAACTTCTCTTTTTTTATAAATCACTTAACATTTAATATATAAACCACTTTATTTTAAAAGAATTCAATGCAAAAAATATATTGATGTTCAACATCACAGAAGTTGCTAGTTCTAACATAAAATAACTGATTTTATTATATCTGTCATTTTAGAGCTTTTATTTGTCTTTTTTTACAGCTATTACAAAACAAAACATTACTGTCTCCTTGACAAGCTTCATTGGCAAATTTTTATTGACATTACGACAATCAATCAACCTCGCAATGATTTGAGTTTAATTTTACATATTAAATAAAATAATTTTACTAGAAGACTTTCCGACAAACAATGATTAAAATTCTGAATAATAAAAATAGTAAGGAAACAGTTTTAGGGGAAAATGAAACTGGAAAGAGTATTAATAGTTAGTGGGGAAGAGGAAGAAAATTTATTGAGAATGAAATCAGTTTTTGAACATGGTATAAAGATGCACCTGTTAAAACCCATATTTATAGACACTCTCCCCTGCTACCCGCATCAGCTCAGAAATTAGAGGATTAATGAAAAAAAGAGCTGCTGCCAGACGATGCAAGACATTACAGATGTCCACAACCTTCTACTTTTTCATCTGAGGTTCCTCCTTATCCCATCTCTGGAACTCCTTTCAATACTAAGAATTTTTACTTCCTCAATGTATCTCCTGGTGACCTATTCTCCGCGGTTCCCAAGTCTAGAACTAACAACTATGGCTCAGATTTATTTCCAGTAAAAAAGATTAAACTGTTTTACCGTCATTCTCAGCATTGTACTTTTGCACATATTTATCTTTTACTTTCAAGATTATGTTTTCTCAAGGCCTGGAAAAGAACTATTGGTCACCCATTGAACAAAGTTCAACTTCCTTCAGCTTCTGACTTCAGACCTATTTTTATTTTATCAACCAATCAACATAACTGGTTTATCCCCAAAACAGTACATTTTAGAGCTTAAAAACGTAAGGCTTTCTGACAGAATTTTATCGGGTCTTAATGTTGTCGTTGAAATCTTTAGAATTCAAAACATAATTAGTCCCATCTCAATCAAATGACATCGAAGTTTTACAACCTCCTACTTTATTAAATGACTTTACTTTAAGTTTTAGCATGAATTTAAGATTTATAATTGGAATAATTTTCTTCTCCATGAAATTCCCTTCCTTTTGACACTTCATTTGTCAGAATCTACCAATCGAAAAGAGTCAATACTACTGTGTTACATACATAATAAATTATTAGTAACTATAACACTTAATATTTGCATGCATATTATTTAAACTAGAAATTACAAAATTCAAGTTCAGATTAAAAAAGCATGACATGGTGCATTCGACTGACTGAAGTGAACAGTATTAGCAATTTTTATGCACAACTATATCAATAAAGCATTGTAAGTGCACTTAAAGATAATAACTATATCCAGTTTAAATAATTTCAAAGGTAGCAATAGCTATGCAGCTCTACAAGCATGATTATAATTCTAATGCTTGAAATTGCAACAAAATATATAATCATAAGTGTTGTAGAAGTCAATTTACCAAAATTCACAATTACTAATAAACAAAACTCAAAATTTTTGATAATTACCCTGAACATTCAACAACAAGCATTGTACCTTGTCCCTTTATTGAATCAGCAGTTTCTCTGATAATTTTGAGTATATTGGTTGCTTCCTTTTCAGAGCTAATAAAGGAAACGAGAACATTATTTTTGGTTCTCAATATTTTCTTTAAATCTTTGGCATCTGACACTTCTTCAACAGGTGATTTTAAACCAATAACGCCACTTGATTTTGAAAAAAATACACTAAAAAACTAAACCAAACATTAAAATTTTAAACATATTTAACTTAATTACAATACATAAACTATTAAAAATCTTTATACAATAAATTATTAACTATTAAAAACATATAAACTATAAAAAATAATAATAGAGGGCCTTAAAAAAATTACAATTGTAAAAAGTAGACAGCGAATTTCCATTTTATAGTTTTCAAGTATTTCTGCTGTTTAATATGACATTGGTTGATGTATAAACAAACAGCTAATGATTAAAATTAAAATTTAAACGTCATCTAGTAATTGGCATACTCTATAATCACACAGGTTATTTATGGGTAATAACTCCCAAGCATCCAACTTGGCTGATCCAACTAACAACTGTAACCTTTCTTAGGTTATAAGCAGGGTATGAAACAATTACAAGCACATTCATCCCCCCCCCCTTTCTTATTCACCAATATTTAATTATGGCCTTTCATAAAAAGAAAGTGGTAATCGCTGATAACAAATAACCAATCAAGGGTAGGTTTCTAGTAAATATTGCCTGACACACTGTTCATACTGTAAATGGCTTCAGGGTCACATTTGAGAGTTTATAGCTCTATTATTCAGTAAAGAGCTATCCGAAGTAATTATAGATTTTAAGTTATTAAAAACCATTTAGCAAACAAGTAAAATGTTGTATAAGGAGTAGTTTACAAATTTTTTACATAAAATTTATCAAAACTTCTCATTAACCAAGAAATGATAAGAAAACACAGTTTTTAGAAAACAAAATTTAATCTTTTAGCAGATTCAAAAAAGTTGACGTTAAATTAGGATGATATTTCCAAATCTTTTGGTAGAATACAGGTTTTATTTATCAGAGTTAACAACTTTTACACTAACTTTTTTTGGGTGGGGGATAACAGTTCGCAGTGCAAGCCTGCAATGATAGCGTAGTACACCTGCTGGTCTGCTACCAGTCAGCAGATAATGGCTTATCTTAATGTGCATTATGATCTTTTCCGAATTTATGATCAAAATATTAACGATGTCAATAAAGAAGGAGTTTGAAATGAATCGGTATCGATTCTAGTTCTGTATGAATTTCGTTCAAAATGACAGACGAAGAAGCTGAGCATCGCCGTACCCTAGATGTATTGCAGTCGATGATTGACACTTCTGCTGATAGACTAGAAGGTTTGAGAACTAAATGTGCTACAACTAACGAACTGACCCAGCAGGAAATAAGAACAATAGAGGTAATTATAAAGTTTTAATTTTTATAATAGGTTCAGAAGTTATTTTTACTTTTAGGGTATGAAGCTAATTACCTTGATATTTTGTATTGTGGTATTTATTGGAATTGTTATCATTTGGATATACATGAACTGTAAATCATGTATAACTGAATTTGGCTTACCATATTTTCTTATCAGATTTACCCTTGTCTGTTGGGTTTCATAGTTTTCTTTTTAGGGGAAAATAATTAAATTGTTTTCAAGTCAGTTGACTACTAAAGCTAAGCTACGTGAAATATCAGTATCTAATGACTTAAAGCATCTTCCCTCAATTCATCAATGGCTTCAAGTTGTTGGGCTTTGTTCTGAATCCATACAGGTAAGCTATTAATGCATTTATGATATTTAAATCCAGTTAAATGAAATGTATTTTTTTTCAATTTAGAGTTTTTTGTATTTTCTGTTATACTTTTCTAATTAATTAGTGATCTGGTTTACTTCAAAAATACTTTTAAGTAGTTTTATTCACATTTCATTTTTTTCTTTCATTAGCTTGTTAAATTATACGCCTTGATTCACCACTATTTCTTTATTTACTCTTTTTTTCTCTGTATGTACACTTAAATATTTTGTAGGCCATCTGTTGCAAGATTAAATCTATTGAAGCTCTACAAGATAAATCTGAACATGAGCTTAAAATGTTACTTGGCTGTGATCATTCATCAGTTAGGCAAGAAGAATTTCGACGATTAAATCGAGCACTTCATAATCTTAAAAGATATACTGGTAATATACTGCATTTACTAACTTCTTTCATGAGTTCTTAAGATGATACTCTTAATGATCGTAATTTTGTTCATAAATAATTTGAAATAGGATTTGTGATATTTAGACATTTTATAGATTGTTTAATATAACTTAGACTGTCATTTTTTACAAAAATGTTTCCATTATATCTCAATTTGAGATTAATTATAATGTAATCATTGCCTTGTTTTTTATTTCAAATATTCATAGATTTATTTTCAAGGCATATGGACCTTTAACTTGTTATTTGATATGTAGTATTTAATTATTAATTTTCCATTATTTACTGTGAAGTACATACATATTTTGAAATATTTTATTACTTATTACATGATTTCAATGTGATAAAATCCTGTCAAGCATATTTGAGGGCAACCTTAGAATAGGAAGTGGATTGAAATCAATTACACTTAAAAAGCAACATACATAGCTAAACTCAATTTGTCTCATGGGCATTAAGAATGAAATTCATTAAAATTTAGAAGTTTATATTTCCTTTCAACATATAAAATTAAAAAAAAAAATCAGGTGTCAATAAAAAGAATCATCACACGCACAACTATTCTACTTTCATAAAAAAATAATTTTTTCAAATAGTTAATAGGTTTTAAGATTAATACTTTAATTATAGATACAAGTTTACTACAATAAACAAAATTGATTCTGTGTACTATATATATGTATACATATATTGAAATGTTACCTTTTGGGGTTTTGAAATTTATTCGGGATGCCACTGCATAATTACCCAGAATTATTTAATTAATAAAAAAATAGTAAAATAAATTTGGTTCTTTAACGTATTTGTTCCATGATGAATTAATTGGATTTCTTTTCACAAAGGCTGGTTTGTGTTTATCTTTCTTTCTAATTACATACATTGCTTATGATCATTATAATATAAATAGGTGGCATGATTAAAATAACCTTTACTTAAAAAACTTATTTTATTTCTATATTTAATAAAGAATATATACAAATGATATTTACATGAATTACTAATTATAGTTATAAGAATCAATGAATTCAATAATTAACTGTGAAGGCATGATTTCCGATGGACTGTTTGAGAATTATTTTGCCATGAAGTATTCCAACATTGTTGAAATTAATTGTTGGGAATAAAACTTATCTATTGTATATGACTTGGTGTAGTTGATAGATTCCATCTGTGTATCTGCTGATCTGTGGTCATCTCGTCATGGTTCAAAGCTCTGCCAGGATCATCATGGTCTATGTAGGGCCAAGGCTTTAGTCCCCAAACCAGAAGATAACAAGAGACCCATCCTCTAGGCCGGACATCATCATAAGACCTCCTCCAAGCCGGATCTCCTCATCAGACCTCTCCTCCAGCCCGGGCAGCGACATAAGCTCTCTTTTTTCCTTCTCAGTAGATTATATAGAAATATTCAGGGTGGGGCAATAATGGTTCTCATTGGTTGAATTTTAGTAGCATAAGGGATGACCAGGCCGTACGGCTGTTTCCTCTTTCTCAAAGGTGTTTCTGTTCCCTCCCTTGCTTAGACAAGCCTTCCGATCCTCTCGAAACATGCCCACTTAAGACCGTTGTCGGTCCTTTAGTGTTTTATTGCCCCTCAGATTCTAGTGGGTCGCCACTCTCCCGCAGATAGCCGGACATGTGTTAGCAATTATTATTTAGAATATATTTCTTCATTTGAAATAATTAAATATATTCCACATGTTGTCCTTACAATACATAACTATATATATATACAATACATATATATATAGCTATTCTATCCTATATATATATATATATATATATATATATATATATATATATATATATAGAAGTCAATGAAAATTTATTGTCCACAGAAATTCCATTTTGTTTCTGCGGAAACATTTATTTCTCATACAGTTAAATCAAATTAGATATTAATGACAAAAATTTAAAGTCATTAGTTTTCCTCACTTTCCATTGATTTCTGTGGCTTTTATGTTTGATATAATTTTTTCTAAAAATTTTAGCTTTCCAACAGTATTTTATTCATCAATATTATTACTCTTATTTTCAGAATTGGTTTTGAACCTGCAAAAAATATTTCCTTCCATTTTCTTCTTAAATTATTTATCAAATTCTTTCATAGTTCATATTTAAACATTTCATTTTACTACTAACAATGAGAGACCTTATTTATTTTTAATAATCAAAGCTAAAGGTTCATTGGAAGCAGCTATTTTGAAAAATCACTATTTAAGCCATTAGATTATTTCAATGAGAATAAGACCTAACTGGTATTAAAGATAATTTAATTTTACATCAATTAAAGGAGTCAAATCAAAATCGTTCAAGCCGTTTTTGAGAAAATTTAAAAAATGGCACTCCATGTAAGTTACTTTACCTTAAATATGTAATTTCAGTTTTGTTAATTTTTTTTTTTTTTTGTACCTGTGCTGCTCACAGACACTCATATATACATAGACCTTCTTGTGAGACGGTTATTTAGAGTCATAAGACATTGTATTTCTTTTGAAAATTCGGATACCAAATTTTTCATGATTTCTATGCCTTTCCTTATTATATATTTCATATATTGCTAGGTAAGGATATGAGGCTACATTGGACGAGAGTATTAGGGTGTCATAACCTTAACAAAGTAAAATCTAGCGGTATTATTTCAAGTTTGGCCTGGGTGTGTTGAAATTTATTTCATTGTGGACCCATGGAATGAATCTTAACCTTCCCACCCAGGTTAGAATAGATTGGTTATACCTGTAAAACAACCCTCCATTCTCTCTCAATATAGCAGTAGGGGGTTAAAGAATATATATTGTTTAAAATAAAAATTATGTAAAGTGGTACAGAAGTGTTAATTATGTATATAAAATTTTACAATAAGTTAGCTTTTATTTAACTATATATAAAATATCATGAACAATTTTTAATCCAATTCATCAACAAAAATTACTCATTTCGTGGTCTCCTCAGTTCCAATAACCTAGTGTTGCCAAATGATCTGCGAGTGTTTTGTTATTAGAGTTTGAAAACTAATATTACAGAATCCACATGGTATTAGGTGATGATGATGTCGCTTCTATAGGCGAACTTCTTCTCAATTAATATTTTAATTCATTGCAGAATTAACTTTAAAAAAAAATGTCTCGGATCAGCTAAAAGTTTATACATAACCAATAGAGGTAATAAATAGCAGATGAACTATTTCAAAATGTTAGAAACTCCAGAGAAGTATCATTTCCTAGAGCTTTATATTTTTTTAGATATAACAAATTAAGTATCACATACAGGAGAGAAAATAATAAAGAACTGCTTACAGAAACGTCAATTAATTAGAGATCGACCGATATTACCAAGGCCTGTATATCGTCCTTTTTTTCCCTTTCCGTCAAGGTTTGTACAGTTTCATATGAAATATCCTACTTATTGCTAAATAAAAAATTAGACCATCTAGACATCAGCCTGTACACAAATTTTGACCGATAAAAGAGCTATAAACTTATATTTCAGCATATTGGCCTTTCGTTCCCATTCATTTAGTTGCTTACAACATCACATAGAAAATTCCCAGCATTACTGAATAAAAGTATTAATCAATCATCTAGGGTTTAGATCTATATACACATCTTTTTTTTATCCTCCTCTTCCTAATATTCGAACTAATGCCGACATTCTAAAGACCAATATATCAGCCTTACGACCTTATTTTATCATGATTCATGCTTGGAATTTTATTTTTATACTATTATTACTTGATAGAAGTGTTAATCAGTTGCCAAGGGATCGACATAATCTTAAATTTGAGCAAAGATCGATATATTCAAGCAGAGACTGCCCTCTTATGAGACCATATGGTTAACCATATTTTATCAAGATTGGTTGGTAGAGTTAACCATCTTTTGCTGTTTTTTTTTTTTTGCTCCTATTGTTATAAAAAAAATGTAGTATTTCCATTGCACCAAGAAATAAGGTTGTAAGACGATATATCGGTCTTTATAATATCATTATCTGCTCAAATTTGGGCAGAGGAGGACAAAAAAAAAGAAAAATATGGAAGGCTGATATATCGGCCGGTACCGATAATTAGCAAAAAGGTTGATATGCCAATATTAATATTGGTATCGGTCGATCCCTACAATCAATATTTCATGATATAAGGTTAGGAGATCATTATAGGCAGAACATCTAGCTCCAAGCAATTTATAAGAAAGTCTCTACTCAATATTGAATCCTTATAGCCGAAATCATATAGCAAGCCAAGAATTGGAGGTATAGATAGAATCAATAAAGATGCTATAGTTTCATGCAACAAACTGGGAAGTAGTAGTACAAGATAATCAGAGGTAGAGAAGACTGGTTCAAGTGGCCAAAGATCTCAACATGGTCAAAAGTCAACAGAATAGAAAAAAATACTTGGCGAGTGATATACCATCGATTTTAAATTATTAACAATTGATTGTTTATAAAATTGAGGCAAAAATAAAATAAACCAAATTCAAATCTTTTTCATTTACATGGAGTCACATTGAGCCTTATGTTATGTTGAGAATGTACTTGGTCTAAATAGGAAGGATTCATTTGAAGATACAATTTTAGGTATTTTGAGGTTTTGAAATGAACTATAGCCTGCATAGCACATAAAAATTAGGATAATCTGATATTTGACCTCATTTCAAAGTTTTCTTCCAGTGAAAGCAACTTCTAGAAGTAGTCCAATCATTGAATGATTATAGAGAGAAATTAAAGGATCACAATTTTTGACTTAAAGATTTTGTTCAAACTAGTTATAAATTAAATATAACAGTCTCCAACCTTAAAAGGTCACTTCTATTGTTTTTTTCGCTTATATCTCTACTTTATGAAAAAGTCATTAAACATGAAATTTTCTTTAAAAATATGATTTACATTATTGTTCTTTCTTTAATCCTTTAAAAGTTTAATTATTTAACAATTTATGTGTTAATTCAAAGTTTTGCAGAACAGCCTAACTTTCAAATTTGTTTGCTAATTCTTTGCATCAGCATAAATATGTTAGTATTTAAGTAAGTAAATATGTAAGTATATGTCAATTGTGATGCAATATGATCATACAATGAAGACCACACTCATGCCAAGCTAGCCAAAGTGGTGTGACTCATGACAGAGATGTGACAAATAATGCACTCAGTATAATGGGAATGATTGCAGTTTATGATACTTGCACCTCTCACAGATGAGGTTTGTCGGCTTCTATTCATGTCGAGTGAGCAGCATAGAAATTTTAAAAAGACTCTTAAACTAAACATATGCTTTAGGAAATATTTTGCCTTTCTGACTATCAGCAACATCATGTCTATTACGATGGGGAGATTGGTGGTTGACAACGCAATCACATACTGTCAAGTTCTCCATTTCCTGATATCAAAATTGGGTATGCTAATTTCATGAACAGTCACTATTGTGAAAAGGAATGCCTAGCAGCGTTTTCTCAGTATGCAAGCTGATCATTAAGCATCAAGCAGAAAAAACTATGCCACTATGTCAACAAATCAGCTGACATGTATTACAACAAGAAAACTGTCATGATTGTGGGGCTAGTAGATTACTTGTCAAACGACTGTAACTAATGTCAGCTGATTATCATGCTGAAGATCAGATTATGGCTCCAAGAGTTAGAATTCTTATATCACCTTTGTTGCTGTTATATGTGAGGATGTCGAGGTAGTAGTTCTGTTGGTAGCCAAAACACCCAGTGACGCAGATATAATTTTCATAAAGCTTGCAGGTGAAAACACAAAACTTTTTTTTTTTAACATGGAGCTACTGACCTCTAGGCTCACTTTTGAGTGACTGGAAGTGTCCTGCAATCAGATTCAGATCACCTGCAAAACCAAGTATTTGAAGAGAATTATTAAGAATAGTGTCTGTTGTTTGTTTTGCTGAGTCATGTATAACCTTTTCTAAAGCTAAATTGGATAACAGACAGATGAGCCCATCACTCTGTCTGTCACCTGTTTCAGAAACAAACTTTGGTTAAATATCTGGTTGTACTCTAACAGCGCACCTCACATCATGCATTGTCGTGCTGATTAGGCTGATAAGTTTCATTATCATTTCGCTGAGGGCTGCGTATAACTTAGGCTTTTGATACTATAATATGTATTTTTAAAATCAACAAACAGGTGGTAGGTTATCTTTCAGTACTCATGTGATTTTTCTATGGTCATCCTGATGCTAAGTCCATCTTATATTGGTCCAATTGTTGAAGCAGTTGCTGAAGCGACCTTGGTTTATATAATGATCAAAAATTCCGTTGTCTAAATTTTAGGTCCATGCCATGATTTCTTGGTCTTTTCCATAAAATAGCTAAATAAAGAGAGATATAGATAAAGAGTTAGCTAGTATAAAGATGAAATTGTGTATATTTCTTATTTATATATATAAGAAATAAAAGATAAATATAAAAGATATAAATATAAATATAAAATCTTTATATATAAAAGATAAAGATGAAAATGTGAGGCAAAAATTGTTTGCTCATAGTTGGATACTTTTATAACTATGCAAGATAGTGAAAAAATCTTCTTTCTGAGTCCAACGACAGAATTTGCATAGAAAATCTCTTTACCTTAATATTTTCATTGTTCTATTTGCTCCTAGTCATGACACTTGCTGATCCGACACCTAGCTGGACCTGTATGTCATCGATTCAGCACACAACCTTCTATCTTCTCAATATTCCATTCTATTTCTATCCTCTATCCTGCCATTATCCAAATATCATGCAACATCCAAACATCTGTGTTCCTTCCTAGAACCATAACTTACCACTATCTTAATGCCCTCACTGATGAACAACATTGAACATTTACAAAAACAACATTTACCTAACGTTGAAGCTCTGAACTGGAGTGAAATCCTTTACTTCTATAGATCGTATGGTAGACAACCTCACCATTAATCTTATCCATATCCTTCATATCCACACCTCTCTCTCTATCTCTACTTTTTGTCACTGGTCTACTCTTTGAATCAAAGTACCAAAGTAGAGAAAGACCAATATAACGCATCGAAAAGAGGTGTGTGCAGTCAGTAGACTATTGAGACCTCTGCTAAGCCCTGCGGTTCATAGCTTGAGATGAAAAAAAAAAAAAATTGTTCTATAAATGACACTTCAGTTGTGAAATAACCTTTCTAAGATAAACAACTCTGCAATAAATATTGTAGTAACATCGCGTTTGAATGATTTACGGAATTTTGTATTTTTTAAATAGTTTTTAAAATTTTACTTATCAAAGAAACATTCGCAGGCCAAATAGAAGGTGCTTGTGAGCTGTTGTTTTGAGACCCTTGCTTTAGACAAACAAGACTAACAGAAAACTGCCAACCATTTAGGGCAGGATGCTCTGCAACTCAACACATGATCAGTTGAGCAAAATTCAACTTCATTCATGAATCCCTTTCCTCTACTGCTAATTCTAATTTTAAACTGCAAACTCTCTCTTTGTGAATCCCCTTCACCAGTCTTTCAGTTTCATCCAGCATATTAAACTCATGCTATTCATTAACCTCATCTTATATTTCTCCATCACCCTCTTCCCATTTTGCCTTAGTTCCTCATTCCACTATGAAAATTTTTATTTTTCCTATATCTCTCGTGCTCCCCTTATTTCTTTATTAAGAAATCATTTACAAATTCGAACGGATTTGATTTGATATATCTCTATTTTTTTCCTATTGTTATTTTTCATATATATTTGTGGTTGGACAATGAACTTTTATCTTCCATGTTTGTGCTTATATTTCTTGAATTAAAGAAGAAATTTATGTTTTTAGAAATTCTTGCAAAAGGGGGAGAATGTGATAGTGGAAGCGATCCTCCATTATATTGGGATTCATGGGATAGAGCTGCTGTGTCTCCTCGGCAACAGAGATCTAGAGGTGCCAGATGTTCTGTTCCCTCTGAAGACCATCCACCCCTATCTCCTCCAGCAACACCACCATCAACACCTCCTGTTTTGAAAATTAAAGGTAAAATTTAATTTTTGGATCCTTCGGTGGACTAGTAACAATCCTATATCTGTTATTCTATTTTATTTTTGAATTGATAAAATCCAAATGAAAGGATTTTTCATAATTATTGGATTAGAAGTACTCAAAAGGTATTTTGTACTTTTTATTGGTAAAATGTTTTTGGTCGTTAATATCCGATCATGTTTGCATTTTAGATTTATAGGAATAGTTCTTATTTATTTTAGGCTAAAAATATTAAAAGAAAATAATAACATTTTATTTTAGGGTTAAATGACAGGAGTAAAGTTCCCTCAACTCCTCCTCCTAAGAAGAAACATCAAACAGGAGTCCTAATTCCAGATTCTCATCCTCTCACAAAGTCAAAATCTCATGAGAGCCAATTAGCTAATAAAGTTGATGGAGAGAATAATAACACTGAGTAATTTTTTTTATTTCTTTCATATTGTCTGTCATATTCTTATTTGTTTGTTATTTTTATTGTCATCTTATTCTTTATTTGTAATTTCTGTTAATATAGAATTAAACAGTATTTAATTGAAAATAAAGAATCAGGAGACCTTAATTAAGTATAATCCTTTGTGACTTTATTATCGGATTTGCTTTTTTAAATTTTATTATTATTATTCATGTATCCTTCATTTTACAGAGGGAATACTGAAAGAAGAGGTAGGCTTGCAACCGAACCAGGACCGGGGAGGACTTCACCTTTAACATCAAGTCCCTTAAAGTCACCACCTGGAGATAGCCATGATTCTTCATACAAATGTTAGTGTAATTAGTTGCTGGTTACTTATTTTTTTTTAGGGGGAGAGAGGGAAGAGAAAGGGTACAGAATGATAATAAATGAATGAAAGAAATAGTAAAAATTATAAAAAAAAAAAAAAGAGAAAAAAAAAATATATATATATATACGTATAAAATATTGTATACTATGCTCATACATATTGTTAATCCTATAATTGTATAATAATTTTAAATAATGTCTGTAGTGATTAATAAGTATGCTGTGCTGTTAGCAACCCAATGTAATTGGGCAGCACCATTTTATTTTATTTTATGATAAAATAAAAAATTTTAAGGGACTTGTTATCTTCTGAAATAATCTCTCTTAACTTTCTTGGTTACCTTAAAATCTTAAGAAAAAAAGTTTTTGATTTTGGGGAGGGAAGTTCTCATACAGATGGATTGTTATGAATAATTACTCTTTGGAGTGGAGTGTTGCTTCTAAAATAGTGGGGTTTTAAATCACTTATGCGTCACCCATGGTTTTTAATTCCATCTAATCTGTAGAATTTTTTTTTAAATTTTGCTCTTGTCAAGTATAGCCATTAAGATATAATAAATACACTTAACAATCTTTTTTGAAAAATTTCTCACTCAAGCACACATTAATTTAAAGTATTAATTTAATAAAAGTCATAACTAATTTAAAATAAATGGTTGAGTTGATTATTATTATTATATCATCAGAATAAATAGCAAAGCATCAACCAAACCTCTTTTTTTTTTTTCAGGCAATTCACTTCAAGTACCAAAATCGCCAAGAACTCCTACCATCACACGTGGGATGGGTCATGTCATTTCTCATCGCTTTGCTAAGACTTTTAAGATGGTAACAACTTGTGATTATTGTGATAAACAAATGTTCCTTGGAACTGGTCTAAAATGTAAAGAATGCAAGTATAAATGCCATAGAGATTGTGAAAGCAAAGTTCCTCCATCTTGTGGACTACCACGAGAATTAGTTGATGAATTTAAAAGAACACTTCAAACAGAAGGTTAGTTGATTATTTTGAGATTTAAAAAAATAGAAATAAAATATTATTGTTAAGTTAAAATACATCATTACTAATATTTTCTGTTTAAGTAAAGATTTTAAATACAAACACAAAAAAATATATATTTTTTATTTGGTGATAAATGTACATTATGTTAAACGTTATTGCCTACCAAGTTAAGGAGACCTTATATGGAGCCTACATGTTCTGTTTTTAAAAATGTATTTACTTATCATTATTGATATCACTTTTGTGATGTTTCTTATTACTATAGAAATAAATAAAATTCCATCTGTTATTTATCACACACTTCCTGTTTGTATTCATTATAATATTTTAGTTTTGACCAGTAAGTATTTAGCAAACAATATTCAAAACTGATTTTAAAATAGCTTCATTTGATAATTTAAACGTTAATTGTCATGTTTAAATTTTATATTATGACTATAACTGCATTTTCAAATGAATATTTTATATAATAGATAATATACTCAATATATATTACTTTAATTCTTAAAAATACATTGAACGTTTGTATTATGAACAGTATTCCTGCCCAATCAGTCCCCCAGACCATCACCAAGCCACCATGCACCTGGCCATCATTCACGGAGGGATCGTAATAAAGCTCCAATCAATGTTCCACCTTTTCCGGTAAGGTCTTGTGTGATTATTTATTAGATTTATTAAATTTTTAGAGATTTTAAAATTTTATTAATTATTGTCTGTATTAGAGAATTATTAATTGTTTATTATATTGTTTCAACACAGAATAAAATAAGCAACATTTTATTCTGACTGAATTTTAATCTAAAAATATACTTTGTTGTCTCCCTCTTACAATGGCTATCACTGCAAAATCCTCTGGGTTTTTTTATTTGGCTAAAGATCATCTGATAAGAATATTCATGTTGGCTTCATCAACTGATTACATGCGTGTAGAAATCACAGGTCCTGTAATTGAACATATGGGAAATCGTTCAGAAGAATTAAATAAAAAGGATAAAAAAATCTACCAAAAAGGAACTTTTTGCTGAAAAATATAAATCAGTAAAATATTATAAAACAGATTTACTGAACAATCGATATACAGCAAACTTTTCACTTCTTTGACTATAAATGAATAAAAAAATAATAATAATAATTGATCCATTTATTTATGTTAACCAAATAAAATATGAAAAATGATGTTTCTCAATCAGGAGGATTAAGGAAAAGTAAAAAAAATATCAGAAAGAGTTAGCTGATTCTTTTGCTATTTAGCTGAATGGAAACAAATGTCTGTAGTTACTGCATGCAAAATAATCTAAAGAAAAATTATCATCAGTCGGACTTAGTTGACCTGTTATTCCATTTATTGGTATTAAAGATTGTTTTGTTGCTTAAGTCATATAAATAATTTTTTTAACTCGGCTTACTATTCTATGCTATGCTACTATACTATGCTATACTATACTACGGCTTACTATACTATGCTAGCTTCACACCTTAGTTTTCTATGTAAATCCCTTTTCTGAAACCTTCTAATTCTATAATCTTATGCAGGTTTTATTAAAATTTTATCTATTTCAATAAATTTTTCTTTTCTTTTTTTTTTTCATTCTTGACTTTTCAGTTAAATTTCTACATTTGATAGTTATAAGCGACGATCATAACATTTTTCATACTTACAGGGCGGTCCTGATTCAAGTTCGAACACGTCTAGCTGTAATAGCTCAACACCCTCGAGCCCTGCCCTAGTTATGGGTGGCCATACTCCAGCAGCTGTTCCTAGGCACCAGCAGTTCCATTTTCCCGACGTTGTCACATTGGATACTCATCCGCTTGACAGATCACAGGTAAATATATCGTACATTTTGTGATTCATTGTTTTCATTTAACTAAAATTAGTTGAGAGAGAGTGGATGCCCACTGAATTCTGATATTTGCCAACGTGTCTACTTACAAATCCTGTCTCTGCGGTTGTGACTCTGTTCTGATATATATCTCAGTTTTATATATATATAACTCTGTGAATATGAAAATTCTGTTAACTTTTATTAGCAGACTGACATTTGGATATGATATAAATAGAGGCTGAGGGGAAATATCATATCTACTCATTACTAGAAGAAGCTGAAATATTTTAGATCTCTGTTGATTTAACTGTAGCAAACTTTTCAAATGTTGACATGAGGCTGTTGTGGCCGAGCAAATTGAGAAAACCTCAACACGGGGCAAAGCGCCTACTTTAACTTTCTCCAGTTTAGAGGTGATGGTTCGAATCAGACATGAGCACATTGAAATTTATTTTATGTCTTACCCAAGGAATGAATCTTCCCACTCCGGTCAGATAAGGTTTGGTTGCACCTCTAGCATTCGGTCAAACTATTTATACTTTACTTGATCTGTGTTAGAATGAATCTATAAAATAAATTCGAAACCTGAAGTGTTTATGGATTTTTTTTTCATCAACATTTCCCTGTTGGGTGCACTCTTCAGACAATTTTTTTTTTCTTTAAAATGTCACATACCTGTGTTTTTCCAATTTCGAAAAGAGCGGCTAAGTTTCGGATACTACGTTTTTCATTTACACTGACATTAATAATATCATTTTTTTTATATTTAAGTTAACAGTTAATGTGTACATGTTGAAAATTAAATCTGTAGGACTCACAACAAAAGACTAAAACTGCAACCCTTGTTTCAAAATTGAATTTCCCAATATACACAATTGAATTATGCTACTATAAATGGATAAATGTTCCTCTGGAGATTATACAGTAAGAATACTACTGTTTATGGAAAATGAGCCTCATAGGCTGGCTTTCTGTTGTCGATAATAGGGAAATTTTTCAATAAAAAAAACTTGGATTTTCTATTGTATACTTAATATTATTTTTGTATGATTTTCTTATTTTTGTCTTCATCTCTTTTTATGACATGATATTTTTTTCTTGTTAGGATTCTGATAAAACAGTTTCTGGAAGTGTGAGCACTGATTCTGATAGGACACCTGTTAGGGTTGATTCTCAAGATAGTCAAGTGTCTGATGGCGAAGCAGCTGATAGACTATGGCCTCGTCAAAATAGTGTAAGCATCATTTTATATACGTTAATAAAGACCTATGTAATTAAGTAATCCAAAATTAAACACTATGTTTTTATCAAATTTATAGCTTTTTAATGTTTGCAATGAACCATTTTGATTAGAAGTATTTTAAATATTTTGCAGATATCAATGAGAGAGTGGGACATCCCTTTTGATGAACTCCAAATGGGTGAGGCCATTGGAACTGGTCACTTTGGTACTGTATATCGTGGAAATTGGCATGGAGATGTAGCTATTAAAGTTTTAAATATGAATTGTCTGGATGATGAGAAAACCTTGGAGGGCTTCAAACTTGATGTAAGTTATTTAGTAATCATTTAATATTAAATCAATAAGTCAATAAGTACCTATTTGCTATAACCTCTCCCTGTTCTGTATTTCCCAACATTAAGCTAGATGCTAACAACTTTGTGGTGAGAGTTCAGACTGAAAGATTTTTTCATCTTTTATTTTTCCCTCTAGAAGGCTCATCGAGTATTACCTTGGGCTTTGAGAAATGATCAGAGCTTATGGTACAGTTCTCAGTCCTTAATAATGAAATCAAATAAGTCTAAATTTTTATGTCTGAAAGGGAGCAATAAGTTTGGAGTTACTACGTCTAATGAAAGTTCCTGGAGAGTAGACCAAAGATTACTATCTCTTATTATATACAATCCTCAGAACCATCCTCGAATTCCAAACATGCCATGTTTGGCATTGTGATAGCCATATGCAATAAAACATTTGAAATATTGGAAAAACTTAAAGAATGGCTTAGGCCAAAACATGAGCGCTCAAAAAACAAAGCTTTTTATTTATGTGAACTTTCATTATCTTGGCCTTACCTCCTATTAACTTTTCTTACTGTTTGATCTATGCCTACAATATCTTCTCCATCATTCTAAATTAATAAAGAGGATGAGTTCCGAAACTTACCAAATGCTATTTTTGTAAAATTAAAGTTTGTTGTTTTGAAATGGTTTTAGAACCTTGTTTCAGTAATATTATGCTTGAATGTAATATAACCATCTAAATTTGTAGCAAAAAAAATCAGTTTTAGTTTGAAGAGGCACAAAAAAAACTAAAGTCTGGCATCATTTTCTAAAAATCGCTGTTGTGTAGTTAATTTTGGAACTGACATCAATGAGATTATTTGTTTTCCTTTAACATAATTTTCTTAATTTAGGTTGCCACCTTCAGGAAGACACGCCATGAGAATCTTGTGTTGTTTATGGGTGCTTGCATGAAACCACCACATTTAGCAATTGTAACTTCTATGTGTAAAGGATTGACTTTATACCACCATATTCATGTTTACAAAGATAAGTTTGCTATGAACAAAACGATTTCACTGGCTCAGCAAATTTCCCAAGTAAGTATTTTAAATATATATGTTTTGTTAACCATAAAATATTAATAATGTATTGATGTTTATTCATTATTTGTTCTTTCTTCTTCCCTTATCAGTTATGTTTGTTTAGTATGATCAGTTTTATTCTTTATTGAATTTTTAATGATAAAAATGTATAATAGAAATTATTCTTAAAAAATACCTTAAAAATAGATAACTATTTGAATTAATTGTGTTGCGCTGGATCAGATGTTGTATATGGTTTTAAAATTACTTAGTTATAAAAAGTAGAAAATGGAGTAGTTCTGTGAGTTGGGCACTGAGCTGTTAAGCTAAAGGTGTCCTGGGTTCGAATCTGGCTGATAGCTACAAGTAATTTTTCATCAGCTGTGGATCGACCACCTGGGACATACCTAGCCTCTATAAAGTGGGTATCCTTAATTAAGGGAGAAAACCTGACGGTTGAGCATGATTTTGGTCCAGTCACCTCCCTGCACAACCGTTGGCCTTGAAACAGTTCTTCATAACAAAGTGCTGAATCCAAAACCCTTCATGGGTTGTAGTGGTACAGTTATTTTTTTATTACCTGTTATGATTCAATATAGAAAACAAAAGTGCTGATTTTTTCTTTTGTCTTATGTGTACCTTTGAAAGAATGTAAATTAATTGATAATCCACTTAACAGGTATTTAAAGCGGCCTTTAGAGTAAAGTACTTATCAAAACTTATGATCTTTCTAACAGTAGGAAAAGTATTATACTATTCCTCTTATATCATAAGTTTTCATTTACGCTCCTTGTTCATTAACATTTATTAATTATTAGCTTATGTTTTGTTCTCCACATCCAGCGTCTCTAAAGTGGGTACCATTGATTAAAATAATTAATTAAGGGGAAAACCTGGCAATTGAGCGTGATCTCGGTCAAATCCCCGTAGACCTAGAAACAGTGCTTTCCCTAAGTAGTACTGAACCCAAGACCCTTTATGGGTTGTGTGGTATAGGGTTTTTTTTGTCCATTAAGTCGGATCTTTGTTTTATAGTTTATCTTGTTTACAACTGTTTCTTTCTGAAGTCAGTTAAGCAGTGCGTGAATCCATAAGTATAACAATAATTGTTAATATTTATGTCACATTTAAAAGTCAAACATATTAATTTTTCCTGATATCATAATAAACTTTTTACTATAAAATAATTGTAATTTTTTGTGCATTTTTCTTCAGGAATTTTTGTTATTTTCTTATTCTTATTCTATATTTTCTTTACAGGGCATGGGTTATTTACATGCCAGAGGAATTGTGCATAAAGACTTAAAAACAAAGAACATCTTTTTACAAAATGGGAAAGTTGTGATCACTGACTTCGGGCTCTTTAGTGTTACCAAACTTTGTTTTGGAAACAGGTATTGATTTTTTAAAATGCTTTGAAAGTTTAGAACACTGACACTACAATCTTTAAACATTCATACCCACACATATTTCTTAAATGGCATGTAACATTATTTAACTGCAAATTTGGATTACTCAAAGTAATCTGAATGCCATCAAATATTTTATAACAAATATAGATTTTCTTTTTTAAATGTTAGTTAAGTATTTAACTGTTTTGTAATTGGTGAATTCAACATTACAATAAAGGGATAAGATTATTGTTTAGTGAGAGTTTTTACTAATTCTTAATTCTTATTTAAGATATAAAGTATGATCATAGTATAAAAATACATATTGAGGTATTTTTTTACTTACAGAACTTATTTTTTTACTTACAGAACTTCTTTTTTTTCTGCTCATAATCTCCCTATTTTAAATAATATATAATCAACATACTTACAATGCAGCTCTATAGCCCGAAGTGGACCTTGGTGTCCTTGATTATAACATGCCAATCATCTCTATTCTTCGCACTATCCTTCCAGTTTCTCACAGCCAGTGTTTTAAGGTCACTCTCAACATCCTGTAGCCATATTTTCCTTGGGCTTCCTTTTCTTTTTGTGCCATACATTGTAGAAAACGATGCCCTATAAGGCATCCTGCAGTTTTCCATTCTAGCCACGTGGCCTAACCATTCTATGCACTTAGTTTTAACAAAATGTACTATGTGGCTGATATTGTATAATTCATAAATTGTCAATATTTTTCTTTCAAAAATATTCAGCATACTAATTGTGCTTGCACAAAGGGTCCATGTCTCCGCTGCATAAGTCGCAATAGGTCTTACTAAAGTCTTTTATAACCCTATCTTTGTTTCTCGTGACAGAAGCAATGATCGAAAATAATTTTGGTTGGCCTAGTACACCCGGTTTCCAGTCGTGATTCACTTGCTTATCTCAGCAGCAATTTTATTTTCAGAATTCACTTGCACTTCCAGTTTTGACACACTCGAAGCGGTAGTGCTCTTCCTACTTATCTTTTATTTGGGAGCTCTCAACTACCACACCATTTTTATCTTTGTATCCGTTCATTTTTGATTGAAAAACATGACTCATACACTTTACTGCTCCATAAAATTTCCATAAATGTAAATATCTATATTGGAAAGTAGTCCATATGACCATATTATTGGCTTCTGGCAGAGAAGCTTTCTACTATCATTTGTCTCACTGAATCCTAAATTGACCAGATAATGCACTAACAAAACTTTCTTTTCCTATTTGTGCATTCAAATCACCCAAAACATTTTTCACATCATAACGGGGAGTTGCCAAAAAATGTCCTTTCGAGATCCCGATAAAAGTAGAGTTTTACCTTGTCCTCTTTTGATGCTTACACAGATATTAAGGTAACATTCCTTAATCTTCCTCTCAGTCTCGTTTTGAAAATCCTTGCATTAACCATCTCAAATGATAAGATACCCTGCCACAATGAATCGAGTACCATTTCTTCTTTTATTGACATTCTCACCACTAAACATAATCGTATAATCCATCTTATCGATTCTGGCTTGCCCATTCCATCAAATTTCTTGTAAAGCTGCAGCGTCTATTTTATATTGTAATATCTGTTCCGCTACCTCTGCCATCTTCCCAGGCTGGAGCATCATATGGACATTCCATGTAGCGACAGTTAAATTCAAATTCAGGTTCTTTAGTCTTTTGCCTTTATTTCCATCCAGCTTGCATATTTTTTTGATTCTTAACAGTTGAGTTTTTTACAAGATAGGGTTGTTAGTCTCAAGCCCAACCTCCAACCTAGAGGATCAGGTCATTTGGTTTTGGGGTTTTCATACCCTAGTCTCGTTGCTTTCACCGCAGCTCAGAGTCCAGACCAGCCTTGGTTTATTTTCAGAGTACCTTCACCTAGCCTTTGAGATCCTCTCCCAAACCATGTGGGGCAGTGCATATTTAGTGGCGGCACTTACTCGCCACGTCACAGCATCGTCATTGGATTATGTGGTATTTTAATGCACCTGGCCTCGCCAATGGTCAGACGCCCACTTCTGCTGATGCTGTCCCCCCTTGGTCTAGGACTGCTTATTTGGCCAACCTTATTCACAGCTAACCTGCATATCTGCAGACATTTCCACTATCCGCCACCTGTGGACATGCCTAGTAGCCGGGAAAAGCCCTGGGATTTAATTAATATACAATAAGATATATTATCCATGTGTAGCTGCTCACCGTTTTATAGAATTGTAAAGATACTAGTTATATTATTTATTGCTAGTTATACTAGTTTTATTCTTAAGGGGAGCGGGGTGGCCAAATGGGCTAAAGCGTGTGCACAGCACCACGAGTTGCCTGTCAACCGGATAACGGGTTTGAGAGATTAAAAAGTACGAGTTCGTGTCCAGGTGCCAGAGGGGATTTTAAATTCCCCACCCTCACCCGCCGGCCCAAGAAAATCCCGTATAGCCTAAAAGACGATGTAGCGAAGAACAGAAAAAAAAAATTTATATTCTTTATTAAAAACTTTTGCTTCCTTATTTCTGAAGGTCGGTAAGCTTTGTATTCATTTGGCAAATTATTCGTATAGGAATTGGTCAACAATTAATTAAGTAGGTATCAAATTCCATTCACTACTTTCGGATGTGCAAACATATTGTTCTTCATAAGGCTATATTTCGAAAACAGTTCGTTCGATTCGACCTGAAGTAGGAGGAAATTTGGAGAATAGTCTAATAATGGTCTTATATCATTTAAATTCCATTTAAGAATTAAATAAAAATGGCAGTGAACATCTGGAAATGGAAGTTAGATTTATGCTAGTTTTATGAGGTTACAAGTTTACTATTTTCATTTAATAAGATTGTATCTAACATTTTAGTCTGAAATGGAATTATGAGTGCTTCTCACTCTCCTTTAAGATTGAATGTATTTTTTTTTTAATTATGAAAGTTGTAACTTCACTTACATCTTTGTCAATTTCATTTTTACTTATTTTTTCTGTGACAATGTTTTAACTTCATTTCAAAATATCTTATATAACCAATTGTAAAATATTTTTTTATTAAAATATCTTCACAAGTTAAATTACTTGTAATCAATAAAAATGGCGAGGAAGCTACTTGGCAAAAAGTTTTTATTTGCCCTGCTCCATATAAAATTGTTAATTTAACTAAAACTTATTTCTGACAAAACTAAAGTAGATAAAGAGCTAAATGGCTATCTTTCTTTGTACTGAAGTGCATATTACAATTTGTGACTTACCATATCACAATATTCAATTGATCACGGGCTGCTTAAAATATAAGTTAATAATATTATTATAATGCTTTGTAAACACTAGAATTATATTCCTTTTATTCATTTTTTTTTTCATTGATGAGGAACTAATAATGTGTAATAATGTTACTCTCTTGGAAAATTTTTAGAAAAGGTGATGGTCTCAGCATACCCCCTGGTTGGTTGTGTTACCTTGCACCTGAAATAATTAGATCACTTAAAGCACACCAGAAACCTGAAGATGATGACTTACCCTTTTCAAAGAATACAGACATTTATGCATTTGGGTATGTACTGAACTCTGTATAATAAATGTTCTGATTCTTTATTTTAAACTCATTAAATCATTATCTGGGCTTAAAGTGAGTGGAGGCAAATGTTGAATATTCGTATCAGTATTACATTATATTGAAACAATATAATAAGTGCCACCACTATAGAAATTTGGTACTTGTGAACAGTCTGGTCTCTGGTAAACCTCGCTTCTTATCTTATCTTACGTCACCTTCTTATCTTATGTTACGTCACATAACCTGCCTTTTTATCTAGTGTAAGCTGTTGCGTGTGCGTTATTAAAATGAATGTCATTACATACTATGGAATTCCATCCCTTCCCACATCCGTCAATCCAATACCCTTCCTACCTTTAAATCCTGCCTGTTCAATCATTTCTTATCCATCCAGTCCCCATAAAATCGTATATAGATACTACTGTAAATATGTACATGAAATATTAGTTCGCTCTTCATTATTTGTATTCCAATTTTTTTAATCTATTTTTTTATTTTTTGTATTATCAACTGATCAAAATTGGAAAGCAACTTATATGTATATGTGTGTGTATATATATATGTGTATATATATATATATATATGTGTATATATATATATATATATATATATATATATATATATATATATATATATATTTTTTTTTTTTTTTTTTTTTTTTTTCTCCAAGACTGTTCAATTACTCTGTATTTTTATTTATGTATCTCTGAGGCTCCTTAGCCCACATTTCTATCTTCCTGTATTATTCTAAAGGGACTTGTCCCTGAATAAATAAAGTATTATTATTATTATATTGTGGGAATTGCCGTCTTCAGAAGAAGAGGCTATCAAATATTTTCAAGATGGCGGTATAATTGCAAAGGCAAAGGTCAAATTATGATGAAGGTCATGAAATGAAATTCGACAGGAAGACGAAATGGAGATGCTATCGTTGACACTTGTAAGAAAAACGTATCTATAAGGAAAGGGACGTGGTTAGAGGGATCAGAGATTAACTTTTCAACCACTTTAAAATTAATTTATAGGTGGTCTCATAATTTGATAACAATACAGTGGGGCAAAGAGCAGCTGAAACTATCAAACAGATTTATCATAATGTGCAACAAATTTTTAAGAGAGGTTTGTGCCCATAACATGTTATACAAGTCAACTAAAAAAATTAAAGGGCCTGAGAAATTCATTGAAGTAGACAAGAGTATTTTTCCTAAAAGAAAAATCATGTAGGGGGAGTTCTCTCTGAACAATGGATGTTTGGCGGAGTTTGTCTATTTATATTTATGAATAATAATATTTATATTTCTTATTAATATATATATATACATATATATATATATAGGTATGTTGTAAAATAAAAGTGTATTATTATTACATCTGTACATATATACGTTGTATGTCTATATGTACCTTATCAGAATTATCATTCAGGTTATAAGCATTGGCAGATAACATTCCATAGGTACCAGACTGTTCACAAGTACCCAAAATTTGGTTGAATTCTTAATTAGCAGTGTTTTCCTATGGATTTAAGATCATTTATCTTTAAAAAGTGGCATGTAGATAGCATTTATCCCAACCAAGAAAAAACATTTGATGGAATTTCAGTTGATTTTTATCTTTCTTTCATTTGGTCCTTTTCAGATTAGTGAATGTAATAGTTAATTTTCTTATAGTATTAGCAGTATTTTAAATCAACCTGTAAAATTTCTTTTCAAGTTTCAATTCAAAATTATTTAGTTTCCTTCTTGTTCAAAAATTCAATCGAAACTAAAACAATAAAGTGGTTTCTTTCTTATTTTCATTGTTTCTTTTTTTTTTTAATTTAAAGTTTGATGTTGTTTCAGGACGGTATGGTATGAACTTCTTTGTGGAGAATGGCCATTCAAAGGCCAGCCTCCAGAAGCTATTATATGGCAAGTCGGAAAAGGAATGAAGCAAACATTAGCCAATTTACAAGCTTCTAGGGATGTAAAGGTATTTATATATAGCAATCATTAATACAATTTTAATAGTATATCTTTTACCTCATTCCAATTGACTAAATGATATTTATGCTATTTATTGCAAGAAAAATTAAAGTCTTCTGTTAGATAAAGTCCAGCTGTTATTTATATTACTGTTATTGATTATACACCTCTGTTTATAAGGCCTGACTGAATAAAATTTTATGCACCTTAATTCCATGTCTCATTACATAAAATGGCAACATACAAGTACTCATAATTTATTAATGCCTGCTGCTAATCCTTCAACAATAACTCGTTCAAAAAGTTGTGCAATAAGCCCTTACTTATTCTAAGTAAGTCAGAATATAGGCATTTTGTAAGCTAAAAATATTTATTAAAAACTTAAAATGATTTTAAAAAATTTTAAATTATGAATTACATATTTCTCGGTTTTAGGTATTTCAAAATGAAAATTACAAAAGATGCCTTATTTTTTCTTTTTGCCTAAAATAACTCTTCCTCTGCTGTTAATCAATAAGATACTTTATATCAATATTTTTACTTCCTTTCAATAGCACTACAGTCCGATGTGGATCTTGGCCTCCTCAATGAGCCTCTGCCAAGTGACTTGGTTTTGGGCAGCCCTTTCAATGTTGCATATTTAAAAGAATCAAGTTATCACTTCCCATCTTAGTCTTGATCTTTCTCTTCATTCTGGCTGATCTAGTTTCCTAACCGCTAGTCTCTTAGATATTTTTCATCATTCATCTATACAACATCTCGTCTCGTTCGATCTCAATTCAGAAAGCATATGTCTATCAAGAACTCATATTTCCCCCTGTTATAGTTCCTTCTCAACTGGTTTCCTTCATTCTTAACGAGTTTAAGTATAATGTGAACAATTTTTCATTTGAAGATAAAGAATTCTTTTTCTTACTAATCAGTGCCCACTTCTCTGAAGTATAGGTTAATACTGGTTGTAGTATTGTTTTATAAAGATGGTACTTTAAGAAGACAGGGCCTTAGTGTCAAATTGCTTTCTTAGTATAAAATAAATACAATTAATCTTCCATAATCTTTGGCCCATCTCAAGAGATAATCTATGCAGCTAACTATTAAGTCTTTATTTTGAATCCAGGCTGATATTTGCCAGTTTTTTACTTGATTGATGGGAGGAAATTCATAAAAAAAAAGTGTTGTATAGTTCTTAATATTCGGATTGTAGGAGTGTAATACCACTATTATTGTCACATTTCAAAATGTACCCCTTCTTGTGAATTGGACATATAATACCTTTTTTTCCAAACATTAGGTTTATCATCTCCAATTTAGATTGATAAAATATTATCAGCTGGGATTCCATAATCACCTGAGCTTTGTTATTTTTAAGTTAATTTATTGCTTTAATAACTTTCTCAATTTTGGAGGGGTGATATCTTCAATTCCATCATCTTCATTTTACAATAAATTAAAGTGTCTCACCCTTCTTGGTAGTATTTCAGTCCTATCAGTTATTATGGGATCATCCTCATTTCTACATGATTTTCGATATGGTTTTAAAAAAAAATTTAATTCTGATTTACCAAATGGAATTTTTTTTTTACCTTAAGTTTGAAAGTAAATTAAGTTTGAAATTATGAAATGTTAAATTTTGTATCAAATTAGTACTACAAATAAATAAGTTGGTTAAGTGATATTGTCGAAGAACTCGATCAACAAATGAATTTTACCAACTTTGTCAAAAACTGATATGACTCTGTAATTTCGAAATTAGCTTTCTAACAAGAAAAAACAGATACAATTATAGTTGTGACCTTATACTTCAGTGACTTACTAGATATAATTTACTATATTTTGTAAATAAGTATAAATCTTTTCCATGTAATTAAAGAAACTTTCATGGCCATGTTAGAGGTTTAAAGGCCATTGGTTTAGAGTGCAGGAAAATGTATTTATTTTTAATGATTATAATAATTTAAAGAATTGGCTTAAAAGAAATATTTTCACCCCCTCCCCATCCCTTAAAAATTGAGGGTTTTTGTTTTAAGATAGAATTCAACAATCAAAATAAAAAACGAAATCTGTCCATATGTCCTCCATGGCTTCGAGACTGCGAGGTCATTCATTTTTCAGATTGGCACCACATCACAGGTAATCCAACGATGAGCCTCAGAACTCGACATCACCATCCGCCATTTTGGAATATAAAAATATCTGTTTCATACAAAGTATGCCAATAAATGTGTTGTGTTCCATTGCTTTTTCATGTCTTGTCTGTTTCATTACCTCATTCAGTCCATCCAATTCAGATGTTTTTAAGTAATTCATCTTTACCATCACGATCTTTCATGATATATCAGTCAAAAGCTTTTTAATCGTCTTATTATACAGATAAATACTTTAGTAAGGCTATTAAGTTTATAACTTTTTGATTCTGTGGTTTACAATTTGTCTATTTAATGCTCTCCATAAAATATGTAACAATATAAATGTTTTATACATTAAAGAGACCCCACCCCTTCAAACTGAAATTGACTTTGCTAATTTATCCTCACAATTTTTTGATTGGAGATATATAACCTCATCCGAGTGAAAAATGAAGTTTAACTTACCAGTTACTCTAAGTAACCGATACCTAGTCAATGCTGTTCGGTCCATTTGAGAATAATTACATTCTACAGGTAAGCGCAAATGACATCCCTTTGCTTGAGGCATCTCCATTCCATGAAGATGTGCGTGACTTAAGACGAGATAAACAAGGTCAAAATCAAAAGGATGTCCATCCCTATAGAAAACTTAAGGTAAATAAGCGAATGTAAATGCAGTTTGAGTTAGAAATCAGTAGTTGATGTTGGCACCAATCTTGCTTTTTATTTTACTTAAATGATTTCCTTTATTATTTGTGTTAAAGGATGTTTGTTGATGTATGTGTAAAAATCTCTATAATAATAATTTCCTCGTTCATTTGATTTTAGAATGTTTTTATCATTATATCTTACATTTTCCATCCCCATTTGTGGTTGCTATCCTTTTTTATTTTTCCTATTTTCAGCACAGCTTTTTTTTTTTCTCTCTTTATAAAATATTTTATGTTATTTATTGTTTTTGACTATCTGATATTTCCTTGCAGTAATCATTAAATGAATATTATTTAGAAAATTTATTTAATTTATAAAAATGCATACTTTTCATAGTTTTTAAATTTACTATTTATTTCTCTATCTTAAGTAGTTCATTAAAAGCAGTTTTTATTGCTGTTTAATTGAACTATATAATATTAATAACACTTTTTGTTGACACTTTGATGAGGTATTATGAAAAAACAAAAATGTTGATTTATTTATTTATTTATTTTTTTGCATGAGCCACATTATCTATAACTTCTTTCTTCAAATTTATTATTTCAAGATTCAATGTTGAAAAATCTTGTAATCATAATGGAATATGGTTTCAATCATGCACCTTTTTTTTTTTTTTTAATTTTAAATACCGATAGTATATGTTTAACTTTAATAATTAAAATTTGTCTTAAAATTTTTCATACATCTATAATTATTCTTAAGGGATTTTGTTTGAAAATGTTTTTAATTTTTTTGTTTTTAAAAATTATTTCAAAACATTCGTTTACTATTTTATGACAATTACTGAACTTATTTTTTTTTAAGACAAGTGTTTCAAAATGATAGAAAAGTATGTTACGAAACATTGCATGAAAAATAAATGAATTAAACTATTGTAAATTTAAAATTAAATACAATTGTTAAAAAGAAAATAAAGTATTTTTTTATTATATTGTTGTGATGACTGTCTCTCTAATGTTTGTTCATAGAAGGGTAGGAGTGTACTTAACCAGTTGATACTATTTGAGATTTTATTATACCATTTAAAGAGTATTAACTCTTATGTTATGAGATATCAGGTACAGCTGATATGAACTTTGTCCCTTTAGTTAATAAAATGTTTCATTATATATTGATTATTTCAATCTTTTCTCCCTTACCTTTATGAGCATGCAATATCAGATTGAACAATATTTATTTATTCACATTTTCCCTTATTTATATTTTTTAATATTTTATTTATTGTTGTCTTCTTAAAATTTTAAAGTTGTTGAATATTACTGTTGGCCAAAAGTTGTTTTATGTTTATGTAAGTTATACTGAAACTCGATCAAATTCTGTTTACTTATGTGTTGCACTTTTAGTTAATTTTTTTAAGTTTTTGTATTATTCGATATCCTGTTTAGTTTTCCTGTATTTGAAAACTTAATTATGAACAAAGATATATAACACTTTCCTGATTTTTCTATTAAGTATAAATGTTAGCATTCTTATCCAAAGTATCAGAGTTTATTAGCTGTGCAATAGAATTATTCAAGCACAAGATCCATATTACTTTCTTCCTTTTTTTTCTATTTGCTATCAATGTTTAAATGTTTAATTTACGCCTCATCAATAAAGGAAAACTCATTATATTGGTGGTATTAACAAATTTCATTTCTGTTTTGTTTTTGTTTTTTACATAAAACTGTTTAATTTTTAGAAAACTTATTTTATTTTTTTGTAAATAAAGACAAAGTTTTAAAGTTATAAGTTTTCTGTAATTATGTTTTTACCCTTTTGCACCGAGAAAAATATATTAGGATATGTGATTACTGCCATTGTAGAAGAAGTAATATTGCTGTCTAGTGTCAACGAATCACCTATGCAACCTATCCCACTAACCATAAGCTATTTCTATGTGAAATTACGAGCTCTGAATCTTTTGTTATGTTTTATCAGAAATGGAAAAATAATCAAGACCTTTGGAATTGCACAAAAATCAGTATTTTCTTGTAAACAGGCTTATTTTATTTTATTCTGGCATATGGGGAGAGAGAACTTTATTCTATGGGTCCTCCTCTATATAAATTTCAAACCGCCCTGGCCAAATTAAAACCAGTACCACTAGACTTGAGATTTTTAAGGATGCTGAAACATTTGGCTTGCATGCATGTGTGCATATATTGAATTTTACTTGTTCTTTATAATCTTATACTCCAGGAAGCCAAATTCCTTGTTACGTACATGTTCACTTTACAATAGAGAACTTTTAAGGCTCCTTCAAAATCAATATAAGATACTTGATTTGTTAGTTTATATTGACCTTTCTTCATTAATTCTTATTTTATCCTCACTCCTTGCTCATGGGTCTAATTTAACATAGTAAAAACTCGTAGTTTTTAGTGTTTTCTTTATCATTTTATTTGTATGTTTTGGAGATACTTTGTCCCTTGTCTTCAGCATCTATAGATAAAAATTATAAAGAAAACACATTCATTCTGTGGGACTGCCACAAAATAAATTTCAACCCGTCCAGATCGGATCCAATATAGGATGTTAAATTAAGTTTATGTCTGTAATATACTGATGTTCTTTCAGATTCCTAACTTGTTCCCACTCATTTAAGTTAAAAGATCACACACTATATACCATAATTGATTGTATTTAAAAAATCTTTGCCTCACCCCTAATAGGCGTATCAAGCTGCTTTCCAACATATGCTGACTATTCTAAGATTCTGTTTATTTTGTATTTACTGTTCTATACATACATGCACTTGGAGATAAAGAAACTAGCCAATCTTTCAGATAACTTGAAAGCTCTGCCATCCAAAATTTACAGTGGTTAAATCTTATAGTCTATACCCAATGCTATAGAACATCTCACTTATGAGATTTAACGACAAATTAAGACACCGAAATTCACCAGACTAGATATGAGAATTAAGAACTCTTATAAAGAAAGGGTATAAAATATCATACTTTTTATTTTCCTGAAGTGATTGAGTTGTAATATTTCACCAGAAATATATCTGAAAGGTTCTTAGGTTGATACTCAATCATGGAAGCCATAAATAGTGCATGATAGATGAAGCCCCTTTTTCAAAATTTGATACAAATAAAAATAAGCTTTTCTTTAAAATATTTCCAATTGGCTTCATATTTTCTTGTCTGTTATTTATAATAGACAAGAAAATATGGATTTAATTTAAAAGAAATTAATGACTATTCGATTGAAAGGATATTGTATACAAAGTGTTTATTTTTAAAATATATTAAGCTTTGGAGAAGATTGAGTGCTAATTCTTCTCTCTGTCATGAGTATTACAGATCAGCAAGTTAGTTCTCTAGATTAGAAATTCCTAATAGTTTGGATTTATTTGTCTTGTCATTATGCTTTTTTAAATGTGTTAATGGAATAATGTCTTGACCTTAATTTTAATTTCATTGTTTATAGAATTTAAAATTTCATTTAATGATTTTGTAATAAAAATAGGCTGAAAAACTTATTGTTTATAATTTTTTCATATATATTAGAATACTTAAATAGATTAAATTGATTGACTTATTCTTAAACATCCAGAGCTCTTTAAGGTGTACTAGAATATAGTATATTTTTCTATTAAAATTAACAAAACCTATACATTTTACTGCTGCTACGAAAATTAATACCTTTCAGAATCTTTTTTAATATTATTTATCAATGGTGACTTATGAGTTGAGTAGAAAACTATTCATTTTATCCAACAATTGCCTTTTTGTTGTCAATAGTTTATCTTTAATTATAAATGACTGCTATTGTGTTTTGTAGGATATCCTCATGATGTGTTGGGCTTATAAGGCGACCGATCGGCCTGATTTTGTTTGCCTTCATCGCACTTTAGAGAAATTACCTAAGAAACGATTAGCACGAAGTCCATCTCATCCTATCCATCTTTCTCGCTCAGCTGAGTCAGTTTTCTAAGGCTTAATTGATTTAAATTCGATTCTGAGTCTCTTGTTTGATCTGTCTTTCAAATATAACTAGCCTTAAAATTGATTACGAGTAAACCATTTTTTTGTGTTTTGTTGTAAACATGAAATAAACATTTTATATTGTAGTAGTATAAGCTACAGTAGATTTAACATTCAATTTAAATAAATTTTATTTTAATGAGATTAATACATTTAAATATTTTTTATTTATTTTTAATATTTAGCCATGAACGAAGTTCATTATTGTGATTATATATTTCTTTCAATAAATATTTTAAAAATATAACATTAAGCATTTGTAAAAACATTAGGCTCAGAGTAATTTATGTATTTAAAAGTGTATATATAATCATCTTTTTGTTTTCTATATTTTTTTCTCTATAATTATTTAGAAAAACTATTTTAATAGTATTTACGTCATGTTTGTGCGCTCGTGTGTGTGTGTAAATGTATGTGTATATTTGTATACATATGAATATTCAGGTATGTATACATATATGTATATGTTTATCTTAATTTAAAAAAAAAAAAACACGTTTATGCGATGTTTATGTATTAACTTACTTAACCACATGCAATATAGTTACCTTGTATAGGCTTCAATGCATTTGAACTTATAAGTATAAGAATGAATGAGTAATTTTTAAAACCCTCACAAATTTTCAAGAATATTTATTAAAATAGCTGATGCTGTTAAGTATGATTATGATACAAGTCCTTTTCATCATCATATTATCTAAATTTAATAGCTTGAACTAAGTTCCAAAACCATGCTAATATTTCAATTTAGAAGTCCTAAAATTGTGAATAGAATGAAAATGGAAGAGTAGTGCAAACTATTATCTAATTTTGAATGAAAGTAATTTTAACATAAAGTCTGTTATTTAAATTTAAATTTGAGGCAAATGAAGTCCCATTTGTAGCAGTTATTCTAGGTAGTTACATTTCTTTACTGATGATAATAATTCATTGTACAAAATAATAATATAATTAGATATAAATTTAAATTAAATAAATAATATAAATATGAAAACTCAGATAACAGTAGTTATTTAATGCAGTGTTTTATATTTATAATATTATTTTCTTTTCCAGTTTATATCATATTAAAATATATTCCTGCATTATTTGTCCTATTTCAAAATTCTTGGTCATTGCAACACATTTTATGTATGCTAAGTCATAGTATATTCATTTTTCTTATTTCGAATCTATCCATTCCTTGTGTTGTTTCACTACTTTATACCATGAGTTATGTTTTTCTTTATGTAGGCTTCTCGTAACTTTCTGACAAGCTTTCTAAGAAATAAAATTATATTGCTCATTAGAATGTATTTGTATAAATCTGGTTTAGGAGAAAAGACTAGATTAGAATAGTTCCTTTTAGTCAAATTCGTTTTACTCTCCCTGACTCATAGATTTGATCGAAGGACCTATCTTTCATTCGTGGAAATAATTATCTGCCTTAACTGTAGGTTCAATTGTATATGAAAGTACGAGGCTAGTGAGAGTCTTGTACAGCCTTACTTGAATAATGCCTTTGTTTTTTGTATTAAATGTCTGTTTAGCCAAAAATAAAATAAATGCAATTGTTTCTGTTCTCTTTTTTATTTCATTAGGTGTCATAAAAGTTTTTTTCTTTTGTAATAGTAGGATTAATTTAATCACATTCTTCAGAGTGTTACAAAAGGTGAATTGAATATATAGTTATGTTTGTGCTCTATTTCTTTAACCATTTTCTCTTAAGTAATATATTCATAGAATGAATAGCAATATTTTGTTCATTGTAGTATTGATTCTAAATAACTCATTATCTGTGATAAACTTCCCTGATAAAGACCCCCCTGCTTTATATATTGAAGCAGAAGATTTTTTATTTTAGTTATAGCAATTCAATTTTATTCGTTGGTGTATTTATAGCATAATTCTTGACCACCCTATTCCATCTTGAAAAGACTATAATGTTGAATAATCTGCTCTATTTTTAGTCTAGTGTGCATTAAACTAAATTTCTTTTATTTTTGAACAATTAAATATTTTTACTCATAAATCCCATAGTTGGTTTTAATATACACATTCATTTCGTAGTTAACAATTTAGTGTTAATTGTTGCTAATGTTCTCTAAATATGCCTAATTTAATACAGTAAGCAATAATTTTGAAATTGAAAGAAGCAAAAGGTTGGTCATCTTCTGTTATTTCTATTAGTATTCAAACTGGCCAAACAGTTTATGTAGATTTTTTTAAATTACTGATCAATAATCATTGATCTCTACTTAATGTAACATAATTCTTTATTCTGTCAATTTCTTATGGCAGTAGCATTACTTATAATCAGTTGAAGGGAAAACTTCCAAGAAATTTAATAAAAATAAATAAAAGTTATTTATAGCATGGTTTAAAATAGAGAAGTTAATTTAATAAGGTTGATGAAGAACAAAATAAATAAAAGTGAATTCAAGGTGGCTGACACGTAGACTATTATTTAACTTATAAACTATTATTATTCATATAGAGCTCACGATTCTAGCTTATCAAAGTGGTATACCAATCACATCTTTTGATTTCTGGATGAGTTAACATGAAGAACATATTATAGAAGCTGTATAAAATTTATTTAGCCCAAAATATAATTTAGACACATTATTCTGCCGATCCCTTCAATTATCTATTTAAAAAAAAACTTGAATATTAAACGGTGATAAAAATATTTATAATTTATTTATCTATTAGTTTATAAATGATCTCATTGAAATTTACAACTGTATTAAATGATAAATACTACAAGTAATTATAAAAATTAAACTAATTAAAGTGTTTTAAAAAATTAAAAAAGTTAAACTCTTAATTTTTTGTATGTTATCAATCTTTTAAATAATGAGTACATCATATACAATTCTACTTTTTAAAGGACTTGTACCATAGTTGACACAATCCATCAGTTTTGTCTTCCATCAAATTCTGTTCATTACATTTTTTTCTTGCCGATACTATTAGAAATTACGTTTATACTTCTTATGTATTTATTTATGATTATGTTTTATGTAACTGATGGATATTTGTTGTTTATTAAATAATATTTATTGTTTTAATTTATCATACTTGCTTGTATTAAGTGATTTTATTTTAAGGTCAGTCAAGAAATCAATTGTAAAAGTTGCCTAGTCATTCCATTACTTTTCGAATCAGCAGTTTTATTAATTGCTTTTGTGATTATTTTTGTAAGGTGTGTGTTTTGAATATACTAAACACTATCGAAAGCTGCAGGTGCATTTCCAACTCTTGCTTTATCTCTGCCTTTCACTTGATATATCTCAGTTATGTAATATTTGATTGTGTATATCAGTAGTTTTACACTTAATGCTAATTTTGATGATGTAGCGAGTTTGATACTAATCTCTATAAAAATATATATATTAATCCTGTGATTTAAAGAAATATAAATGACTAAATTTTGAAATATTCATGATACAAATCTCATATTTATTATGTAAAATCATTGTAAGTATGGTAATTTACGTGAATGAATATGTATCTTCTATCACATTTTATCGAGTTGTGTTTAGTGTATACTATCGTATTTTCTGTGATACATGAGTATATATTAATATATCACATTTTTATTTTTATCTTATAGACTTACCTTAGTATACACAGTTTTTAATTGAGCACAATCACACAAATAAATATAATTTATGAGTGTGTTTGTTTATTATATACTTACTTAGTATAGCAACAAAGTAGTTTATTATTTATTACACATTCCGTTAAAGTTAAAATTCATTTTATTTAGCTCCAGAGCAATTATTGTTTAGTTTCTTATGCATGTTGTGATAAGATAAGTATAAACTTTTGGTGTCGTTTATGCCTTTACTTCAATTTTAAATTAAATATTTGATCTATTTACGTTAGACATCATTGTGTAATTGAGGTTAATACACCTAAATAATTATTGTAAATCTTTTTCAGAAGACATGTTCTTTTTAATATATATTTATATTTTAATAATCTTAAGCCAAAGACAATTATTATGTATTAGCATTTTTAGTATTTATACTTTTATCAATTTCATTTTATTATGAATGATGTTATTAAACTGTCCAAAGAGCACTTTTCAAGGGCTTTATGTATTCAGTTTGTAATCAAATGAATTTCGTATTATTTATTTATATATTTTTAAACTATTTAAAATTACATGTTTTTGAAATAAAAATCAAATGACTGAAGTTCATATTTTCTCTAGTTACCTACTTTATTACATAAATGTAATTAAAGACTATATATAATTGAATATTGCTTGCTTCTGATACACTATTACAACATAATTTTATTGATTTCCTTTAGGTTATTAAAAAAGTTTCATATAGTGTATTTATAAACATTATAGAATAATGTAATTTACTATCTTTCACTATTAATCATTTCCTGTGTATTGTTGACTGTTGGTGTGCCAATTTTTATAATTTGCTGTAAATTGTAATTAAAAATTATTTAAAAAACGACAAAAAAATCACCAAAAATATTGGAATCCTTTTAATTTTATTGCAAAATTACTCACTACAGATGTAATTCATGTACTTAACCACATATATGTATATATACTATATCATTTGCCTTCTTTATAAGCTACTATTTAAGAATTTATAAGTCATGTATAAATTATTTATTTGTGTAAATACAACCTTTATTGAAATTATTTCCATTTATTTATTTTTTCTTTCTATTACTAAATGGAATTAATTAATTACTAATTCTATTAAAACTAAACACAACCAGATTTTATTCCCTTTCATCATTAAGTTGAATAAGCAAATAAACAACATTGAAATGATCATTATATCTCCAACAATGAAAAACCTAAAGGTTTGAATTATCATTAGTTAAAAGTTGTGTGATATATAGACTATAATAAAAATCAGTGATCAAGAGATTTTTTTCGTTTGTCCATGTAGTATTTCATATTCATGTTATTTTTGTTATTTTTTGACCATTAGGTCTGTTTTGGCTGAACAGCCAGAAGAACAGACTCATGAATGAATCTTTTAAGTTTTTGCAGGTATCAAAAGTGCCATCAGCTACGTCTATGTGCTAGACATTAAAAACTAGAATTCTCACTTAGCTTCATAAACAATTGTGCCTATTTCCATCTGACCAACTTTTATCAGAGCTTAGGCGAGTATCCTTTGGGTTGTGTGACCCTGATTGATTTGCAAACTTTTAAAAGGTGAGACTCACTCATGAAAGACATGCCTCTTTGGGTTAATCTCTCAAGGAAATTAAACAGAAATTTTTTAATTAGAGATGTTACAATATAGAATGGTTATCTCACAGCTAAATATTACTTTTTTCTTTTCTGTGTTTGTATTTATTTAATAAATTTGTATATCTGAAAGACTAATCTGAGGCAAGGATTCACATATCATTCCTTTATTTACTATCCTTTGAACTTCTATAAGAGATGTTGCCACGGGCGGGTCTACAGGTGGGCTTTCGGGCTGAAGTCCCCCCCAAAATGGAGAAATATAACCATGTTTAATGGAAAAAAAAATTGAAAAAATACCTCTTAAAGTATTATTGTTCGTGTAATTACATTTAAAAGTACTTAAGGAATAACTTAAACACCATTTCATATAGGTAGTTAGTTTCTTTCTGTTTTTCCAAAGTAATTATCATTATTTTTATGAAAAATAAAGGTTTCAGGCTGAAGCCCCCCCCCAAAATTAAATCCTGGATCCGCTAGTGGCTGTTGCCAAATCCTAGGGTTTTATTATTATTGGGATGTTGAAATGTCTTAATGATTGAATATTGGGGGAGCCGCGTAAATCATTATAAGGACTTGGATGTGTGACTATTCTCCAAGGAAACTTTGCAGCCCAAGATGCCCTGAGCGATTCTTGTGTATATGAAGCTCGTCAGATTACTGAAGGTAACTTGTACCAATCCTGAGTAGTAGTGATGAATCTACCCCTTATACTTTAATCAGGGATAGTGATGTATTTTTTTAGAATCACCTTAGCAGCCTGTATGTTTGATCCATAGACATTCTGTTATCGGGTTTTTGAAATATTGGTCCTCGTGTGCTTGCTGAGACTGTACAGTTATAATCCCTGGAGCTAGATCGATTTGAAACTGTTCTTGAATCAAAGAAAGTAAGTAGGAAGGACTATTATAGAGAAGGCCTGGGATCGGAGAAAAAATGTTTATGCAGCTTTTCTAGACCTCCAAGCTGCTTTTGGATCTATGCCACGAATCAAAATATGGAAGGCACTGGAGGCAAAGGATGTTTCTGGGGAACTTATAGATGCCATAAAATAACCCTATAAAAATTCAAAGAGAAAAGTCAGGATCAATGGAAAGGAGTCTGGAACCTTCGATATGAGGAGGGGTGTTAAACAAGGAGACAATCTAAGCCCTCTTCCCTTTATTGTCCTGATGGATGCACAATCAGTTGCCAGATTTGCATCTGAGGACAGTTCTTGCATAGACACTTCTCTAGGGGGAAGACATAGTTCTCATAGCAGACTTTGCCCTGAGTCTTCAATAGGCTGTTGTGGAGTGGGAGGCAGAGCTAGAGAGGAAGTGCATGATAATAAACTCCATAAAAGTAAGGTCATGCAAATCGGATGTGTAGTTGAGAATGTGTGGATTACTTGTAGAGTAGAAACCATTGAAGACTTCACATACCTAGGAGCAGTTATCAACAAAAATGGTAGAATAGATCAAGAAATATCCAGCAGGATAAAAAAGGCAAACAATGTATACTACCAAATATACAACACTGTTGTGAAACGGGAAGTCGAGAAAAAGGTGAAACTACACACTTTTAACACGATCTATATCCCCACACTGCTATATGGAAGGGAGAGCTGGGTTGCTCTCGTCAAGCATTTAAGCAGAGTCACTGCAGCGAAGATGAAGTATCTTAGAAAAGTAGCCGGACGAACTCGGAGATATCTTATTAGAAATGAAAGAATAAGAGAAGAGTGAGGGATAAAACCCTTAGTTCAGGCTATAGAGAAAAAGCAACTGAAGTGGTTCGGTCATGTATGCCGAATGAACGAAGATCGCGAATCACGCAATTTCCTGGAAGCAAAACCAACTGGTAAAAGAACAAGAGGCAGGCCAAGGATGTCATGGATGGATCATATGGCCCGGTTGGAAGAGAGAAGAGGTAAGCGACTGGAGTCCATGAAGAAGCTGATGGGGGATCGGGACAGTTGCCATGCTTCGGTCGAGACACCTCCACGCTGAGGGGCACAAATGACGAAGAAGAAGCAGCATTTTTCAAACTAAGCTCTATTAGTCCTACCTAAGTTTTGAAGTCATCCTCCTCCCCTCCCAAAATGGTGAAATGTAACCATGTTTTATGAAAAAAATATCTCCTAAAGTATGATTGTACGTCTTATTACATTTAATAGCACTTAAAGAATCAATTAAACACCATTTCATATAGGTACTTAGTTTCTTTCTTTCTTCCGAAGTAAGAATCGTAATATATAATAATCCTCATCCTTCTAGATTTTTCCAAAGCGTTTGATACAGTTGACCATAACATTCTTCTTACCAAATTGCAAAATCTTCCTCTATCCAACAGTGTCCTACGTTGGTTTAAATCCTTCCTTTCCGATCGATCCCAATATGTAGTCGTCCCTGATCAACCTCCTTCAAAGACACTTCCCCTCTCCTGTGGTGTCCCTCAGGGTTCCTCTTTGTTTCCTGTTCTGTTTGCTATTTACATTAATGACCTTCCTAACCAGATCCATCACTCCCAATACCACATCTATACTGACGATTTCCAAATATATCTTTCCTTCCCCCCTTCCGACCTATTAGCCGCCACAAAAAAGCTTCAAGAAGATTTAAATAGAATATATGACTGGGCAGGAGTTAACAAGTTGAAGTTGAATGCGGAAAAGACCAAGGCAATCCTAATAGGCTCCAATCACCTCCTCAAAACTGTTCCTAACTTTCCAACCCTCTTTTTACATGATAATCCCATTAAATTTTATCCCACCATCAAAAACCTTGGAATAATCTTCGATCAAACCCTTTCCTGGAAAAACCATGTGTCCAATATCTCCCGACGTACCTTTACCACCCTAAAACACTTAAATAGCCTGCGACACCTTTTTCCTTTTGAAATCCGTTGACTCCTGGTCACCTCTTTAATATTTCCCCATTTCGACTATTGCTGTACGGTATATGGGGGCGTCTCTGGTGATCTCGAGGCGAAACTAAAACGTTTGATAAATTGCTTTGTACGATTCATCTTCGGGATCCCAAGAGACGTCCCTGTTTCCTGTTTCTATGAAGAGTTGAAGTGGCTTTATCCTTCCAACCGCCGTAAGTATTTCCTGGCATCCTTCCTCTTCCAAGTAATTCACTCCCGCCGTCATTCATACATCGCCGAGCTCCTTCAATTTAAATCCTCCGTCCACTCCGCAATACCCGTTCCCGGTCCTCAGATCTATATATAATGGCCCACCGAACCGCTGTTTTCGATAAATCATTTATTATTCGATCCTCTTTCCTATGGAACCCCACCCCTCCCCACATCCGTCAATCCAAAACCCTTCCTACCTTTAAATCGCAACTGTTTAATCATTTCTTATCCATCCAGTCCTCATCATAAAATTGTAAATAGTTACTACTGTAAATATGTATATAAATTGTTGCATCTTTATTTATTATTTTTACTTCATGTTTATTTTCAATTTTTATTTTTATTATTAACTGATGTAAATTAGAAAGTAACTTATAATTTCTCTAAATATTTTTTTATTTCTATTTAATCAAACTATACCCTTGTTTATGTATCTCTGAGGCTCCTTAGCCCACATTTTTGTTTCTCTGTATTATCCTAAAGGGGCTCGTCCCAGAATAAATAAAGCATTATTATTATTATTATTATATACATACAAAACAAAATCTTTCGGGCTGAAGCCCCTCTCTCCCAAAATTAAGTCCTGGATCCGTTAATGCCGAGTTGAACTTCCTTCTATTCGTTCAATCGAATCTTCAGTCCTTGTTCCAACTGTGGGTTTATGAACATATGATCACATTGTTAGGTAAACTTCCTTCTATTCGTTCGATTGAATCTTCAGACCCTGTTCCAACAGTCGGTTTATGATAAGGTGGCCATATTTTAGGGGGAAGGTTCTTGATTAAACATTTGGTTCAAATCCAAACTAGAGCCAATTGATTGTTACAATAATCAATTTTTACAAAATCTTAATCAGGTGACATAGTATGCATCTGAAATATTTAGTTCTAAAGTTGAGAATTTAGTTCTAAAGGAGTATTTTTGAGAGCTAATAATTTGATGATGTATTTGACGTTAATTTATGACCAATAATAACACGGTTTTTTAGACTTTAATGTTTTGTGCCAGAAGTTTGTTCACAATCAAGCAGCTCTTTCTTTTTAAAATGATATAAAACTTATTGAATGTGACAATATTTTGGCAATCGAAGTTGTAAATTAAGTTAATGTGCTGATGCCTAGGATTTAAACTTTTCTTTATTAACGATAACTGATTACAAAGATAATTTTTGGGTTGTTTATTATAATTAAGTCCAGACAATGATGGTTGAATACTAAGAACTGATAAACAATGCGAACTTCGCTAAGCAGTTCACGATAGTCAGTTCTTAACAATTATTCGTTTTTATTAATGTTTAATATTATAAAATCAACAAAAGTAATGTAAAACTCATATTCTGATGAAATAGCTATATGGCCGCCGAAAACTATATTATCTTCCCGTTCTCCTGCTGTTTTCTAGCTTAACGTGCATTCTTTTCAAAAATTGACTTTCGTCGCGGAACTCGGGACATACTGTTAAAAATCGGAACTATCCCACCAAAAGTGGGACGTTTAGTCACCTTTGTTTGTGAGCATATGATTACGTTCTTTGAACCACTCAATGGTAGATATTTCTGTTTCAATAGAATTTCCATCTGATAACCATCTGGTTTGAAGTCTTTTGTTCCGCAGTGTCTGCCACCCAATCGCCTTCGAGGAATCAATACTAATTCATATTGAATAAGACTAGGTCCGTTACTTATATCTAACGGTGCCTTTACTGCCTTTCTTCTTTTGAGTTGTCTTCATTGGCAGGGTTTTTACAATTTTTGCTATGCATCTCCAGTCTCTTGGTTTAATTTAAGTTGATTAAGATTTTTTTTTTGGTCCACAGTTGTGTTTTTTATAATTACCTAGGCCTTTCCCCAACTTATTTTATTCCTGACCGCCTCGAAGGTACAGGTCTCTGCAATAGCTTCATTCGCTGGTAATTATGAGTACTATTCAGCCATAAAAAGCCAAAAGAGCATTCTCTCCAAAAAGACAGAGATAACATTATTATTGTCTTTATTTTCTTCATATGATAGCATAACATTTTTATCATTCAAAAAGAAATTGTAAATTACTACCGATATGATATCGAAAACTGATAACTGATTTACAATTCCTGAATGATCGGAGATTTTCTTCGGCATCTGTTCATAAGCTACTATTTTCATTTTAAATAAGCTTCATCCTAGTTATAAAGCCAATTTTCTTTGAAGTAAAACCTTTATTCATTTGTTGGTAATATATTTTTATTTTTGCACAACTTTACATATACCTCTTTGGTGCACCACACACATAACCTGTTGATCTCAAACCTATGAGCTATAACATTTAAATTTTCAAATTGTTGTCCTAGTTAACTTTTATTTTTATTTTGTCATTATTTGTGGTTTTCCCTTGTTCTTTGATGATTTGAAATAAAATAAAATTATAATATATAAAACAAAGAAATATTAAAGTGCTCACTATTTTCTGTGTAGTTTAGTTAAATATGATGTATTAATAATCTACATGCTTATTCTTTGTGTGCACCTCATCACACTTAAATAAATATATGTTTCATATTATTCAAGTGTCAGAATAAGAAGAAATAATGTTGCCCCAAAAAAAATATTATCGACAAAGAGCTCACACTAATCCTATAGCAGATCATAGTATTACTTAGTAAGTTTTTATTTTGTTTTATTTCATCTTCAGCTGCAAATATATTCTGTTTTGTTTAATTATCTCTTGATTTGTGTTTATTTGTTAAATTGATTTTCATGAAATTTATTAGGAACTTATGTACCCCAGTGAAAACTCTCATATTAGATATTTATTCTCCCTGATGCAATTTACATATAAGAGACATCAGCATAACATGTAAATTTTTATATTCAAAATACACAGTTGGTGATGCTTCATACCTCACCAGAAATGTTATAGTAACAGTTTACGTAATAAATGGTCTGGTTATTAAAATGAACCTCCAGTTTCGTAGTTAGGCAATAAGACATCCTTGAACTTAAATAAATCCATTATTTACTCGCCAAAACATATTCATTTGGGGCTGAAGAGCATTGATTTGTAGTCATCTCACTAAGAATGTTGAAGTCTATTTCTGAGAATATAGAAGCCATACCTATATATACAATATTCCATACATCTACAATTTCTTTCTATATTATACAAAGTGCACAATCAATCATAAAACTATTTTACACTATCTACTTTTTTAATAGCTTTTTAGTTTGTTGAAGGCTAACATTAAAAGCTATATTTAAATGTTTGAAACCCAAACATGTGATAAATATCCCATGACAACCATTGCAACTAAGAGGCATTCGGCAAGAATCGCGATAATTCCTTTGGAACTATACCGGGTCTTGATGACCATGTTGAAATCTTTAAAACACAATTTATTTTTCTTGATTTGTTGACTTAAAATCATCTTGAGTTTTTAAATTTTCCAATGACTTTTATGGAAGTTGAAGTACTTTAAGAATCGATATTTGGATTCTTCACTTCTCTATGAAGTTCGCTTTTATGTAACACCTCATTCTTAAAAATCTGTTGCTTTTGAGGGCCATAAATATGAATGTTATAGATATACATATTGAATATTTTTTCTTGTAAGTAAAGGAAGAGAATTTACTAACCTTTCAATGTTCTCTTTAGATGAGATCAAGATTAGACTATATTTGATTTTTGTTTCTAATCCATTTCTATTTAAACAATTTACAATATATAAATATATTCCTTCTGTTGCCCGAGGACATTATAAGGTATGGGTAACAGTTGTGACAGGAGTCCTTGAATCTTACATTGAACGGTCAGGAACCATTCTGCTGGTTTGTATTATTTACAATTTTATTAGGTTTGGATTGCACTGTCCAGACCCCTTCCTTTGGCGAGCACATCAATCAAAGGGAGTTTGCCTTGCCACCTCCCAGGCCTTGGTTGTGCGAGGATATTCAGGAATAATGGGTTGGCACAGGCCTTCTGCCCATCGAAATATTTGATATGCCTCCTTCCTATGGACTTGACTATATTTGGTAGAATTTAAATATTGTTAATATTTTGTTTTTGTTATCTACTATATAGGGGACCAAAAATCAATCACTTAGATGATAGCATTAAATACAATTATTTTTTCCTAAATTTATTAGATGCGGCTCGACTTAAGTAATTGTTTTGAATAGCTACTCCAAGATGGCAGCTGGTTTTAAGACCACTTTGAGCACACTGGAATTGGAATCTGGATACAGCCTAAGTGTATCTAATAGTAGCGTTAGACGACCGATCCCCAAACTATCATAGCTATACTTTTGGTTAAGTTAAGTCAGTTTTAGTCCCTATCACTATCACTTCCGTTTATACTTGAATAATTCCATCGAACGTTTTCTCTGCTTTTCATTGAAACTTATACTTCTATGATATAAACATGATTTTTATGTTTTTGGCCTACAAAAATCAGCATACCTTGAATTATAAAGCACAGTCTGTAATAACAATAATAACAGTGATTAAATTGTAACACTGCTGCAATCAGATACAAATTTATATTTATTTCTTAGTATCCTTCGTTATATGATTAATAATAATAATCAATTTGTATTAGTAATATTAATAATTCTTGATATTATCTATAATGGAACTCATTTTTTTCCATCATAGAGAAAAACATGAAGAAAAAACAATTTTATAGATGATAAATAACAAGGTATTAAAATTGTTTTGCACATATACACTGACAGACAAAAAATTCCACCCACTTGATTTTTTCATGTTTTCATCTAAAAATATTTTTAGAAATATTTCTGCTTTGGATTGGTCTATTGTTTTTAACGAATAAATAGATAATGTTTTTGTTTGTTTTCAATTAGGAATGTTAATATAGAGGACAATAACCCTTAATCCTTAATTCAATGAAATGATTCTAGATTCCAATGTTTCCAAAATGAACCATTATTATTCTAAAAGAAATTAATAACATCATCGTTTAGTAGCGCGTGTTTCCTCCTCTTGCCTTCACTACTTCTTGAAGACGCCTCGGCATACTTTCCACCAGTCGGGAAATGTCCCTTTGCTGGAGGATAGCCCATTCCTCCCAAAAGAGCCCTTTCAAGGTCCTGCAGTGTATCAGGAAGTGTTGCACGCGCTCTTATTCGTCTTCCGAGGTTATCCCATAAATGTTCAATGGGGTTCAAATCTGGAGAACCTGCTGGTCAGGCTAAAACCTCAATATTGTTCTGTTGAAGAAACGTCTGCACTATGCGGGCGACATGTGGGCGTGCATTAGAATAGAACGATCGCCGATTTTGTTGAGCATAGGCAACACATGAGGTTCCAAAATCTCATCTACATAGCGAATGGCCGTCAAAGACCCTCCACGAACAACAACCAATTCTGTGCGGCGCTCCATTGAAATCTCAGCCCACACCGTTAAGGAACCACGTTGGAAAGGTTGGCTCTGGGAAAAATTACAGGCTGCATATCTTTCGTTTCTTCTTCTCCACACCCTTTCACGCCCGTCTGAAGATCGAAGAGCGAATCTTGACTCATCTGTAAAAAGTACAGCACTCCATTCGTCCATAGTCCAATGGCTGTGTTCTCAATCAAAAGCCAGCCGTGTTACTCTGTGAGTTCTGGTCAACTCTGGTCCTCTTACTGGACGAAAAGCCATTAATCCATACTCATTTAATCTTCTCCGAGCGGTACGTTCAGAAATTTGCACACCTCGAACTTCTTCGAGCTGATGAATCGCTTGAACAACGGTAAGGTACCAGTTTCGTAAAATTCTCAAAGTCAAAAGCCAGTCACCCCGTGGTTCTGTTACCCTAGGCCGTCCAGAACCGGACCTTCTATTGTAAGAACCAGTTTCCCGAAAAGCCTGACGGCGTCTCATAAAGTTTCATATGGAACTCCGATGGCATTAGCTGCATATCTAATGGAACGTCCGTCATCAATAAGTGCCATACCACGCGCAACATCCTCAGCACTAAGAGGCATTTTTAAACCTAATGTTGAAAAAATTATCAGCCGGAGACTAAGAAATGTGCTGCAAGAAACGGTACTGAACTAATGATACTGAATAAACATTTTGATTCCATAGAAAGTAAACATTGGAATCTAAATCATTTCATTGAATTAAGGATTAAGGGTTATTCTCCTCTATATTAACATTCCTAATTGAAAACAAACAAAAAGATTACCTATTTATTCATTAAAAACAATAGACCAATCCAAAGCAGAAATATTTTTAGATGAAAACATGAAAAACTCAAGTGGGTGGAATTTTTTGCCTGTCAGTGTATGTTTAACACAACTTTATCTTTTTTTAATAGTTCATTTAAGGAACTAGAGGGATATATGTTTATATTTGGTTCTTTTTAGGTATTATTTTCTGATCATATCTGTAAATCAATATATTTCTGTATCAGTTTGTTTATAAAAATGTTCTATTAACAATGTATTGCATATAATATGGTATACACACATTTTCTGTAAAATATATGTCTCCTCGATTGGTTTACTAAAGTGGAAAAAAAAATGTATTTGTATATAAATTCTGTATCTTGAAATAATAAAATTGAATTGATCAGATTATAAATTAATTTAATATATTAATTCAATTTACAAAGGTTTCTCAGAAATTTATTTAGAAATTTGATATATGAACTGAAATGAAATTATATAAAAACTCTTTAATAAGTTTTGTAATTTTTTTTTTTTCATAAATTAGCCCTAGGAGCCCTGCTGTTATGGACTGGGGAAGTTTGTTTCCAAATTATTTCCCTACAAATGGAAACAGTGGGATTGAAAAGCAAGTGGAGTTTCTTGATGTCGGCTGTGGTTATGGAGGACTTTTAGGTATGCAATTGGATATTTACAAGTATTTAATACCAAGTTAAATAGGCAAAGTTTACCGATCTCCAGATTGAAAGCACCCCAATTCCAAGAGTTTTCGTAAATAAATTAGTTGTAGGTTACAATGAGATGAAGCTATTCATGAAGTTTCAGGCAGATGTTTATAATTTATTTATTATTTTTATAATTTGATAAAAATAGGTCTGTACCACTGACTAAAAGGAGAAATGTTTTTTATTTCTTGACTTTGTGAGTCTTGACATGATTTTTAGTTTCACCTGTATAAGAGGTATTACTTTTTGTATAAAACAAAGTCATGGTCAAACATCAACTGTGTTGCCGGTTAAAATTTGGTCTACTGGGCTGTTTTCTATTATGGTGGGTCCATATCTGATCTACTAGACTGAGTTTTCTTTTGCGATGGGTCTGTATAATAAATCTTGATCTTCATATTCTGACTAAAATGTATTGGCAACTTGTAGGATGATGCATTCTTCCTTTCCAACAATTATGCTCTGTTAAACCCAATAAGTAACGAAGAGCAAGATATGACAGACAATTATAGATTGGTATAAGAGTGAGACAGAATTTTGAGGTTTACTACAAAAGTTTTTAATTCTTAGACCAAAGGAGAGATAAAGGACATTAATAGGAAGCAATGAGTACCAGTTTTGGGATATTAGTATCCTAAGAATTGTTTTCATATTTCAAAAAACTCATCTGGAACATTCACACTAAATTAAAAAAACTAGAACTGACCAGACGATACAAACTACTGTCACATCTTTTGCATAACAGATCTCCACTCAACTTACTAAATAAGCGACTAATCTACACCACCATACTAAGACCTATTTGGACATACGGAGCAGAACTTTGCGGTTCCGCAAAACACACACACACACATAAACAAAATTCAAACCACACAATCCAAAATACTTCATAAAATTGTCAATGCTCCTTGGTTTATTTCAAATCACACCGTACAGACAGACATGAATATACCAAAAGTAAAATCCTACATACACAACAAGCACACAACATTTCATTCTTCTACTCTCAATCATCCAAATCAACTCCTTGTTACCTGGTGAGCCTCAAGGACGACTAAAAAGGCGGTGGCCTAGAGATCTTATGCTGACAAGTTAAGCAAGTATCATGAATACAAGAAGATAGAATAACCATCAAAATTTGCTTGATGCGTTACAACGCAGTGGCAAATTTAATGGAAAATAAAATAAATAAATAAAAAAGCAAGGAGGAATCCATAAAGTTTGTTAACTTTTTGTTTATGGATTTCGAGTAAACTTTCTTTACAATTACACTCAAACCCGAGTATATTAGAATGCTGTATCGACATCTTTTGAGAACAGAATGATTTGCCAAGAATTCGTTGAATAAGTGTGATAATTGAATTGTAAATTAAATAAAGTTATTCAATTAGTTAATTATTCAATAGTTTATTTAAGTTTATTTTTTTCTCCATTCGTTTATTTAATTTTATGAGATCACAATGTAATTAGTTAGTCATTACCATTTTTATGAATGTTCATGATTTATCTTTGTCTTTCATATTATTTCTTCATGTCTCTGTTCGTAGCCCTGATGATGGATGGGTGGCCTAAGTATGGACCAAAAGAGAATATGGGAGGAATAATAATAAAAAAGTAGCATGATGGAGTTTATCTTTTATTTATTTACTTTTACTAATATATCTTTAATAAGCAATAGTTGGTCAGTTATCTTAAGCAAGATACAAAGTTAATGTTCTTTTTGTTTAATTATGCAGTCAAACTCGCTACTATGTTTCCGGATTCTCTTGCTATTGGGATGGAAATTCGAATAAAGGTGTGTGATTATGTAAAAGATCGCATTGAAGCATTAAGAATCCAACATCCTGGAAAGTATCAGAACATCGCCTGTATCAGAACTAATGCAATGAAATATATGCCAAATTATTTCTGCAAAGGACAGGTAAAATGAACCCTCTTTTTTATTTTTGTTTTGTTTTTAAAGTACTTTTGTTATTCATTAAACATTGCTTTTGGAGTGAAGAGTTGTCATGAATATGTCATTGATTTCGATTAACAATATTATTAAGGCTATTTCATTGCACCTGTTGTATAGTTTTCATGATTTTTTGTTTCAATTATTCCTCACAAGACCATCTAGACTAGATTAGACTTTGAAATATGTTTATCTAAATTTATTTATTTCATTTTTATCCCTCTATTAAGAAATCAAATAACATTATCAAAATATGGTTAAAGCCATAAGTTATTTCACCAGCAAATTTATGCAAAGTTAAATAAGTGAATAATTTGATTAATTTTTCCTTTGTGAAATCCCAAAATTATCATATCTTTCTCTAAAGTACCTTTCATTTGGTTTATTATAAATAATAACTATTTATCATTGTAAGGAGTTATGGAAAAATGCTAAATATAACTTTTGGAAGAATTTGATAATTAAATAAAGGAGAAAAAAGAAAAATACTTATCCAGGTTGAAAATGAATATCTGGAAATAATACTCAGAAGGTATACGTATAATATTGTTGGATAGCGGAGAATTAAAAAAAACAATATATAATATAGAAAGTGGTAGAAGATAACGGAGAGTGACGAAAAAAATATAAATAATAATTTCTAGAGACTAACATTATTTAATGTAAATCAGGTTTTTTCAAGGAAATAAAATGAAATGTTCTTACTAAATGTGAACTTTTAAAATTTTTTTTTAATTTTGAAAAAGTATTTAAAATAAAACCCACAGATTCAAGGCAATGACATTGTTTAAGATACTATTTCATTGTACTTGTGTGAAAGAAGAATTGAAATATAAAAATATTTCATGGATACGTTTACAATCCTTAAATATATTTACTATAGTTTAATAACTCTAGATCTGATATTATATTTAAATAATTAAGTATCTATCACCCATTTATTCTGAAAAATCATCATGTAACCTTTTAGGAAATTAAATTATTGAATAATTTGATGAATTTTCCCTTTGCGATATTTCAACAGTACCCACTCAATAGTGTGACAACTTTTGACCTGTCTTTCACAGACAATGCAAATCTCTTACTTCCATTTTAGTAAACATTGCAATGGAAAATAGCAGTTTAATAACTAATAGTCGTACAATCCATAATCAACCGGAGATATAATAAATAAGACTTTTGTTATTATAATAGTATTTATGATTTGTTAGCTGTAATCTTTTAGCTTTAGCTCAGTTAAAAATGCAATTCAAAAATTTTATAATAGTCCAACATGGCCAGAAAATAATTTCTATTCAAAGTTGAGCGGTAAGTGAAAGTTGTGTGTTGCGTGCACCAGATTTTTTTTGTTATTGTATATGTTTGTCTTCAGCATTTCTTTTTTTTGTTTCAGCTTAAGAAAATGTTCTTTTTGTATCCTGATCCACATTTTAAAAAGTCAAAGCATAAATGGCGAATTATTAGTCCTACTCTTCTTGCTGAGTATGCCTATCTTCTATCTGTTGGGGTAAAAATATATACATATTGATTAATTTAATGATATAAACATTGTGGTTTCATGGCATTATATTATTATTTATAGGCAGTGGTCTATACAGTTACTGATGTCGAAGATCTTCATCAATGGATTGTAAAACATTTGTCAGAACATCCTTTGTTTGTCAGATTAACAGATTCTGAGCTGGTAATATTTAAATACTTTCTTAATAAAATAATTATAATTATAACCTTTATTTTTAAACATCATGATCAACCTTGTTATTACCTCTTAATTATATTTTCATAAAGCATTTATGATTGGCTTAAAGAAGTTGAGATATCTAGAATTTTTCTCCCTTGTTCTCAAAAATGTCTTTAACTTCCTTTTACTTTCAATATATAGTTTTATTAATATTATATTATATTTTATCGAAACTGTAAAGCTACGTGTCTTCAACATATAATTAAACAGTTGATAATAAAAATTGATAATAAAAAAAGCTATAATTAAAAAAAAAATAAACAATGGACAAAAACAGTAAACTATAGTTGAAAATTAAAAACCAATTTATAAAAAAAGAAGAAAGAAAACAATGTGTTAAAAGTATAATTAAAGTAGAGAACACAAAGAGAAACGTGAGGCTCAAGATCTTCAAGGCCGACTGCTGTAGGTTGAACTGAGAAGTGGAGAGGAGGCCGAGCATTGATGGTATAAGCCGACCAGACCCGATAATTGCTCCTCCTCAAAAATATTTTGCTCCCTAGACACACTAGTAACTGTTCACTTGTATGTTGGAGACACATAGCTTTATAGTTTGGATTGTTCTATTCATTATTTCTCTTTTCGAGATTTTTTCTTATTTTTGAATAATTATATTTTATATTTAATATCTGTGTATGTGTATATATATATATATATATATATATATATATATATATATATATATATACATATATATAATTTTATTGATTTTTATTTTTAAGGAAGGAGACCCCGTGATTGATATCCTGTTAGACAGTTCAGAAGAAGGTCAAAAGGTTGCAAGAAATAATGGTCCTAAATTTATGGCTATTTTTAAAAGAGTTGAAGACTAATATAAATGAATAATTTATATTCATTTACATCAATGAAGCTTTGCCATCTAAGTCTAATGTTGAAATTTTAAATTTACTTACTTGTTATTTGTTATATAATAATTGTAAATATATTTTTTAAATTTTAGAAAAGATTGTTTTTATTATCATTCTTTGACCTTTCATATCATAAAATCATCTCTCATTTTATTTCTCAACCATGCTTCTTACCACCCTCTCTGAGTAGTATTAAATTTATTCTGATACAATATATTTATTAGCAGTTAATGAATAATATTCTTCCTTTCTTATACCATATCTAAAATATTCATAAGTTCTTAGTTACAATGTTTTGGGACAAGCTCTCAAGTAGGCCATACATAAGGCAAATAGCACTGTTGCCGCTACTTTTAGCAAATATTTACCAAATTTGTGGCCACACCATTATTCTATTTTCCAATGTGGGTCTCAAGTTACTTGATACATATTGGAATATATTATAAGTAGTAAAAGTATAACTGACCTGAAGATGAAGAAGTCTTGACCCCTAACCATTGCATATTTCTTCTTCCACTCAAAAAAACAATTTTTTTCATTTGTATGTTTTGCCTGATTAGAATGGCAAATTTAATCTCTACACTACATGATTATTCTAAATAATTACATTTTGACTGAGAAAAAAAGTCAAATTAAAGTGGACAGGTTTATCTAAAACTCTAACTTATTTTTAATTTTTAAAACTTCAATGAAGGATTTTCTGCTTATAATATGAGTAAAAAAAAAGAAAAGAAGATTGAGATCTGCAGCCTTGATCAAGCCCTGAATGTCATAGGTGTATAAAATTTAATTTAGAAAATAAATATCCTTTTTTTATTGACATAATGGGATTCCATTAATATGCATAATAAATAGATTGAAAAAAAAAATTGATTAATGATCAATTTATAAGGAAGAATATATTGGTGAGAAGGAATAGTCTTCTACCTGGCAACTCGATCTAAGTAATGTATATGAATCATTGTTATTTATTTATTATAGTCGTAAGCATTGTATGACTATTAAAAAATTAATAAATAAATACTTGTCCTGCTGCTGGCCTTATACATTCGGCATCCCTGGGTAATGACATCATCTTCCCCTCCTGAAAAAAATAAATTGATTTCTTAGGATGTTTTAATTTATGTAATATTTTAATTTTATTTCATTCAACATTTCTCTTACACAGTTGCTTTATTGATAGGCTAAAATTATTTATTTTAATACGTTTTGTATTTTTTTTTTTTAATTCGTAACTAGTGGCAAGTGCCTCTGAAGATAGACCAGCGCCCCCAACGGGTACCCCAGTTGCCCTACGTTAAAGGCTAGAACTACTTTTCCTAATTGAGAAAACATAAAACAGCAAATATAATATCAACTCAAGGAAGGCCTTGTATTTTCATTGTAGGTTATCAAGCTAGATGTGATAATTGAGATTTATTTGGTCCAAAAAATGGAGATATTTTGTTGATTATTAAATTTCTTCAATTACTCTTTTTTCTTTTCCCAAAATAGCCAGTCTGTGCATAACAGCTCATTATCTCTTGCTAGGATTATCACTTCCAGTGAAATACTTCATTTATTTTTCTATTCTTTATATAATTTTTTTTTTTCTCTCTAGCCTCTATTTACAAGTATTCTGCAACCTGTAAATTTCCTAATTAAGAGGTTAATGGTCTAACTTCCCGCGGGGATCAGCCATAATGGGAAGTAGGATAATTCGATCCTATAATCTTTACTTTATTAATTTTAATGACTGTTAAAAAAATTAAATAAAAACAAATGAATATCAATATAAAAATACTTTGAAATAAGTGTTCTACAAACTAATATATTTATTATTAGATACCGAATTTTCATGCAGTAAAAATCTGATAAACGTGAAATATACAATTCTAAATGTATAATATCGTGTTGTAAAAATACAAAATATTTAAAATTGTGTAATTAACCTTGATCAAACCGAATAACATGATAATTCAATCTCTAATTAATATAATAAATTTAACAAAATATATGATTTTTACAAGTTTTTAAGTGTTAATTACATAATTTTAAATATTTTGGATTTTTATTGCACAATTTTGCACATTTTGAGTTTTTTACTGCACGAAAATCCTGTCTCTATTCGTTATTAACAATTTTTTTTTCTTGATTTTTTTGTAATTGCATACTTGCTGATTTATAAGTTCCATGTTCTTTGTTTCAATGAATGTTTTATATATTAACATAAAACTATCACAATACATCTATATGTTGAGTTTTATTTTACTAAGAAGAAGTAGATTAACAGAAACAGTAAGAACTATTATAAAACAAATATTAATGATGATCCAAAAAATGAGTTTTTAAAAAGATATTTATGGATATTATTGTTATCAAACTTGTTCATATTAGTACAAATAGAATATATTGACATTAACATGATTTTATTATTATAAGAGTTAATATCAACTCAGAGAAGAAAAGAATTGAAAAAAAAAATGTATAACATAAATTAACTAAACATAAAAACAAAAATTATAAAATATAAAACCTCATAATTTTGTTAAAATAAATATTTACCTGTATTGTTTACTTTTACAGTTACCAAATTATTTTAATTTTTCAATCAGTTTGTAATGTTTTTATGTGGAATGGTTCTACTTCTGGACTCTGAACTGCTCCTTGAATAGTATTGTTTCATTCACTATAAATACATTGAAATTTTATTATGGAGTTAAAATGGTTTATATTTTTTATATTGTCTATAGAAGGTGTGGTTTCATTTAATTTTGTGTTTTTATAAAAGATAGATATATATATTTTAAACTAATAATTTTATTTCAGTAAATACTGTTTCTTCACACGTGAGAAATTTGCATTTTTTTAGATGTTTGCATGAGCATACTTTTGAGCCATGCATTGTGTTTCCAGGTACAATTAATGCAATTATATTTGAAGTATGTTTTTATACCTTTTTAAATTATTTCAAATTTCAAGAATATTTGTCCACATTCATGTGAGTGTTTCGTTATTTTTTTCTACATTACTTTTTATTAAATGCAGATTTAGTCAGAAAATAAAGGTATTAAAACTTTTTTAATTTAGAAAAAAATTCATGTGCTTACTTTTCAGAAACCAGTTCAAATATGACTGTATTCTCGTATAAACTTGCAAATGAATATTCCAATTTAAGTATAGACATCCATAATGCAATTGAGCTACAGAACTTATCTTTGATTTCTGAAGAAAATTTAGATAAAATTCCTGATGCTATATTGTTACTTATTCCAGTAAGTAGTTTCGATCAATAATCTTCCATTAACTAATGAACTAAAAGCGTTTTTATTTTTGCTTCATTACTAACAGTTCGGTTTTTATCTAGTTCATCAACTAAGTAACGAAAACTTAACCTATTCTTTATCCTTCATATATATTTCAGATCAACCTAGATCCTAAATATTTACAAATTTGACTTTGTTTTAGGTGAATCATTTATCTTCTATAAATCGAAAATATCTTATGAATTTGATTATTCAGAGGTCTAGAAGTTCTGTTGTTAAACATTTAGTAAAAGCTTACTTGCTCGGAAACAGAGATGAATACTTTTATGAAAAAGTAGAATTAACATTATCTTATTATTATTGGCAAATCATTATTTTGTTGATGTAAAATCCAATATTTTATATAAAGTTACAGACTGTTGATTTACCTGTGAAGTCTTTGGCATGGATTGCGGATGTTATCAGTTCTGATGTCAATGGAGCAAAAGAAATCATAATTCATCCACCACTTCTTTTCTACTCTCCTCCTTTTTCTCTTCTATTTAATAATACATCTGAAAAGTAATGGTATATTTTTCATTCATATTTTATACATTTACAGGATATTAATTTTCAACCACTTGATATTCTAATTTCATATTTACTATTAATTTAATAGAAAAGAGTTAGATAACATTAGAAATGCTGTCCAAAATTCAAAGGCTATTTGTGTAGACTGTGGTGTACTCTCAATATATAATCTCTTCCCTCGCCCTCCTTTTGAGACAAATAAATAATTTTTATCTCAGAAAATATATTTTATTTTCTGGAAAGGGAGAGAGCTTAATGTTTTAAACAAAACAGAAAATTATTCATTTGGTACTGGGCAGTTAGAAGATTATATCATGTCTTAATGGAAAACTGTTCTGCAGTGCAGGCTTTATTTAGTACTTCAGGCCTTACTATTTTTGTATTAGTAAAGAAGTTTTTCAATTCATATTATTATGTAAGCCACTTACAAGTTTGAACACTAAAATGTTGTTACAATAAATTCCCAAAGCATCATAATATTAATTTAATTTATATTCCAATTATTTTCAAATCAATGGAGAGCCAAATCACCATAACTGATATTTTGGTAAAGTAATAATATTTCCAATAAAAAATTTAATAATTTAATTGTTTTTTATTAAATCTTTCAAATTTTCAAGGGCATTTAATAAAATTAATCGAGAAAACAACTTTATTTAACCCTTACACCTTCTCTCCATGTTTCAATTCATTTTATTTTTTTCGACAATTTAGTAATTTAATTGATTAAATATATAAAAACTAAGATTAAATAAGACTGATTTTATTAACAAAAATATTTATTATTATTAACAAAAATATTTAATTTAATAAAGTTTGAAACAGAAAAATTATTTTAACTCTGCTTAACAACTTTAAGATCATCAAGAGACAATTATTAGCACAAATATTTTACAAAATTAAGTTTTTTAAATTATTTTTCTTTTGATTTGATTGCTTAAAATTATCTTGATCTTAGAATTACATCACTCTGAAAATACGATCGGTGAAATTCTATTTTAAGGTAATATTATTTTTATCCGGCACAACTGACTGTCTTCTTTAGTATCTATAGTAATCCATGTTTGAACTTTGAGTAAGATCATTGCATCTTCAGCAATAGCCTCCACCCACCTAATGTTCCGTGTACTCAACTCTTCTTGTGCTATGGTTCTCTTCCTTTTACAAGAAGTTCCTCGGTGAGGTTGTTATTAGGATCTGCCCTTGAAGTGCTTCTTTAAGCTACAATAGCATCTATGGGCAGTATTGATTTTTATTATGTTATCTTAGTATGATTCTAAATCACTAGCTGATCCAAGATTTAATTTTGGGGGGCTTCAGCCCGAAATCTTTTTTTTTTTTCATAAAAATAACGATAATTACTTTGGAAAAACAGAAAGAAACTAACTACCTATTTGAAATGGTGTTTAAGTGATTCCTTAAGTCCTTTTAAATGTAATTACACGAACAATAATACTTTAAGAGGTATTTTTTAATTTTTTTTTCCATAAAACATGGTTATATTTTACCATTTAGACCATTTACCATGGGCTCCAGCCCGAAAGGTCCTCCCCTCCCCCCGTAGATCCACCCATGTTCTAAATTAAGTAATTAATCAGATGGTTCTGGCTAAATCTGATCTAATGATGAAACTCATTAGTTTTCTTTCATACTGAATTATGAAAGACTTTAATATGGAGCACCCATCTCTTCTGTTAAATTCACTCTGAGTACGGTGTCTTTTTTTTTCTCATATTTGTGTTAACTTATTGATAATTTCTTGAAGGAAATAAATTTAAAATAAACCCATATATATATATATATATTTATATACTTATTAGTTCAAAATGTTTGCTGTAGATTATTTTACCTCAGCCTTTGGGAGAAGTCAAACCACATCTCTAAAGAAATTAATAAGGCCTATCTAAGATTTTGGACCTATGCAACAATAAAAAACAGTTTTCCAGGGCCTCTCAACAATTGGAATGATCTCTGTTTAGAAAGGTACACCTCATCATTTATTTTATTTTACATTAGATGATCTTATGAAGTTTATATTAATATTAATTATTATAAACCATTAATTCTAATTCTTTGATTAAGAATTATATTATTTGATAATCCTGAAGTTAACAGTAAGATAACCTTGAAGTTTATTTTAACATGTGTTGAATTTTATTTCTAAATATTAATTTAATGTTTTTTAATTTTAATTACTTCCTTATCACTATTAATTAAGGATAGTATTGTAATAGGATTTCTGTTTTCTACAGACCTTTACATTTCATAGCCCTCTTAATCCAAATGCATTAGTATATTATCGATCAGTGGTCTGTGTTTTTTTATGTCTGTGCCACAATTACTTCTTGAAAGGGGCGGATTGAATTTATTACTTTTTTTTTGTACTGTACGGTTTTGGCCCCTAATACCTGTGTACCAAATTGGGTACCCTGGTACAAATACAATACTAACTATAGTTAGTGGCTACGCTAAAAGCTAACAATTTGTTAACAGAAATCCTTAATGATTTTAATAAAACTTGCTTTGCCTTAATGCACTTTTGATTTTTATATGTATGATATATTCTCTAGAAAAAAGTTATGATGACAAGAAGATGTTTTTATTGTATAACTCAAAAAGTAAACTGTATTGACAATTTTATTTAGAATAATTTGAAAGCAAATTAGATTCTCAATATAAAAAAAACCAAACATCAAAATTCAACCAGTATTAGCAAATCTACAACTAAACTATAAATAAATTATATATTTATTCATTGTTTTCAAAGTATTTTAAAAATATTTTGCTCACGTTTCAATGGAAACCTGTTTAATTTTTGTATATTTACCTCCACAACTTTATAACCAACAGTATTATAATCGGATAAACTGTAGTTGTGCATTTCTCAACAAATGTTTATTACTTTCCTACAGCTATTACATACATACATACATACATATATGGCGCTACATCCCGTCACCGAGACTGAGCCTCCTCTAAAAGCTTTCGCTAGTCTATACAATCAGCTGCAGCAGGTCTCCAGTTTCGGACTCTCAGTAGAGCCCGTGCGTCTGATGTCACTGAATCCTCCCATCTTACATTTAGCCTGCCAGCCTTTCTTCGTCCATGCGTCTTTCCGGACAGCAGTTTCCTGGGTATCGCCGAAACATCCATACGTGCTACGTTCCTGGCCTATCGAAGTCGTCCTATCTTTATAAACTTCACTAAGTCTATGTCTATGTCCTTTTAAAGGCAAACAAGTTTGGGATTTTTCCTTCTTCTCCAAATTCCACCCTCTCTAACAGGACCAAAAATCCTTCTCAAGATTGATCTCTCAAAGATCAGAAGTCTATTTTCATCTTGCTGCTTCAATGCCCATGCTTCTGATCCATAAGTTAAAACAGGGCAGACCAAGGTTTTGTAGAGAGTGATCTTGGTCCTGTTAGAGAGGAACCTGCTTCCAAAGTGCTTCGAAAGACCAAAGTAGCACCGTCTTGCCATTGCTATCCTTCTGTTGACTTCTCTAGAGATGTCGTTTTCGGAGTTGACCTCAGACCCGATGTAAACAAAGCTGCATACCTTTTCGAAATTAAATGTTCCAGCCACAAACGTTCCTACAGCTATTAGGTAAAGAAAGTTCTGATGTAATCATACCAAATTATTAAACTAGCAGCTATGTTTTTAAAAATATTTTGTACAGATATCCGTGCAAACCCATCTACTTTTACGAATAAATTGAGAACTGTCCATCTCTCAGAATATTCATTTGAAATATAATCATTAAATTGTGTACAAAACTTATATTTATAATAGTAATTTTTTTTTACCTCAGAATTGGTTACTGCGAATTTTTGCATGGCTACCTTCTCCACGTTCGAGAACCACCTACCTGTGTAAGGTGTGGTTCTCTTAGATCTGTGAACTACATACTCGTGGATTGCACACATTATGCAATTATCCGGAAGAATCTTAACATGCATGAGACTATCCGGGACGTGTTGCAGGATGCGGAGAGAGAAGTGGAAATCTTACTGGACTTCTTGAAAATAATTGGATTCTACAATAGAATATGAAAATTGTGAGTGAGTTAAGGATTGCCAATGACCCTATCGTGTAGAGGCAAACAAACAAATAAACAATAATAGTAAATTTGTACCTACCAAAATGGGAAGGAAAGTTCTGTGCATTACTATGCAGTTTTTGCTAATATAATTTTAGGATTATATTTTTTTAAAACGAAATTTAAACATCAGATAAATGAGTTTGGTTTCCAGTTAGGCTGCTTAGAGATTAAGCTCCCCAGGTCATTGATAATACTGCAAACTCTTACCAGGCACCAACCTAGCTTGTAGGTCCGCCTTGCATAGGAGCCCCAAATCTCAATCTTATTGCACTTATATGATTGCTTCATTCTTCAGCCTTGAAAACAGAGTAAATGAAATGTCAGTTGGATTGGCTAATTTCATCAACTATCAATTTATTAGTGATCTTGCTTAAATGTAATACATCATAATTAAATGTGTGTGTGTTACCATATAAATTTACTCATAAAAAATTCTTTTTTAATTTCTGTTTTAGGTGGGGTACTTTGCTTACTGCTTCTACATCAGATGAATTAAAGTTGTTAAACCATTCAAATATAGATAATTTACAATTACTATTTAGTTTTGGATTTTCAACTATTCAGGTTCTTATATCATGTGAATTATATAATTTTCTTATTATAACCATAATGTCATACTTATTTAATTTAAAAAAAATTAATCTCTGTATATTCCAACAGTTGCGCACTTTATTTGAAGAATTCTCTGAACGGCTCATGAATTCTAGGTTGGGTTATTTTACCCTGTCAAATTTGCTAATTGAGCTGTTACCAGATCAGTTATTACTTTTTTCAAAAATCATTCCATATATTGAACAATTAAAGGTTCTTCCATCAATTAAATCTATACCTACTTCAAAACAGGCAAGTATTTATATAAGCAACAATGATTTATTAATTAGCAACAAACCTTTTATTAAATAAAAAAATATTTTGTTGGACAAAAATTACATTTTAGATTTTTGAAATATTGATGTTTGAAAAAGAAATTGGCGATGAAGATGGTTTTAGTTATATTAACAATTATTCATATGTTCTGCCTCTAAAAACTTTGTCAGAGAGTTTGATACATCCTTTACCACTGTCAAGTCTCATTAAAATTCAATCTAACCATTTTTCAAAAAGTCAGGTAAAATGAACCTTTACTATATTTTATTAGAAATTTATATAGTTAATTAATTTCTAAAGTTCTCGTTACAGCTTTATATTTTGTCTTCAAGAAGTGAAATGTTTGATTTTGACTCAGAATATATATTTGAATGTAAAGATTTGATAAAAGTTTTGCCTGCGAGGGATATTATCTTTAATCAGACAGCATCTCATGTTCTGCTGCATTTGCTTTCTGTGGTTGCAGGAGACAATCCTCCTCAATCATTTTCAGTCCTTAACAAGCTGTGGACTCTAGTTGGTGAGTTGGAGTTAAATGTGTACAGATAAATATTAAAAATATTTCTCAATAATTATTTAGTAACATATAGTAATCTAAGGGATTAAAGAGGATAAGTTGTCACATTATAATTTCTGTAATCTAAAATTAAACTTTTGGTTAAGTCTATATCTTCCTATATATACCGTCGATACTAAATGAAACTAAAATGATGTACTATTTGTAATTATAATATGGAAACCTGCAAGAAGCCGTTCTTGTTCTTACAGAGATCTCTGTGGCAGATACTGTAACCATATGTTCAGCTCATCAGAACTTCTCTTTCTTGATAAACTTAACTACTCTTAAACTGCTGAAAATGTATATTTTCATTAATTTTATTAATTTTTGAACTAAATTTTGATAAAATTGGAAGTTTTATTGCTTATTTTCCACTTGGACCTATTCTGACAACAATCTTTGGGTTTATTACATTATTGGCCTCAATTTTTCTGAAATTTTGAGTTTCATTTATTATTGAGATATAAATATTTTAAATCGCTAATTAATATTCTGTATCAACAGGTTCTTCTGATGTATTTAAAAAAATTCTTGCTAACAGAGATTCTGATGTACTACTAGAATATATTCCTTCTCGTTTCGTTGCTAAATACTTTAATAATATTTTAATTACGATTGGAGAAAATATCAACAGTCACACTAAACTACCAGATTCTTTTGTGAGTTTTAAAATTCTTTTTATTTTGTAAATTTATCATAATTTTCAATCTATTCATTTTAATAATTTAAAGAACTTTTTGAACTCTCAAGAAATAAGTTTCAAAATTATGTTGCATTACTTTTATTAATACTTTTTTTTTGTGATTATCTTTTTTATTTATAATTAATGAATTACTAGTATTAATAGTTATTTTTTAAATTAAGGTTTCTTCTTTGCTTATCAGTTTAAATGAAACTGAAAAAACCTTCAGTTTATTAAATGTAAAGGAGTCCTCAGCATTTCTGTTTAATGGTGTTTCATGTTTTGACATTTATTTATTGGACCCTTATGACTTTGTTGTTTTTATGGCCAAGTTTACTGAACAGAGAAGGATTTCTGGAAAGGTACACCAGTTTTTTTATTGTTTTTATTGTTTTAACAGTTGCTAAAGTTTAAATGTATATATATTTTTTCCATTTTCAGGATTTTCCAAAACCTCTACAACAATGTTGCCTTGATAAGTTTTTCGCTTATATTGAATTGAAGTCCTCTTTATTTCAGGGAATTTTGGGTGAAAGTAGACTCTCTTTATTGAATGAGGCCGAAATTGACTCCATTGGAGGTTGATATTAATTCTATTAACTTATATCTTAAATACTGTAAAGATTAACTTACCTTATTGGTAATATACTTTCATTTGATCGAGTTGTCTGAACTGTCTTTTTTTTTATCTCCAAAATTTCAGACTATTATCAAATACTAACAATGTGATACATTGAAGGTGAGTGATTAATAGTGATCTGTCTAACAATTCATAACATATTTATAATCAAGAAAATTAAAAAAAACTATATCTTAGAAAAATTAAAATAAATTTTTAGAAAAAATAAAATTAAACACTATGTACCCTAAAATACTACAGTGAAAATCTCTTTTGAAGAAACAAAAACACATGTTTTTATAAAACATTTCTCATTTTTTATATATATCAAATATTTACTTTAAATTTAGTTTATACATGTATTAATTTAACAAAGGTCTATTGATTTTTGTAACATTCGATGAGAAGTAACGAAAAGTTAATGAATTTTTATATTATTGAATAGGAAATAAACATTTCCTATTTAGACTCTAAATAGAATTTTGATAGATAAACCTCTTTTTATAGAGGTTGTCACACAATTTATATTTGTTCATAGAATTATCATAATTTATATTATTTTTTTTAAATATTTTATTTATAATTAACATAATATTCCTAAAGTTTATTAACTTTATGTATTAAGAAATTAATTTCTAGTAAAAGTGGGATGGTAAGTGAAAATTATGCGATACATCTCACCACGTTTTCAATATTGCTTTAAAAATACTTTGCCTTTGTTTACACCATTGTAAATCAAAGTATTTCTATATAAATTAAATAATAATATGTTAATGAACATAACTTTGAAGCTTTTTGATTTTATTTAGGATACATTTTTTCTGCATTGCCTATTAAACCTGTAGCAAAAGCTAAACATTCGAAACGAATTATTAAATCCATTGGAGAGCTTTCTTTATCAGAATTAATAATGGCTGCACCAATATCAAGATTACAGGAATTTGGAACTCTTTTGGTACATGATGTAAGATTTTAAATTAATATGCTATTATTATACCAATTTATTTATTGATTATAGATGAAGGGCATAACTAGAAGGATGAGTATTTAATTTTAGGCTGAGGGAATTAGTCTTTATTTTCTTATTAGTTTCCTCTAGAATGTTTCTTATTAGAATCCTCATTAGAGATAGTCTATCAGCTCCCCAACTTGAGTGCGAAAGACACTTGAGTAGCCCTAACCTTTTTGAGCAACTATCTTTTAGATGTTTAATATGGTTAGTCCAAGTTAAGCGCTTGTCTTGAAACATGCCTAAATATTTCCGCTCTTCAACAAACATTATGTTATTTGATCTCAACCATAATTGGGGATTATGCGTGCAACCTCTCAAATATGCAGTGCGTTTGTTTTCAATGCTGAAATTATGAAACCACTACGTCTCGACCATTCGTCTGTTTTGTTTAGGACTTCCTGAACCTTCCATTCAATGAAATTGATTGATTTGCTGCATGTAAACAGCAGGATATCGTCTGCGAACAAAACAATTTTCATCTGTTTCTCAATAATCGTGGCCAATTCATTGATGGTGATTAAAAACAATGTTACACCAAGTGGAGAGCCTTGTGGAGTACCGTTTCTCAGCGTGCTGGTTGTGGATTATGAGCTTCCTATTCTAACACAGAATTTTCTCTCCTTTAAGAAATTTTTTATATATCGATATATATTTCCTGTTATTTTCCAGGACCTTAATATTTTCAGCACTCGTCCTCTCCACATTGTGTTGTATGCCTTTTCAAGGTCCAAGAATATACTAATTAGATGTTCCTTTTGGGAGAAAGTTTCTTCTGATTCTTCCTTTAATATTAGTATTGGGTCGATACTAGAAAAGTGTTCTCTAAACCCAAACTGATGGGTGGAAATATTACTTTAATACATATTTGGTCTTATCCAGATAAAACAACATATAGTTGTTCATGGGAAAAACATACTTTTCTTAAGTAGACTTCAATCTGCTTAAAATATTGTCCTCATGCTTTATTTATAATGACTGCAAACACTTAAGATTAACTTTGAACGTAAGATTGATCTAGTCCAGGGGTCCACGAGCCACATTGAGACGTCGATTAAGTTCTGCAGGCCGTATCAAGACCTCCCCCGAAGTCCCGTGGTCACTAGGCCATGGCTAGTGATGAAAAAAAATATCTTATTTTTTAAATGCCACTTTAGCTGTGAAATGAACTTACTAATAGAAAAAACCCATGCATTAAATGCTGTAGTAATTACATATGTAAGTAATTTACTAAATTTCATATTTTTGAATTCTTTTTCAAATTTTAGAATCTTATCAAAGAGACTTTCGCAGGCCGAATTGAGGTGCAGCCGGATCTGGTCCGCCAGCGTAGTTTGGAGACCTCTAGCCTAATCAAACAGTATGCTTGTCATATATATCCTACCATTATATTTTTGACCAGATGGATTATTTATACAGCTGATGTAATTCTTAGACCAGCTCAGCTGAATAGCTATTACAAGGAACCATGATGATTGGTGGAAGTTGTCCAAATTTATTTTTAGAAATAAGTGTTTTTTGTTTTTTTTGGAATCGTTCATGATCTATGTCTTCGATGAATATTTGATTTTTAGTGGTTTATAAAACTATCTCTAACAATTTATTTTTTAAAATAAGTGTATTTGAAATTGGTCATCATCTATGTCTTCGATGAATATTATAAAACTAACAATGTACTATATTCCGTGCCCGGTGTCGCAAGTAATTATTTATTGTTACACCAACCATGGATTGAACCTAGGGACAGGAAACCCTCCTGAGTTACATCCAGCCTCTATTAAGTGTGTGTGTTTTTAGATGAGATACTTAATAGTATGGTAACAGTCAATGTGCTAATTAATTTACTCATTGATTAGATTTAGTTTTTCTTTTTTACACATTCTTTTTTTAATTGAATTTTTTTTTCAGAATTTTATAGCTGGCAAGCAAATTGATTTTCCTTTATTTGATTTAGGAAATTTAACTCTCTTTTTAGACAAAAAGTATATTACAAAAATAAATGAAACATATTTTCAACTGTTGCTTGAAAGTAGGTTCATAGACCACAGAGTATGTACTAACAAATCATCTCGCTTAGCTTGGTTTAATTTTCTAAAACAATGTTTTGGGTAAGCTTTTTATTTATTTGATATCTTAATTTTATTCTAGTCACTAATAAATAAATATTCTTTAACATGTACATCATAAATATATCATTTAGGAGCTTTGTCCTTTAATTTTAGCTGCGATTATAATTGTTTGAAAAAGTGTATTTCGTTTGATTATAATTATTTTATATGTTCTTAAACATTAATAAAAGATGGTTAAATAATCCGAACATGTAAATTGGATGGCCTGTTCAGATTATCAAAGGTTAAATTTAAAATGATAGAGAAGTTGTACAAGGCAATGAAAATATATGTATTATCAGTTATATATAAACACATTGCAAAAAAAAAAAAAAAATCTGAAAATAAACATATAATTTACGTCTCTGATTTTGTTGCTGAAGAAAACACCTGATTACACAAATTCTTTAAAAATGCCAGGCTTCGGTAGTCGAAGTTGTATCCATCCGTCCACTCCATGTAAGTATTAAATGCCTTTAATGGTGTTTCTATCACTGATCTATAATGAAAAATAAAATAGGTTGTTTTATTTTGAGAAGGTGGCACCACAATAGGATTTTGGCACTACCACACAAAGCAATGCCAGTAATATGTAGTGAGAACTAGAGCCATTTCCATTCTTTTTCTCATCAGTCAACTTTTTTTTCTTTCTTGTTCAGGTTATCAGAAGTTTTTATCTTAAGACAAACTTGTGTTAATTTGCAGAAAATATGCAAATGTCCTTGTGTTCATTATTTTTAAATAAGCACTATCCTTCATAGCTTTTTGCGGTAAAGGATGTAATTGTCTTCTGGTAACCTTGTAACTGTTAACCACTGAGGGTGACTCCCACTTGAAGGTGGCCCTGAGGGTGACCACCCTGAACAAGATTTGAGTTGGTTTTTGATGAAGTTGGACTCTTCCAGTGCATGGATCGGCACTTTGTTTCAGAACTATAAATAAAAAATTGTGATTCATCAATCTGCATTAAAAGGAACAAGATTTGAGTTGGTTGAAGCTGTGAAAGAGAAAATGGTGTGCATCCTGAAGGAGCTAAATGAAGAAGACTTCCAGCACTGTGTGAGATAATGTAGGATACCCATGGAGTGTTAGGGAAAGAGGAGGAGTTTACATTGAAAGTTCTAATAAGTAAATATGTATGAAATCAAAGTAAAATGTTTTACAGCATCAGTTTCATCATTTAAATCGCTAGGCTTTAATTCATATATATTTCATAATGCATAAGTAAATATTCATTTTAGTTTTCATACAAAAATGTAAATTTTGAACTTATTAAAATCTTGCTTTGATGGTTGGCTCCAATAAGATTTTTTTTTTTCAGAGAAACTAGTAATTGGACTTACCAAACGTTAGTCACACTTGGCGATTTATTGATTGTAGTACCAGATAAAGAACTTGACAAAATACCATCAAATTCATGGAAATATGCAGCTGATGTTTTAATTTCACACTATAATGACATTATTAAGTATTCGCCTTCTTTAAAGTTTTATGAGGTAAAATTGAGTGCTTTACTACCACCTTATTCACTATTAGATTTAGTTTTAGTGAAAAAATGCTGTGTGCTGTAATAATGAATTAATTTCTTTTTTTTTAATAACTACTTGAGAAGTGAAGTAGAAAATTCCAAAACCAGACAAATCAATTTTTAAATTTTTTTATTTATCTTATTTTTTGTTAGGGTTACAGTCAGGGAGCAACACAAATAATAACAATAGTGTGTTCTCTCTGATTCCAGCTACCAACTATTTTATCAAAAATCAGCTATTTCTTCACCAATATTTTTTTGTTAAATAGACTATCGTAAAATGAAAGAATTTATTTTAAAACAGTTTAATAATATGTGGAAACAATAATTTTTAAACAGTTTAATAATGTGTGAAAAAAGAATTTTTTAAAAACAGTTTAATAATATGTGAAAATAAGTATCTTTTAAAAACAGTTCAATGAAATTAAAACAAAAAAAAAAATGTTTTTAAGGAAATTCTTTTTTCTCATGATTGTTTGGTGCCCAAATTGTTAATTAATAAAAAATTGAAACTGGATTTGGGTGATTTTGGAATTATGTGCCTCCAATTACTTCTTTATTTCTGGTGCTAGTTTATCATATTAATATTTATTTTCTTTGATTTTTTTTCACTTATTTTTTATATATTATTTATGAGGAAGAGTTGTAATCTTGCCAGATTTTATAATTGAAAGGCACGTCTTCCATTGGTAATTTTTATTTTTGTTGTTTTAGTCCAGCATTTCAGGTTTCTGACACATCTTCAAAGATAGTTTATTCTGGTAATTGATAGCTCATTTATATAATCAAAAAAATACTTCTTCAACATTCATCTCATTAACATACAAAGCATGTTAATTGTTTAAAATATGTTTAAACTAAAATAAATCTTTTTTTCCAAATATTTGAGATGGATCTTTTTCAAAGGGTGTGTACCAGATTATTTTTGATATGTGGACTTCTGAGAAGATGCCAAGAGAATGGTCTGAAGCACTAGTATGTCCAATATACAAAAAGGGGAGCCAAACTGAGTATAGAAATTATCAGTAAATATCCCTCTTTGGAATAGTATACAAAGTGCTCTCAATAGTGAACAGCAGGAGATTATTAAAATGGGCTGAGAAAGTAGTAGGAGAGTACCAATGTGGTTTTAGACCAGGTTGGTCGGTCTACCACTGATCATATATTCTCGGTAAGGCAAATGCTGGAGAAATCAAATGAGTATAATGTAATTCTACACCATTTATTTATCGATTTCAAACAGGCCTATGCTACTGTTGACAGGGAGAATATTTATAAATGCCTGCATTCTTTAGGGTTTTCCATTGGACTTATTCGCATGATTCTAAAGAATACATCCCGTAAGGTCAAGTTTGGAGATGTCCTAAAGGTTATAAGGTAGAGAAAGGATTGCGCCAAGGTGACACACTGTCAGTTTTGCTCTTCAACCTTGTATTAGAGTCTGCAATTCGTAAAATAAGAACAAATCCACGTGGTACTATTTTCAATAGACTAGCACAACATATGGGTTTTGTGAATGACGTGGTAATCTCAGCAAGAACACATCAACCTTCATTGGGTGGACTGGAGGAGTTCCTGGGAGCTGCAAGGGAACTTGGACTTGAGATTAATGTCCAGAAGACAATGTATATGCAGAAAGCTAAAAAGTATGGTGAAGAATAGACAACTCAATTGGGTGACTGCGAATTACAATTTTGTTCAGAATTCAGGAATCTCGATAGCTTGATAACCACCGATAATTTGACAGAAGCCGATATAAAAGCCTGGATCGCTGCTGGGAACCGCTACCTATGGGGTTTGCAGAAGGCCCTTAAGTTCAAGAACCTCTCAAGAAAGGCAAAGATCTTAATCTATGAGATCATATTAAGGCTGACTGTCACCTATGGAAATGAATTATGGAACTTGACAGCAGAAAATAAGAGAGTTTTGAAAGTCTGGGAAAGAAAAGTTCTTCGTCGAATATTCGATGCAGTGAAAGCAGGAGATGCCTGGTGAATTAGAACAAATAAGGAGCTGCATGAATTATTTGGAGAGGGAGACATTGTCTCTTATATCCAGCTGGGCTTATTAAGGTGGTTGGGACATATAGAGAGAATAGACTCCTGTAGAATCCCTAAAATCTGATCTATGGGAAGCCAGGTGGTGAACGAAAGTGGGAAAACCTTGGCTGCGATAGCTGGGCGATGTCAAGACAGACCTGAACACATTAGGGGTACACCGCTTGAGAAGATTTGCTACAGACAGAGCCAAATGGGGCAAGCTGTTGATGGAGGCCAAGGTCCTATAAGGACTGTAGTGCCAGTTTGTGAATGAGTAAGCGAGTTTTTCACAGTCATACTATCTAGAGTATCTGAATATGTTTACTCAAATATTTGAAGAAAAAAAATGTATTTTAGTTTAATCAATTGGCAAGTGTTTAACATACGTTGTATGATAATGAGATGGATGTTAAAGAAGTATTTTTTTAATTATATAAATGAGATAGCAACTATCAGAATTAATTGTCTTTACAGATGCGTCAGAAACCCAAAACTTCAGACTGAAGGAACAAAAATATATATTTTTGTATTTGTGATGTTTTTAAACTTATCTATTTAATTTTTTCAGTCTAAGAAAATTTTACTTAGACAAAAAAATCTTTCATTGTAAAAATAATCTTACTTTTAATCCAATAAATTTTCCTTACTTTAATTTCAGGTCTGCATGCTACAGCTAAGTTCTGATGAAGCCCAATGGTATTTTAATGATTTAAAACAATTGGTGAAAGTATTTGCTAGTGCTGCACAGTTACAGCTGAATACTGTTACTACTGCCGAGGAGATAAAAAAGAAAAAAAATTCAAATGGTGGACTTTTCACATTCATTAATTCAAGAAAATCAAATATCAAAATCTCCCGACATTCTATAAAAAACGTAATCAAAACTGAAAAATCTTTAATGGAAAACGAAACAGATCCTCATGTTACTGGCACTATAAATAAAGATGAAATTGGGTTTTCCAATGTAATGTTGGGCAATGAATCCTCTTCCACCCCGAGATTTCCTAATGTTCATAGCATTGATTTGGAAAATATAACAGAAACAGTTGTAAATGATGGGTGTAGTTTTTCAACTGGTTGTCGCAATTATTTTCCAGAAGAAAAAACTACACATTATTTTGATTCCACCTCTGTAACATCCGCTAATGAAAATAAATCCTCTGCTTTTTATCAAAATGGCATTTCTAAAGAAACGAATGGAAAGACTGACCCTGTCAGTGAACAGCCTATTTTTAAATTTAACAGTATCAATGAAACAAATATAACCTCTAGTAAAGAAACGTCTACACTTTTTAATATTTCTGAAAAATATTTGTATCCTACTACTACATTAGATGATGTTACATACATGAATTTTCCTAGTTCAACTGGCAAGAATAACTCTGTTTATTCGTATGATCTTGAAAATACTAAAGATTATTTTACTACAAAAAATTGCAGCAATGGTGCAATGGAAAGTTCAACAACTTCATTTCAAAATGAACTCGCAACATCTGCAATGGAGGTTTCCTCAAAAATATACAGTAATATATATAATTTTAATACATCTGGTTTTGAAATAGATTACAATAATTCACTATCGGAATCCTATCCGTTAAACACTGCAAATAATACGATAACTGTAGATACAAGTACAGCTGAAGTTAGCCCATCAATACACTCTGAAGAACTCATCACTGACAGTTCTGATCATACATCCAAAATGAGCTCCACACCAATAAGTACAACTTTTAATGAGAATATAAAAAATAAGTTCAAATTTATGGATAAAACCCAACTTGAAAATTTATTAAAGAACAATAATACTAAAACCGAATTTTTAAAATTCAACTTTTCATCACTTGGAATTAAATCAAGAAAAAGCAGTTTTAATATAATTGGAAGTGCTCGAAAAGGAAGAGTGAAGAGATCAGTAGGACAAGTATGTTGACAGAGTAATTTATTTTTTTTTTGTTATGGACCAATTTATTTATTTATCTGTTATTTTGTATAACATTTTATGAAATAACTTGGATTAAGCACTTTTTAAAAAAAAACATTTAGTCATTCATTTTTGAATATATATATTTTTTTTATATCTGTCGGAGAAAATCATTTATTTATGTTCAGAATAATTAATGTAACTGTGATGAATGCCCGGTACATGGGACAATGTATATATACACATCTAGTCTACGTCTTATGGCTTCCTGTCCTTATTCTTAGTCATCTTAAGGATGACCTCCACTTGCTTATGCACTTCCTCTTTTCAGTGGCCTGCCAGTATTCCTTCATCCAAGATTGCCTGACAACCAGTTAAACCAATATTAACATGATAAAATAAATACAAGTTTCTGTCCCGTTGCTGGAGAGGCTTTTACCTCTGGCATAAATCCTCTCCTAAAAGGCGGAAGAAGAAGGGAATGAAAAAAAAAACAATTCCCATTCTGAGAAAGCCATCTGAATATTTAAATTTTGATCATAAATTTAGCATATGATAGCAGCAATGATAACTTCTTTCATTTTCTAAATTGACATTAACAATAAAAAAATATTTACTTTAAGAAGGCAAAAAGTGAGAAAATAAAGAAATACAATTAAAATATATTTTATCAGTGACCTGTTGCCTAATATCTATTAAATTAAAACACAATAAAATGGCACCGAACATAAAGTAAATGAAAATTTAATATGTTTTATCATTTCTATGGATTGATTGATTTTTTTAAATTATGATATATCGTTGCTCAATGATCTTATTTTGCTAATATATATATATATATATATATATATATATGTGTGTGTGTGTGTGTGTGTGTGTGTGTGTGTGTGTGTGTATTATATAATGATCATTATACTGCTTGTCTCAGTTATAGAATAAAAGAAAACAAATCGCCATAGGTTTGCTGAGTAAGTTAATGACAATTGTGTATATAATAACTCATAAGCTTTTTTGTATTATTATTTTATTTAATCCTCTTTAGTGAATTTTCTAAGCATGCCATGAGATACATATATATAGGATATTTATAAAACTTAATTTTGGCTTTTTATCTAAATTGCCTGTGTCGAGTCTTTCAATCAAGGAGGATTTAATTTAGTTTTTATATATCTGAAATCTAAACATACTGTTTAAAATCTGATTTTAGGTCCTTCAATGTTCTATGTATTATCCAGTTACAGTGATAAACAAATACAATTGTATAGCATAAAGACATAAAATATTTAAGCAATAAGCTAAAAATAAACAGGAATTAGTTGAATGCTCTATTTTATCATTACTAAGTCTAAATAAATATTTTAATTTTATAAAAAAATATTGGCTATCTATAATGAAGGAAACAAAAATTATTTCCTCTACTGAAATTATGAAACTGTTTCAGTACTCTTGTGAAGCTCTGAAGATGGTTGGAAAATTGGCTGAAATTATAGTTTCAGTTGAACTTATTCAAACCATGTCCAAGGAAGATTTAAATGAGTGTGTCGATTTATTTTCTGAAATGGATTTACCTATGAATGTTAAGAATCTGATTTGGAGTAAACTGAAATTGGTAAAGTTAATAAATAACTCCCTATTAAATAAAGTTAATTTCCTTTGATTTTTAAAATTGGATATTTTAACAGCGAATATCTTAATTAAAATTAAAATTAAATAAAACTTCATTAAAAGCCAATACCTTTATGCTATACATAACAATTAATGTTAATTAATAATATAATTATTAATTATTTTATTAATTTTCACAGGATCGTATATTTTTGTACGGAAAATTAGTCAGCGCCATTAATAGCTCAGATGTGGAGAATATGAATTTGTCTATATCAGATCCTTGGGCATTAGAAATCATAAATCTCATAGCGAGATATTCAAATGATCCGGACGTGGTAATTTGTAGAAATTTTTATTCAATTCAATCGTTTCAATTTTTGTTGATTAATAATATTTTTATAAAAATGTCTACTATTTAAGAAGATATATTTTGTATAAGATCTATTCCTAGCCCTTTTGAACTATTCTCTTCCATAATTATTTATTTTACATTTATATTTACATTTTTCCTGTATATGATTTAACATTTCATGAATTTTTATACTCATCTTTAGGGTTACATTTAATGTTCTGTATTGGTTTTTTATTTACTTCAAATTTGGTAAAGAAGTACTTTTCTCCCTTGTTATTCATCATCCATACATCGTTCATCCCGAACAAGTGTATTAACTCAAAAAAAATGTTTTTTCTTTGTTTTTTTATGGAAAAATGTAGTTCAAGATATTAACTTTCACTAGGAATTAAAAGTAAATCCATGCCATTATGAATGCCATGAGTATCTTGTCTTCTGACCTATTTCCCTGGTTCTAATGTTACCCTGAAAAATTTCCCTCATTTTGAGTTAACACACTTTTTTTCGGGATGGACAATATGATAGATAAACAAATATAATATAACATTATGTATAATATTTTAGTTTTATGTATAATAATAGTATTCATTTAAATTAAATTCTTAAAATGAACAATGTACTTTCTACATAAACTAAACATTAAATAATAATATTTATTTTTTACATATGTCGACGTTTCGACCTGAAGTTCAGGCCTTCATCAGGGCTAAGAAAATAACCAGATAACAAGGTATGAGAAACATAAGTAATGATGGTAAAAAAGATAATAAAAAATGAGAAAATAAAATAGATTAGATCTAGATAAAATAGATCTAAATAAAATATTAGAATATCTTCCCTCCTTCCTTTCATTCCTTTTCTCTGTTGTTAACTCTCTATTATATTATTCTCTATTTTCATTTCTTATATAACTTTATATTTCTTTTTTATGTTTTTACATTTTATTCTAAGATTCCCAATGTAACACTTTTGTCACCCCTTTTTGATTATGCCTACTTCATCATTCCACACTATGTAACAGTCTGTATTATTTATCTCTTAGTTCTTAGTCATTATTCTAACAATTTCATTTTACTTTATATCTATCTATTTTATTTTTCTAATATTTTATTTAGATCTATTTTATCTAGATCTAATCTATTTTATTTTCTCATTTTTTATTATCTTTTTTACCATCATTACTTATGTTTCTCATACCTTGTTATCTGGTTATTTTCTTAGCCCTGATGAAGGCCTGAACTTCAGGTCGAAACGTCGGCATATGTAAAAAATAAATATTATAATTTATTTTTGCCTTCCTTTTTTGACTGAGCACCCCAACTATTCTTCTCTTCATTATCCACGACAGTCAACCAATTACCAATTATAAACATTAAATAGTAATTAATGTAAAATAATTATGTAATTAAATAATTCATCAATTTTTTTAATTTTATTTTGTATGTGATCTAGAAAGAACACGTCATTAAAAGTGTTAGTGGTACAAAAAAGAAGCATTATACTGTAGAAATACTAGTAACACTTGGATCATTAATTTGTAAACTACCTGAAATAAATTCTCAATTAATTAAGCCATCAGAACTTCTAAAAGCTTCTGTAATATTAGGTAGAAATCTTCCATGTAATTATTCCTGTTTACAAAAAATAGCTAATATTGCCGCTAAAGAAGGGGCTTTTGAAGATCCTTCAAAATGGAGTGCTAAGGATGTTGCAGACCTTGGTATTATTGTCGCAGGTAAAATTTTATGTTTAAATGTTTGTTACTAATTAAAAATAAATAAGGAAGTGGTTAATAAAAGTTGACTTAAATTTTCGTTCTAAGAATCACTGCCATATACTTCTCTTAACATTTTATCGACATACCCGTACTCAGTTACATGGGTACCTTAAGAGTATCAGAGACCCTTAGGAATAAAGGATAAGAAAAAAAAATCATTTTTACTCAGAAAGGAAAATGTGTCAGGTCTGAAATGAAAACTTACTAATGAGTAGAGACTGGATTTTTGTGCATTGAAAAACCACCCTCTAAATTGAACTTGGGTATAATTTATAGTAACATAAGATAAACCTATTTATAACTTCACAATGAAAGACTATTAACCTAAATCTAGTGAATGAAAATCAATATATAAAGCTAATCTTATATATTATTACAAAAATTGCATGCTTGAATTGAGGCTTTGTTAGAGGTGTAGGTCAATCTAAATTTTAAAAAAAATTCATTTTGAGTAGGGTTGGACTGTTCCAGGCAGAACGAATTCCACCACTGGAACGGTTCGGAGCGGAACGAGACCCTAGGAAACTTCGTTCCGCTGGAACATAATCTAAGAATATAAATGTCTTTAGGTTTTGATGGGTAAATGTTTGTCAGTAAAGAAATAGGTACAATAGGGATTTGTAGCAATGCGCTGATTGTCACCAAAGTGGATTAGTTTGTTTGCTTCAAAAGTGAATCGTAATGACTGAATTTAATTTAATGTGTTGTTAAATATAAAGGAATATAATTAAATAAAATATAATAAGATCCTAACCATGATTTTAAGATAGAGATTTGCAAACTTTAAAAATATTTATTATAATGCCAAGATTCAGATAAACTATTAAAATGATTATAAACTAATTATTAATAATATGAAATAAATATTCTAATCAAATTTTGTTATTATTATTACGACAGATGATAAATATGTGGTTCTGTTGGGCAAATGAAATTTTTCATAGATTTTATATTATTGGTTTATTTGAATTTATAAAACCTAATATTTCTCATTTTATTTGATTTTATTTTTTAGCTACCTATAAAAGTCATGAGAGATATGTTTAAACATTTTAAAACTTTAAAAAAAATATTGATTTTTATTAAATTTTGGCTTTTATTATTATTATTATTATTTTATTTTAAATTTATTTGTAAGTAATATTACAACGGCAAAACAAAGAAGAAACAGAACTAACAATCTCGTTAGTTGTAATACAAATTTCTTGAACCAGTTCGATGAAACCATTCCACCCCTGGAACAGTTCGGAACGGTTCCACCCAGAACAGTAACAGTCCTCTGTTAAAAATTTAGGATTTTTCATGGATCAAACCCTCTCCTGGACCTACCATATTTCTCACATTTCCCGTTGGACAATTTCTACCCTTAAACTATTTCATCGCTTCCGCCATCTCCTACCTCAACATATCCGTAGACTCCTAATTTCCTCTCTCATCTTCCCCCACTTTGACTACAGCTGTGTGGTGTATGATGGCCTCTCGGTGGAGCTCCGTGATAGACTGAAAAGATTAATGAATAGCTGCGTAAGATTTGTTATTGGTGCCCCAAGGTACTCCCATGTCTCCCACCACTACACTGAGTTAAGGTGGCTCTTCCCCTCCTTCCGAAGACAATACTTTCTAGGTACGTTCCTCTACCAAATCATCAACAACCATCGTCCTTCTTACGCCTACAACCTTCTCCAGTTCAAATCCTCAGTCCATTCCCTGTCCACAAGATCTCGACCTTCTGACCTTTACATGCCTTCTCACAGATCTGCCTCATTCCAAAATTCCTTTATTGTTCGCTCTGTCAATTTCTGGAATTCCCTACCTATCAAAATTCGACATTCCCCCTCCATATCCACATTCAAATCCCTCCTATTCCAATTCCTATCACAAAAACAGTCAGATACTTGCTAACCATTCGAGCGGATTTCAATAGAGAATTTGATACATTTTTATTTTTTAATTCTTTATTTTTTTCGGAAAAGTGTATACTGGTCTATAAGAGCAAATAGCTTTAAGTTTCTTGTCATAGTATTAATGGTTTTGTATATAGTTTAGTTTGTTTTGTATATAGAATTTTTACCTTATATTTTTTTCACATTATTTCTTTTTTTGATTTATTTTATTTTGGCCAGATGTAATATTTTAATTTTGTTCTATTTTGTTATTCTCAAGGGACTGTGTCCCAGAATAAAGTTATTTTTCTAAAAAAAAACAAAAAAAAAACAGTCTTTCTTACTCCGAATGGCCTTGAATTCCACCTTGGAACGGTTCGAAATGGCTCCAACCGGAACAGTCTTTCTCGTTCCACTCGGAATGTCAACACTTTTATGTTCCATTAATTGCGTTTTCATTCCAATCTGAGATTTCAGTCTAGCCATCCGTTTAGAATGATCATGATGCAGATTAAAGTGTCTACGAGTGTTGTTAATTTTATTTTAAATTAGTAAGTCTTAAATTAATTATGTTGTGCGTATAATAAAAAAAGCAAATTAAAAAACAGAAATGAATTTTTATCCATTAATATTTTTCTATAATTTGGGGCAAGGGAATATTTAAGGAAAATTAAGACAAATATATGAATTTTACCAGTCAAAAAATAGTTTTGAAACCTGCAGTTCAATCTCCGCATTCTCCAGGAAGAATTAAATAAGATAAATTGCGAATAAATGTGGAAAAAATCAAAATTATGAGGATTGCCAGAAAACAAGGAAGAGGAGACAGAATAGTGCACTTGAGTGGAGTTCCGTCGGAACAAGTGAAAAATTTTAAATACCTCAGTGCCCATATCAATGAACATGAATGGATCGACGGATAAATAAAGGAAAGAGTGAAGGCTGCAGGAAGGTGCTTCAACACCATCAAGAAAAGATTCTTGAACAAGAGAGAAGTGAGTAAAGAGACCAAAACGACCGTGTACAAAAATACTTTCCTCCCGATAATGACTTATTCCAGCGAGTCATGGACTCACAAAACACATAAGTCAGATTCAGGCCATGGAAATGCGATTCCTGCACAGAATCGAAGGAAAAACAAAGAGAGATCGCATAAGAAACTCCATAATACTGAAAAATCTAAACGTAAGATCAGCCGAAACTGTGATAGAGGAAAATTGTTTGAGATGGTTTGGTCATGTCTCTCGAATGCCTGAGAATTGAATGGCTAGGATAGTGTTGGAAAGTAAAGTGGAGGGAAGAAGATCTCAGGGAAGACCCAGAAAGACCTGGGAAGTTAGTGTCAAGGAGGCCTTTGACATAAGGGATATTCACTGAAGGAGGAGGCGGCAGTTGGCTCAGGATCTAGAGTTGTGGATTCGGCTCTACAAGAAGGCTCCTCACACTGCTCAGCGGCAGAAGAGGAAATGATTAAGAAGAAGAAGAAGAAAATAGTTTTATTAAAAAAATAAAGATAAAAAACAAATCTATAATATAAAATTTAGAATGAATTAAAAACCAAAATGGTTAAAACTTTATATAAATTAATTCAAAAATTGAAATTTAAAAACAGTAATTTTCACTTTATCAGTTGATAGTCGAGTCCAACGTTCGTTAATCAACATGCCACCGAAGAGGCCACTATACTAAACATTCCTTTGGCAATGATGTGCAAATCAGGTTAGTTGTTCTGCAGATCAAACCACCACTTAATAGGATCCTCATTGCATAAAATATCCTTTTCTAAGTACCTGTTCAATTCAATCATTGCCTTTAATTCAGGTGTCCCTTATGGGGAATGTTGCTCTCGAACTCTCATTAATGTTCCTAAAACTTCTAATTATTTTTTTTTTCTTAATTTTTCTGTACACCTCTCCATTTATCTTCTTTTTTCCTTATTTATCTTCCATTTATTCTTCTGCCTTAATGATTTTCCAGTCATTTTAAATGGTTTTAGTATTATGCATATTTGCTTCATTATTCTCTATCGAAGTTCATGTGTTGTTTGGAACGAAGATGGAAAAGAACGAGAACTGTAATGAATTCCAGTGGTGGAACATTCCATTCTGACCTGTTGTCAGAATTGCCGATCCCTAATTTTGAGTGATACCAAAGCTCCTTAATTTTTATTGAACTATATAATGATTTGATTAATCTGGCTAAGTTTTAACAAAGAGCTTTTGGTCAAACAGCAATAAGACATGTATCTTTACAAATACTTTTTTATTTGTTTGTTTGGAATCTGGTAAATAAATGCATATTATTTTTAAAATACAATTCATACATATGTTTTAGAACCGCAAATAGTAGAATCATAAGACTTACGAACTTTGATATTTGTATATACCTACAGCAAATTAAAACATTTTTGTTAATTGGGTTCAAGCATTTAATTTTATAATATTAAAATCAAAATTTATCTCTTAAAATGGAAAAATATGTAATATCAAATTTCAATATGTTATTCTACTTTTTATAAAATGTGCAATAACATGAAAATCCAGTCTCTACTGAGGAGTATACCCCTTTTTTGTTAGATAGTTGAAAAAATAAAGTCATTGCAACAGCAGTCATTTAATAAAAAAAAAAAAATATATTCTAATTGAAATATTAACTTCCTTCCCTTAATGATATTAGATTGTATTTAATTTTAATGTATAATAGCAAAATTAAATCAGTCATTATTTTTATGAATACTTTTTATTTTCACTTTTTTCTCTCTACTCTCACTTTATTTTTTCATGAAAGGTATGAAAAATGTATCTTATGTAAACATTTATATAATTTCAGGTTTAGAACGTATTCATTGGAAAAAACTACTTCATTCAAAGAAGAAGCCACTCAGGGGCATATCAGAACAGGCTTTCAAATGTCTTCCTCCAGAATATATAGAGGTGAATCCTCTTCATCTTTTAATTTCAAACCTAGTTTATAATTTATTTAAATTTTGAATTTCTTAGTTAGTTAGACAGTAATTCACTTAGGCCAGAAGCATTGTATAAAATGTTTTTAATAATTAATGTTTATATTCAACTGACCGTTATGAAGCTAAAGAATAACAAAGCCCCAGGACTAGACGTCATACAGGCAAAGATGATTTGCTACTTATGTAGGAACTCAACAACCTCATCCTTACAATATGGGAAGAAGAAAGGATGCCACAAGTTTGGAGAAAAGGAGTTATTTGCCCGCTTCATAAGAAGGGCGACCAATCGGAGTGAGACAACTACAGGGGTATAGTCCTCCTTTGACAAGGTGATGTCAAAAACCTTTTTTGAGAGACTCACCCCCAATGCTGAAAGAGTGATAGGCAACTACCAGGTTGTATGTATTCAGAAGGGGTAGGTCAACCACAGACCAGATCTTCTCCCCCAGAATGATTCTGGAAAAAGCTAAGGAATACAGGATGGTTACACACCACCTCTTTCTGGATTTCAAGTCTGCCTACGATAGTGTAACCCAACCCGAGCTCTTCCAGACACTTGAAGAAATGGACATACCCAGATAGCTGATTCATCTGATGAGAATGATCATGTTGCAGTCGAACAGCATAGTTCGTATCGGATTTGACCTCTCTGAACCTATTGCCACGAACTGTGGCGTTAGAAAAACAGGCGCCCTTGCACTCCTTCTCTTTAATTTGGCAGTGGAGCGAGCAGTACACAGATCAAGGATCCAAACACGGGCCATCTTATTCAACAGTACTGGTCCAATTACTGGGGTACGCAGATGACTTTGAAATAGCTGCCAGATTGCAGTATGTCCTAAAAGAAGCATTCCTGGTTCTAGAACAAGAAGCAAAAATTCTTGGCTTGGTCATCAACGAAGCGAAGACAAAGTATTTAAGAATAGGACCACCAGAGGTAGGGACAGATTTTTTCGAAGTTGGGCCATACAGATTTGAGAGGATGCAAAGTTTCGTTTACCTGGGCTCAGAAATAAACACTCAAAATGACCTATCCCAGGAGATCAACCGGTTTTTACATATGGGTCAGAGACCTGGGCCTTCACTAGAGCCAGTGAGAGCCTCCTTCTGTTGTTTAAACGGAAGATATTGAGAAGAATTTTTGACCGGTTCGAGAGGGAGACACCTGGAATCGGAGGAAGGACCAAGAACTCTCAAGGCTGTACAGAGATCCTGATATCATCAAGTGGATCAAAATTGGGAGACTCCAATGGGCAGGATTTTTAATTTAACATTAGTTTTATTTTCTAACCTATTTGAAATTGTCTAATGAAGAACCAAAGTTATTATCCTGTGTTATTAAAGCTAAGTTAGTAAGACCTATTGGCTTTCTTCATAGGAGATGAGAAATTCTGAGATTTTATTTTTTTTTATCATTTGTTATCTTTATTTGACAAACAACAATTGAGCTGACACTAGCTGCAGCTTATTGGAAATCTTTTATTTTTTTTCATTTACTTCCTGCCTCGCCATTTCAAGTAGGCCTGGGGATTATTCTAGAGGTACAAACTAATTAGATTAGGAAAGTCAAGATTCATTCTGTGGGAGCAATTGGGAATAAATTTTAATCTTTCCTGGCTGGATTCAAACTAGCACTGCTGTACTTGAGAATCTTAATGAAGTAAATGTTTTAACACGCTCGGCCATAATGGAACTATTGCTATCAAAGGCTCATTATTATCAGTATATCATAATGAAGTGGGATAGATATTTATTACTAATTTATTTATTTATAATCCCTCCAAATCTATGAGTCATCAGCATATTAAGTTACACTTATTACATTCTCCTTTTGAATTTAAAATATTATGATGTTCTTAATTCATCCAATACTTTACTTATTTTATCTTTCGTCATTCTGCAGAATTGTTAAATTACACCCTAGTTGATTGAGTATTTGCTATAGTTAATCAGGTGATTTTATCAATTTAATTGGGACAAAGTTCTGAGAATTTATACTCTTATTTAATTACCCACACTTGAAATAGATTTACATTAAATACAAGCCCAAATCACTCCAACTCAATATATATATATATATATATATATATATATATATATATATATATATATATATATATATATATATATATATATATATATATTCACTGCATTTTGTTTTTTCATAAATTATTACCTTTGTAAATTTCGATGATAAAGATTTAAAAACCAAAGCATGTTCTTATTATTTCTGATAACTATGGTGTGCCCCATCTCATTATTCTAATTTTCAAAGAGTTAAAATCTAGTGTTTTATTTTAACATATTTCTTTATTTTAACATGTTACTTATACATTTGGAACAAAACTGTAAATATGTTTTATCTTTGAAGTTAAAAATTGGATTGGGTCTTTTCTGAAGATCATAATTTTTTTTAATATATTTTTTATGTAATCAAATTATCTAATCATTGCTAATTGTTATGCATAACTACAAACCTACAACCTTGAGATTTAGTCTATCATGTGGAACTAATACTTATTAGCTGAAATACTATTTAGTAATTATAGATACCAGAAAATATCTTTTATATAAGCAAAATCCATAGTCTTTTAATTGTTTATTTTATAATTAAGAACATAATATAATTTTATAGTTCTGCATATTTATTTATTTTGTTTATTAATTTCAAGCCAAACCAAATTAAATTTTAACTTACTCTTGGTGCTGTGCTCCATTATAATTCTATCTACAAATTATTATATTAATCGTTTCTTTTTTCAGGAATTAGAACTACAGTATAATATGAACTTATCCAAAATATATTTGAAAGGGCCAGAGTTATTTGACAGATCTATCCATTTTGATTTTTTTGGAACTGTTAATGATTCTTTTACAGTTTTCAATGAGTTTACATCGCATTCTGTCCAGTTGACCTCATTTTATTTAAGTTTCCCTTTGCAAATATTATTTATTGTTACTCTTCTAATCTTAAATCATTATTAGATTTTATTGTATCATGGAATAAATTTTATTCCAAGAGTGTATTATTTTATTTCTGAAGCAGATATTTATTAAATGCTTTTTATTCATTATATTGAGGTGGGAAAAATCTAGTCACTGTTTCTTATTTTATTTATATACAAATTGTATAAAAATATTTATTCAGTATATAATGCACATAATTTTAATTTTGTATGATTTCTGTTACTTGTCAGATAATTAATATTTGTTATTAAATAATGATTAACAAGAATTATAATATTACCTCCTGTGGATTAAAAAATAAATAAATAATATTATTGAATAAAAAGAAAGAATCCTTTGGGAATAATGGGGATAAGGTTCAATGATGTTTGTGTAAATCAGCCAGTGTATTAATATGTATTAAATAAAAATGTTAAAAAGTTTTAACCATTGTATTTAATTATAATCTTTAGTTCTTCTTATCTATAGTTCCTTATTAGAGTTAAGTATAATTTACTCTTTTTGTCTGGTTAGGTTCTTGTTTTAAGGTCAGAACTTTCTTAAAAACAATACTTTAAAAGAAGAACCATAATAAAGATAATAGTGACTTACTGTATTGTAGAAATTTTGATTTCAATGAAATAAGTTATATGATTCAAACAAATATTAAATAACAGATAAACCATTTTAGGATTGTATATTTTATGTTGAGGGAGCGGGGTAGCTCAGTGGGTGAGCACTGATTTCCAGAGCTCAAGGTTCCAGGTTCGAGTCTGGCTGATGACTAGTGATTTATCATCATCTGTGGATCAACACTGGGGTCAGGAGACCCTCCTGGGTCACATCCAGCCTCATATGTGACCAAACCCAGCCTAAAGTGGTTACTCTTAATTAAATAATTAATTAAGGGGAGAAACGTGGCGGTTGATCATGGCCCAATCACATCTTTACACAACGCTTGGCTTTGAAACAGTGCTTCCTCATATATATTATATGGGTACTGAATAATGCTAAACCCAAGATCCTTCATGGGTTATGGTGGTACAGGTACATATTTTATATTGTCTATGAAAAGGCTATAGTTCTTTCAGCAATCTTCCTTTGGTACTTGAAAGGTTGAAAACTGTACTTACTGTTTTACATGTTAAATAATCAACTGTAGCAATGATAATAAACAGTCCTGAGTGAAAACAATTATATTATATTAAATTATTACTATTTTTTCCTAAACCATTTTATTTAAACCCTCCCTTTCAAATTTTATGTTATAATTGAGTATTCAGTTTATTTAAATTTAGGTACATAATTCCTTAAATCTCTTTTTACTCCAATGATAATGATTTTTTCTATCCAAAAAAATAAGTGTGATCAATGACAGAGCACACATTGCAAGATACTTTCAAAATCATTTGGATATATAGGAGTTATATTTTAACTACTGATTTTCTTTGAAATCCTTTGAATCAGTTTAGAATGAATATTCTTCACACCAAGAGAATAATAAAACAAAGTTTTTGTAAAAATCAGTTTTCTGAAGTAATTAGTTTAAGTGCTTAGTTAACCTTTTCTACTTTTCAGATTTAGAACTAGAAGCCAAAAAAATATTGAACACCTTCATATTTTTCTCTTTAATAGAAATAGAAATGACACACTTTTATAATTAGATCCAATCCTTTATCAGTGACCAATTATTTCCAACACTTAAATATAGTTCTATAAATTCAGATAATGGTATGGAGAAGTATTTAACTAATTAAATTTAGTTTTTTTTTAATTTATGAGGTAGTGGAGTTGATATGTTGATTATTTCCCTATGAAGATAACATGTTACTATTATTATTTTATTTTTTTTCCTTACACCATATGGTCATGACTCTTCTGCTATTAGACCTCTTGCAGCCGAATAAAGTTTTGCCAATTTTGAACAATCAATTTTGTCAGAAGAGAAGAGAATTATAACTAGACTCTATAGTTTTGGAAGTCTTAATTTCAAAAAAATAGAAAAAAAAAAGACTTGAAACAAAAGTTATATTTATTAATTTCTTCTGTTCATTTATCCTAATTTTGGTGTCTTGAGGTTTTATATTTATATAAATTAGGCCAATTCATCTAACATTTTATTGATACGCTATTTAATTCGACGTTTCGACCATACTAAGGGTCATTTTCAAGTCCTTGATGAGTCCTCCATTATATATTCATCATTAATGTCACTAAACATATTATTTGCGACATTAATGATGAATATATAACGGAGGACTCATTTAGGACTTGAAAATGACCCTTAGTATGGTGGAAACGTCAAATTAAATAGCGTATCAATAAAATGTTTGGTGATAATTGGCCTAATTTATATAAATATATTTAATAATTATCATTGATCAAGTGTGTTGTTTGATTTGCAGATGATATAGCTATTCTTGGAAATAATTATGAGGACATTGAGAAACTCGCTAAGACTATGATAATTCAAATACCTCGGCTCCACAATAACTGCAATGAATGACCAATGTCCTGAAATAGATCAGTGTATAACAAATGCAAACAGAGCTTCCTTATCTCTTACAAAGCTATTAAAATCCTGAAAAATATCGAGAAATCTCAAACTAAGGGTGTACAGTGCTGTGATATATCCAGTTCTAATATGTGGCTGTGAGGCCTGGAAACAGTATTGATAGATTTGAGAGAAAAATCCTCCGCACGATAAGCAGAGTGATTTGGGATCAGAGTACTAACACATGGAGAAGCTAGACCAATAAAGAGCTGCTAACACAAACTGGTCAGTCAATATCTCATGATATGAAGGCACGGAGGTTAAGATGGGCAGGGCAGGTAGCTCTGAGCAATCCATCTGGAAGCCTCTATACGACAATTAATGCCTCAATAGTAGGTGAAAGATCAAAAAGCAGATCGATAGATCAAATCAATAAACATGCAACAGAGTTGCATGCAGATAACTAGAAAGAAATAGAACAAGATAGGCAGAGATGGAGCAGGCTTGTTAAGGTGGCAAAATACCTACAAAGGACAGTAAAAAAATAAAATAAAATAAAAAATAAATAAAAAAATTGAAAGACAATGTTGACATTAATAAATGTTAAATAGTTTTTTATTCTGTTGGTATTACATACCTAGTAGATATTTTGGCACCTTAACAAGCCTGCTTCATCTCTGCCTATCTTGGGCTATTTCTTTACAATTATGGGCATACAGCTCTGTTGCATCTTTATTGATTCTATCTATCCTCCTTTCTAATTCTATTTATAATTATTTAATCTCTATAATATGTTAACTGGAAAGTAGTTAGATCAATGTTTTAATAATCAGGAACACAAATTGATTAGGATATTTAAAAAATATACATAATTTTAGCTCAGACATATAAAACAAAAAGAAGAGTGATAGAAATTTTGGTGAATGAGTAAGTTCTTAAACTCAGCCCTAATCCATTGAGTTTAGGAACTTTCTCAATATAAAAAATCCTAAATTAATAGTTTAAGTAATCCTTGAGAGTTAACAGAACAAATCAAGAAAGACAAAAATAGTGGTTTTAGTATACACTGCAAGAGGTCAGTACCATCTGGACATGTGTTTCTGAAGTCCAATGGGAGCTGAAAATTTGTATTCAGTATTAGGAGATTAGGAATTTATTTGAGCTCATTTATCTAGGGTCGCTAGCGGATTCAGGATTTAATTTTGGGGGGGAGGCTTCAGCACGGAAGCTTTTTTTTTCATATATATAACGATAATTACTTTGGAAAAACAGAAAGATACTAACTACCTATATGAAACGGTGTTTAAGTGATTCTTGAAGTCCTATTAAATATAATTTAACGAGCATTAATACTTTAAGACATCATTTTTTAATATTTTTTACCATAAAACATGGTTACATTTCACCATTTCGGGGGGAGGGGGCTTCAGCCCGAAAGCCTCCCCCGTAAATCCGCCTGTGTCTAGGGTTAATCTATGGTCCGGTAGTGCTGTTATCTTATGAAGTTTACTTAGGCTGCTATAGTTTTAAAAATAGCTACAAGAAAATATTGTGAATATTCGTTATGACTCTTTTGCTTGCAGCACTGCCGGATATACGGAGGGGGGAGGGTTGAGCTTTCAGGCTGAAGCCTTACTCCTAAAATAAAAACAATGAAAGGCTTAGCGAGCCCGAAGGTTCGATGCCAACACCATTAATTACACACCTCCCTCCACTGGTCGCCGTCCAATCCCAGTTCCTTTAAATCGGCTTTGACGCAATCTTCCCACCTTCGCTTCGGTCTACCTCTCGGACGTTTACGAGTCGGTACAGCAAATATTAACCTTTTTGGAATTCTTTCGTTACTAAGCCCAACAATTTTACATGCCCATTTGATTTGCCGCGATGTAATCACCTCAATTATATTAACCGGATACAGTTCACGAAATTCGGCGTTGAGTAAACGTCTAAACTCTCCGGTTAACTCATCCTTCTTCGGTCCGAATATTCTACGCAATATTTTATTTTCAAAAACCTCAAGATGTTACTCATCCCTTAATGTAAGCGGCCACGTTTCACATCCATAAAGAACTCTAGGTAGGGTAATGATTTTATAGATTCTAGGGTACAAGTAGCGAAACGGAACTAGCACCGATTATATTTTTTAAATTCCGGGACAGGAGGCACGATCTAAGGAATTTTTTTTCACAGAAAACAATAAGCATTCCTCGCCTTCAGACTAACTCCTCTTCAACTCCTAACTCCTAATCTCCTCTTTGATTTCGTTTTATTTTTTCTAGTTATCGTAGACCCTAGATATCTAAACTTCTCTATTCTCTAGTTATCGTAAACCCTAGATATCTAAACTTCTCTATTCTCTAGTTATCGTAGACCCTAGATATCTAAACTTCTCTATTCTCTAGTTATCGTAGACCCTAGATACCTAAAATTCTTTACCTATTCAAACATATTACATTCCATATTGATCACCGGCAATATCGCCATTTTTGCAGTTAACCATATATTGTCTTATCCGTGTATATTTCGAATCCTAGTTCTTTAACGGCTTTCATTAACGTTCTCCTATTTAGTTTAGTAGCTTCCATGTCTTCGCTTAACAGGACCAAATCATCCGCATAGCCAAGCACAGGTGTTATCCCACCCAGATCCAACTCTTTTTTGGTACGTATTACTTCCCTAATGTCCTGTTTTATTGCCAAATTAAACAGTACAGGTGAAAGGGAATCACATTGTTTTGAGTCCGAACGAACCTCAAAACTTTCGGATAAATAATTACGGATTCTAACGTTATTAAGTGTTTCCGTCAAGCACATCCTAACTAGATTTACTTCTTTTTTTTTTGGAATTCGCTGCTCGATCAGAATATTATACAGCTTCTAGCTGTTAATAGAATAGTAAGCCTTTTTGAAATCGATATACAGCTGATGTACAACACCGCTGTACGCTATTTTTTTCTCCAATATTTGTTGTAAAGAAAATATTTCATCACGGTAATAATATAGTCGAACGATTCCATAGTAATATAGTCTAAATCCGCATTGGTAGGTAGTCTAAGATAATTTCCTTCGCGTATTCCCTGATTCGAGTAGTTTAGTTCCCGCTGAATTATTAGATTTTAATTTTCCGATAGCTAAATCAACTTCCCCTTTATTCGGTTCTTCTATTAACGGTTCAGCACTCTAAAGAAGGTCACAGATCATTATTTTCCGTATTTGCAATATTGCCAAAGTGGTTCTTAAACTTATTTAAAATGTCTACCGGATCGGTCGGAATATTGTTATTTTCATCCTAATTCCAAACGTGATCTGTTTATACCTTTCTACACGACTCTTACATTATTTTCAATTCTATTAGTTTCAATTTCCATTATTTTATTTTTAAGATATTCTTTTTTTATTTTTGAGCGATTTAGTCGTTTCATTCTTTAAGGTTCGTAAGTATTCCAGATTGTCTTTGCTAGAATTATTTAGAGCTGTTACTTTAGCAGATTTTCTTTTATCACACTTATTTAAACAATCTTCATCGAACCATAATTTGTTCTTTTTATTTTTATTTTTCCCAAGACACCGCTGTTACCGACCGCTTTAATATTATCTTTTAACATTTCTATATCATCGCGGTTCTCGTCAGAAGGTCCTGGAGCTTCAAACCTATTCTTAACATCTAGCTCGAATTGAGTTATAATTGATGGATTTTTTAATTTTTCCCAATTAACATCCTGGATATCGAAACGGTGTTCTTTTCTCTTTTTTATATTAAGTTTTTGTCGAATTCGCGATTACAATTTATGATTCGAGCCACATTCTGCTCCGCGATAAGATCGTACATTAATTATACACCTTTGCCAGCTATGTTGTATCAAGACATGGTCGATTTGATTTCGTATTTGCGAATCCGGTGATGTCCAGGTATAATCGTGAACTATAATATGAACTTACTAGTCACACTAATTAAGCCATGGATATTGAGATGAATTGAGTCTATTGAAAAAAATATCATGAATTATAAGTTCTTATAAATATATAAATTATAAGTGTAAGGAAAGTTCGAATACAAAAGAATACTTCAAAATTAGTGGACTATTAAAGACGTCTGTCTTTGTTATAAAGAGTGAAATCGGACTACCGAAATGTGAGGTGGAGTAATTTGGCGATATTTACTGTGTGAAAGGTCATATTTTTTTTTCTAGGCCGTTGGGAGTTCTTGGTGCATTGCTCTATAATCATACTTTTTCTCTCCGTGGTGTCGTTTTAGTTGTTAGACGTTACTGACACAGCCTCACGCTAAATCCCCTATCTGAAGGGTTTGTAGCTGGCCGGTTTTAATCCCCTGAAGCTCCAGCATTTGATTACTGACTGTGCAACAACAGAAAATAAATTGGCTATACCACTGACACTCAGCTCGTTAGGTTCGAGTTATATATTTAGAGACATTTCAATTAGACAAAAATAAAAACAAAAGTAGTATAATCCTAGACTTTTATTTTCAACATTTGCGTTAGTATATATCGCACAAGTTCTAGACGATGAACATGATGTTAATTGACAGAATAATGATTATTAATAAACGAAGGTTCTCAATTACTTACAACTTAAAAAAATATAATAGAACCTGAATATTGAATAATGTAATCATAAAGCTCGGTAACAATCCCTCAAAAGGTCCTAAAAGTAAAATATCACAAGAATTTCAGTTAAAAAGGACTTTCTCATTTTATCTGAATTCTTCCTGACCCATCAGTTCGTTAAGGAAGGTTACAGCTTAATGTCAATATGTAAGGTTATAACGTTGTAACTTAAATATTTCAGTTTCACTTTTTATATGGATGCTGTATTAATACGTGGACCGATGTAAATTAATCGAAAGATGTGTAAAGAAGGTTTTTGATTAATCTTTTCAATGTAAATTAGAATGCTGCAATTTTGGAGAAAAGATAAACAAAAGTCACCTCATTCATCTCCTGTAAAGATTCATAATGGAAATGTTCAATCTTTCGTGGACCAAGAATTTGTGACATCTATTGGGCCATTGTCACATTTTACTTGTGAACAAAATCGTATGTAATTCAAATGATCATTTTGTTTTAAAATAGTTATTTATATGAATACAATTTTTAATTCTTTTCAGAGAGCCTTCCTTGTGAACCCAAATCAAGATTATCTCTAAACTTGGAAGATGTTTTTAATAATAAGGTGGCCTTATCTTATTTTAGTCAGTATATGGAAGCCCATGGATATGGAAATGTCCTTAGCCTGTTATTAGAAGTTGAAAGCATTCCATTTAGAATTTCCAATGGGATTCCTAAACAAACACAAAGTGCAGCAAGTTCACCATCAAAATCATCTTCAAAGAGTGTTGATCCTTATGTCCAGAAAAGTGTAAATGAACATAACAGTCCTAAAAGGATATTTACTCAGTACCTGTGTGATGATTCCCCATTCAGGGTTCGCTTACCAGAAGAATTAAGGATGGAAGTACAATCTGCTTATTGTAGTCCAGATTTTGATTATTACAGTTTTGATAATTTGAGAGAATATCTACTCCAACTCATCAAAAAAGAGTAAGGATTCTAAAAAATATTAGTGTATATTTGGTTAATAAATAAGTACTTAATAAATAAATATGTTTCTAAAAAAATAGTATATGTTATAGTTGCTTATTTGAAATCGCTTTTATTGTATAATCACTGTTTTGGTTTACTAAAAAGATCAGGTTCATTATAAATCTGTGTGAATCCTAAAAACATTGAAAACATAACATTCTTTTTTAATTTTACAAGGAATAACATGATGATTTTTAACATTAAGTTGGAATAGTACAAATAAATCTCTTTGAGGACATATGTCTTTCTACCTTTTTTTTTGTAATTTAAATTAATTAAAAAATATATATATATATATCTAGGGTTTTACATTTTGTATTTACATATGTCATGCTTTAAGTTATTAAAATGTTTTGAATTTAATGATTTGGAATCTGAAACATACCAAAATATTTAAGATTTACTAAGCAAATTTTACGTTATGTGATAATAAGCTCATAAAACTTAATGAGGTTGATTATCTCTGTCATAAAAGATTAAAATTGAAGTTGCCAACCATTTTCTCTATTTTTTTACTATTGTTCTTCACTGCTTTTTTATATTTCTGTTTTAACCAGTTAGCTGCTGGGCTTTTTTATTGTTTCTTAAAACATTTTTTTCCAAACTTAATTCTTATTTGGAATATGGATTATTGTTGCCCTTATAGCAAGTTTCTGAAGTTTTAATCCATACACTTGTATTTTTCTTAGTAAATCAAATTAGTGTGTTACTGTTTTGGCAGCATTCTATCTTGAGTTATTTATCCATAAAGAAATGAAACCACTTTCTTTATTTTTCATTACATTAATAAAGGTATAGTTTAATTTAATAGTATTGTGAATCAAATCTTAAGTTAGATGTATGATGAAATATTTTTCAAGTTTGTGACTTTATTACAAATAATATCTTATGGATATTGTATTTTATAGATGATAAATAGTCAGGACGTAGTCATTTTTAAGGTTTTTATAGGTATCAACATTTCAACCTAAGCATGTAGGGTCATCATCAGGACGTGTTTCGAGCACTGAAGGTGCTCAAATACTGTGTATTTCTTTCGAGCACTGAATTTGTTCAAATACACACTATTGTATCAGTGTTTGAAAAAAATCCTAATGATGATCCACATGCTTGGGTTGAAATGTTGTCGTAAATAAAAACCTTAAAAATGACTGCGTCCTGACTATTTATCACCTATGATATGTGACTGTCGACAAACTTTCCTCAATATTTTATTTTACTTAATATCATTCAGTTTCTGTTTTCAAAACTATTTGATCAATTTCTTGAATAATAATTAGTAATTTTTATTAAAATAAATCGATTGTGTTAACCCTCTTTTTTTTTTTTCCAGAGTTTGGGTAGATTTTCTACACAGTGACTGTTACTGCAAATACCAAATAGAAATAATGACTAGTGGTAAAATGACTCTTAGCGATGTATTATACAGTGATGCTTGTTTGAACGGTTTTATTGAGGTAATAATTTTGTTGAAATATATTTATGATTTTTGTGTTAAATAATGGTAGAGTGGAGTAGCTTAGTGATTGAGACACTCTTACATATCCTGTTTGCCCTGGGTTCGACTCAGACTGTGGCATGTTATTATTTATTCTGTCACATCAGTAGTAGGTTGACTCTAGGGTCGGGAGACCTTCCTTGGGGCGCACTCAATACTACTACAGTGGGTACTCTTATTTAAGTAATTAATTAAGGAGAATAAACTGATGGTTAAGCATGTTCTCTGTCATATCACATCCTTGCACAATAGTTGATCAAAAAAACAGTACTTCTTTAGAAAGTACTGAACCCTACTCTATGAGTTTTATAGATATAGTTTTCTTTTTCTAGTAATAATTGTTTAAATCATTGATACATTATGTTAAAAGAAATTATGAAGCCTATTATATTAATTTAATCATATTTAACTAATTTTTTTATTATAAAAAATATTACTACTATATAAGGCAGTGATGTTTTTCTCATTTATTTTTATTAGTAAATTGATATGAAAGTATGTTTTTATCTAAATAAAATTGATATATATATTATGGGTCTACAATTAGTCTAAATATCAATGTGGACATTTTTTTTTTTTTTTTGACATGTGGACATGTAGCATTCCTCTGTTAATATAACTCCCAAATTCGATTAATTTTGTGAGAAGGTGAGGAATTTGTAGTTTCCGTGAGTTTTGTATGTTTTTCATAAAAGCTTACAAAGGTATTAATTAATGTTTAATTTCATAGATTATGAAAATTAAAGTATTGTGGTGGCCTCCTTTATTACTATTTAATTTAAATGATCTGGTGATAAAAAGGTGTTTCTGGCTATGGTATAGGGCAGGGGTCTCCGAACTTTTTGGCCTGTGGGTCACATTGAGGCCGCTACTAAGTAGATCCGCCGGCTGTAGCTTGAGATGAAAAAATAATTTTCTTCTGTAAATGACATCAGCTGTAAAATGAGCTTTCTAAGAGAAAACATCTGGTGTGTCCACTCACACGACTTTCCTACCTATTTCAGAATAGTTTTTATATTTTTACATATGTTCATGAAGAAACAAAAAAAATTGAACTAGATTTATTTTCCTAAAAATTGATCAAAGAAAAGATTTGAGTACGATTTATTTGATAAACTAAAGCAGTGTAAACCGGCTCAAGGTAGATCAGTGTAAAAATTTCAATACTTTCTAATATTACTGATCAAAAACTTTTTGCCATAGTATTGTCAAACAATAATTTCTGTAAAAAGTATAGGAAATAGTGAAGTTTGTGTGATGCAGACAACAGATTTTCTTACTTTCACTTAGTCATCTTTTTTCTCTCATTCACCCATTTCTGCAACTAGGATATGAACCCGTAATTGTACATTGGAAATTTAATAGTTGTAACTTCGTTAATAGTTGTCCAAAATGAACGATTTTTGTATAGTTTTGTAGGAAATTTCATTACCTTTCAAAAAACAGGCTAAACTGTGTGTTTTGCGCTCAAGATATTTTGCATGGAGCACCGAATTTCTGGCATCAGTATTAAACAGTATTAAAACCCTACAAAATAAAAAAAGAAGTAACAAAATCAGTTCAGTAGTTCCCGAGAAAATCTTGGCACAGACAAACAGACCAATGGCTAAAAATGTGTTTTTCTGACTCAGGGAGCTCTGAAACATATAGATCCGTCGAAAACCGCATATTGGAAATTTTACCCGATTGCAATACTCTCCTTACCTAGTATAGGTAAGAAAGTAATAAGTTAAAACGTGTAAAAATAAAAATAGCTGTATCATCGCTAATACTGGTTCGATTCCGATGATTTTTTTTTGTTTTGTTGGTAATTTAATTATCTTTCAAAAGTTTTATTATAAATTTTACCGTATAATGTATACTTAGGGAGTTAGGCCCCATAACATTTTTCTTTTCTTTATAACTTTTTTTCCTCAATCTTCTCAGGAATTTAGGAATTACCATATACAAATATTGAAAGGACAATTATCAGAACATCATAGGAAAGTTTCATCAAAATCGTTAGAGCCGTTTTCGCGCTACAGTCTATAGAAAAAGATGTTTTTCATTTATTGCGTGCAAGATATTGCGCATGGAGCACCGAATTTCTGTCACAGGCATCAGTAGTCAAAACCCTACAAAATAAAAAAAGAATTAACAAAATTGGTTCAGCAGTTCTCGAGAAAATCTTGGCACAGACAAACAGACCAATGGCTAAAAATGTGTTTTTCGAACTCAGAGGGCTCTGAAACGTATAGATCTGTCAAAAACCGCATATCGGAAATTTGACCTGATTGCAATATTTTCCTTATCTAGTATAGGTAGGAAAGTAAAAGCATATGCAATAACTTAAATAACCTTGCGTGTGAATAATTGGTTGAATTTCATATTTTTAAATAGTTTTTAAAATTTTACCATGTAAAAGAAACTTCCGTCGGCCGGATTGAAGGTGCTTGCATCATAAGCAAAATTTTACACTTTGAAAAATGTTTGAATAGACTAGAAAATGCTATTCACAAAGTTTAAATATGTCTAAAGTACTTAAGATTTCAAAGTATTATAAATTTTATATTCACACTTGAACAAACACATATTTCAGGTTAACTTTACTACACCTTACTCTGTTCTTACAATAATTAATTGAAAAAACTAAATTTATGAAAATCATGTCACATTATGATAATTTATGCTATTGTATCCATGGTTAACATTCATTTGCATTTATTTTTTTACAACTGTGGGATTTTTGAATATTGTGAACAGTTCTGTGTGGTTTCATAACCCAAACATCTCCATGTTTATGTGGTATTTGTATTTTTCAAAATTTGTTTTACGTCTAATTGTCTGTTTTAATTCATTTAGATATATATATGTGTCTTTAGATTATTTATATCTTATAAAAGATATTTTTCTTGGGAAAGTGTTCGTCCTTTTGATATTTTCTTTCCTTATTTAAATAAGTAATCATTAAAAAAGGGCTTTCAAAGTGTACTGCTTTAATATAATATAGTAATTGCTATTAATTATTTAAGATCTAAATTAGAATGTTTCATCTAGTGACTCTATTCCTTCAAACTAATATTTTTATTTCTTCGGTTCCTGTCAATCATAAATATAATTATAAAAAAAAAATAAAATTATTTTTTGTATATTTATTGGTTTGGTAGTTTCATGAGAAAAAAATGCTGTAAATGTGAGCTGAAATAGAAGTCAGGTCTATAGAGCCTATATAAGATTGAAATTAAATTTTTCAAATAATGAAAAAAAAGGTTCATATTTGGCCGTAATCATTAAATAACAGTGCATTTGGGAAGTGTGGTGGGGATTTACTATATACTCCACTATTATATGGATGTCAAACATCTCTAAGCTCTACTTTATAATCATGCAAAGCTAATAAAATATATTTTAAACTAAATATTTCTATTCAGACAACAGAGTGAGATAAAAAATGGGAAGATATTTGTTGGGTGAAAGTTTTAAAGTTGGAAGCTAAAACTATTCTTAGCTAAAATATATAAGATAGCGAATGGTATGAGTTAGGCTCTGCCTTGGCACGAGGTAGCCAAGTATCCACTTTCATGGCGTAGCTCCGTCCCCATCACTTTTCATTAAAACTGAGTATCTTTGCAAATATGGATCGAATACATTTGGGACTTTTTGTGTTTTTACTGTTATGACCTAAAGGTGCTTCTATAGATTTCACAAACTATGGGAAATGCAATTATCTAACTTAACTAATAGCGAAATTAGTGCTAAGCCCAATTTTTTTTTTTATTTCTCTTGTCTCCGACAGCAGATGAAAAACATAAAAAAGAAGAAACACAAACACTATCATAGGGAAACAACCATTTAAATATTTGTTTCACATAGTTTGTGAAATGTCTAAACGCGCCTTTATTTTCACCAAAAAATAAAAATTGAAAATTCATGGGACTACCCAATTGTGTTGTCTTTTTTGTTTACTAAATGTTGAAATGTAGAAAGAGCCTTTGTCGAACTAAAGAAATAATGCAATTATTGAGTATATAAAACAGTTTTTTTTTTGTTTAAAGATTTTTTTTGAATATTTTTATATTTAAATATTACTCTTTGTATTATTATAAATGTTTGTATTTTGTTTTAGTTAACAGAATACTTTTTTTCCAATTTCATAAATAATTCTTTATTAATTGTTTCAAAGTTGAGGCTAAGTTTAAAGTAAACATATATAATTATATTTAAAAAACAAACATTAGAATGCATTTATAATGTGATTTAATTTTTGTAAATATTGTGGACTAAACTTCAAATATTTATTGCACTACTATTATCACATAAATATTTTAGATTTTTTAATCTTAGATGACGGAATTGCTGTTGTATAAGAGATCTATTAATCTAGAATAATTCAATGTCATAAATAAAACAAATAAAAAAACAGAGTTTAATTCTCCAACATTTTCTTCAAGGAATATATTCTGTTAGTATAGCAACTATCAGTCAACTGCAAGTTATATGTATACAGGATTGAATTTTAAGATTCAACGAAAAGTTTTTCAATATAATCTGAAGTTTTTAACACAATATCCACTCGTTTCATTTATTCTATCTTAATAGATATACTTCTTCATTATTTCATGATTTCTGTTCTAGTTTTTGGAGCAGGAGAGATGTGAATGCGTCATTGAGTTTTGGTTAGCAGCCACTAATTTCGAAAGGCAGTATAGCTCAAAAAAGGAGCCAGTGGATACTACTCAGATACAAAATGATGCAATACTTATTTATGATAAGTTAGTAATTAGTCTATAATTTTTATTTTATTTTTACCATTACTTGGAATTATGTTTATTTAAAAAAATTATGCATATACTAGTTGATCTCTTACAAATAAAAAGTATAATATTTTGTTCTCTGAAGTATTTTGAGAGGGGAGGAATTCTTCTTTTTTTTCTTGCTCAATTGCAATGGGTCATTCAAAATATTTATTTATTTATATGATTTTTTTTTTTTTTTTTGTAGGATCAAATGTAGGGCATTCTTGAATAATGTGCTTAACTGTCCTTTGGACATTGCAGTTCTCGCAGGTCGGAGGATCAAGTCCTCTTAGTAGGTAGGAGTGCGAGAATTCACAATATCCAATTCGCAGTCTGCAAAGGGCTGTCTCCTCTTTTCGAGATGGTCGGTGCGAGGTTTTCCATTTTAAACAGTGGGGTTTAATTTCGATTCTCCTTGTTCCCACTTGTTTTGCCACATGTTCCACACATTCTCCTTAATTTTTATAACGTAATACTCTAGAGGGATTTCATTAATTGATTCAACAGATGTTGTATCTGGCTTTCTTGCTATGTTGGCTGCTTGATCTGCTTGTTCATTACCGATGATCCCGCAATGCGAAGGGACCCAAATGAACACTACTTCTTTGCCCTTCTCCCTTAGTAGCCACCAAACGTTTCTTACATCTTTTGCGAGAGAGGTTTTGGGCCTGTTATGTTCAATAGCTAGTAATGAACTCATAGAGTCTGTCAATTAGTAGTTTCACTTGTCTCTATGTGTTTAAGAGCTTCTCTAATTGCTAGCATTTCACCAGTAAACACTGAGCAAGCCTCCGGAATTTTGAATAGTTTTTGAGTATTAAAATTCATAACGGAACACCCTACTTCCTTATCAACTTTTGAGGCATCCGTATACAAGATGTGACACTCCTTATATTTTTCCAAAGTTTCTAAAAATAATTTTTGAACTTCAACTGGAAGTGCCGTATCCTTTTTATGTCTAGAAATTGAGGTATCTATAATTGGTTTGACATTGGTCCATCTTGGAATTATTATATCCGGCACATCCAGAGCATTTTCAATGTTAAGATCCGAAAAATGCTCAAGAAGCGTTTCTACAAAGTTTCAAAATAATATACCAAAACATGTGTACAAATTGTATTTAAGGAAATTTGGAAATCTTTCTAATTATCGTGGTTTTAATCAGGAATAAATTCTATTTTTTTGTTATTCTCAACTAAAGTTTCTTTTTCTTCGTAACCTTTTTTATGACTTTTCTGGGGATTTTTCTAACCGGGAGGAAAAGATAATCTTATCAATGATGGCTCAATCATTGTATTCTATGAGAAATCAAGGAAGATATGGCGTACCGACAAAAAGTCACTTTTGATATTTAATATAAAGATTATCTTGTATTTCGATGTAATTGTTTTTTTTTATAAATGACTCATGAGTTCTGGTTTTCTCATCTGCACCAATGTTAACTTACGATCTTTATTTGAAAGAGTTTAATTTGTCAATCTTTACATTTCTGAAGAGTTAGGATATTTAAATATATACAGAGATATAAAATTTAAAAAGTAGCTGTACTTTATTATTTAAAATAGATAAAATGTTCGATCTTCTATACCAAAATTTTATTTTATTTTGCATATAGTTGTACGTTTCGGTAGCTAGCTATCATCAATATATCTGCTTATTAGAAACCATAATTCTCATATTAAAAAAAACAAAAACAATTTTTTTTTTTGTTATGTCCATTTTACTTGTTTACAGATAACTGTCTTTATTTTAAAAAAAACTTTATTAAAATTTTTACCAAACTAACTTCAAAATTCTATCAAATACAAAAAAAAACAAAAATGTTACAGTAATAATATCGTCAGTTTATTGTAAAAAGCCATTAAGTTTCTAAATAAAAACTTGTATTTAAGATTTTAATTTTATACCTCATTTTTATGTTTATCACAACTTGATTTTTTTACTTTTATTGATTAAGGCAAGTATATACTATCTGAAAAGTATAGTTAAATAAAAGATACATTAATCAAACTCCTTTATCAATGACTCTCCCTTGCTTTTTTTTTTTTTAATCTCCCCTTTCTCGCCTTTTAGGTTATATGGGGGTTTTCCTGGGCCGGGGAATTAGTCAAAGTTAAATGCTCTAACCATCTGATTTATCCCATGGCTAATGCCAATTATTTTTGGGTTGAATATACACCCAAAACACCGTTAAAAGCACTTCTTTCACATGGACAAAGTCTGTTGTTTTTTTGTAAAGAGAGAAGTTAGTGTTAGCACAGATTAGATTAAATTTATAGCCATTTGCTTAGTATACACTGCACTTTGATGAGTAACCAATATTAATCGGGGTGATTGCATACAATGTTATCATTAGTATTAGTTAAAAAAAAAAATAATTGATTTCAGAGTTATTAATATTATAATTGTGGGTTGATGGTTGACAGTAGTGAATAATTGAAGAGAAAGATGGTAGGGGTGATCAGTCGAAATAAAAATAAATATTATTATTTATTTTTGCTATTTTTATTTTCACTGATCACACCAACCATCCTTCTCTCCTATTAATATTATGAGTTATTTATTATATGAAGGTTTTAGAATGGTAGTAAAGAAAGTCAATTTTACTTTTTGTTCACAAACGCAATTACTCACTGTATCCAGATTTTTAGTTATATGAATTGATTCTAAAACTTTGCGTTTACAGCGGTTTTTTTTCATTTGTTACTATTTCAGTATTATTGAAGTCGAAAGTATGTTTCTGTTGGGTGCTGTGTGTTGAAAGTTCTGTGCAAGTGTTATATCTTTTTATTCTGGAAATGCAATTACTTTTATGCATTGTTATTATTTACGCATGTAAATATATGTTATTGAAATGTTTATGTTATACTTAAGTCATTAATTTATATATTACATTCTTAAATAATATTTGTAAAATATTAATATAATTATAAAGCATTTACTTTCTTAACAAACAGCAAATCTAACTTGATCTACTATCATTCTAAGACTTTCAAATATGCTAAATGAAACATATTTTTTAAAATTATATAACCTTTTATCTTTTACCCGTATATTTCAGTTAAAATTTTTTATGGTGCCTATTTTGAAGACTTTATCATCTAGTTCAAAAGAAGATGTTTTTATGGATTCTTTTTTGTATATACCTGGAATATTTAGGATGATTGTATGGAAATATTTTCTTTATCCTTAGATTTATTGAAGAAACTTGTATCTATTGAAGAAGAAAAAAAAAAAAAAAGCATTACACTGTTTTAAATAGAAAGTATTTATTTACTCCTCTAACTTTTAACCCAAAATATTTAAGATCATATTTCCAGTATTTTGAAGTATCTGATCGTTTTGTAACCTATCTTATCTAGTATGAAGATAAGGTAGCTTATTACACACTTCAAGTTACCTTTTAGATGATTGGTTTATAGATTGCAATATTTTATAATTAATTTTTGACATTTAGGTAACTTTGTGTGATTTTAAATAATAATTGGTTGTATTCATTTTTCTGTTTGGGTAATTTATTTAAATTATTTGTCATTGAATTTATCATTCATCATGTAAGCCATTAGATGCAAAAGTTGTAAGTCATTTTCATAATTAATTACTAACCGAATTTTCTTTATGCTTTTAAATAGTTGGATATGCTTGAACTGCTAATTTTTAACAGAAAAATTAACCTGTTATTCCTTACCAAGAAATTCCTATTATTATTCTATACCTACCTTTGTTGAACTCCTAGAAAGTTCATATATTTAAATTTACTTTATATTTTCTTGTTTGAGTTATATATATATATATATATATATATATATATATATATATATATATATATATATATATATATATGTGTGTGTGTGTGTGTGTGTGTGTGTGTGTGTGTGTGTGTGTGTGTGTGTGTGCTTGTGTGTGCTTGTGTATAGTTATACAGAGATTATTCTATAACTGCACGTGTATTTTACTTTTCACACTGCATTGTTAATTTTCTCTGCTTGACAATAGGTCATGTCACCACCCAGGAATTGTTTTATAGATCTTTGGTCACCTAAACCTTTATTCTCGATTTCTGCATATCTTTTGGCTAATGATTTCTGGTTTGCTACAGGAAACTCGGCAGCATCTTTGTTAATTCTATATATCCATCTGGTTTTTGTTCTTGTTGGTGATCTCTCTTGCAAATTACTGTGGCATTCGTTGTTGTGTAGAGGCTTCCTGATGCATTTCTGTAAGGGGTTCTTTATGGATATTTCTGTTCCATGAGTGAGTACACCACTAGATCGCTTCAGTTACTGTGCTGTCTTTTTCCCTGTAATCTTTCAATTATTCTCTCTTGGATGCCTGTTAGAATCCAACTCTAGTAGCCACATATCTGAACTGGTTTTACAGTATTGTACACTCTTAATTTGAAATTTATCGAGATTTTTTAGGATTTCAGTATTATGTACTTCAGTATCTCTGGAGTATTATGGATTTCAGTATCTCTGATAGTCGGTTATTTATTGAAGTTCTTGTGATGTCGAAGTATTAGTATCTGTCAACTGCCAGGAACAATTTTTGACCTAAATAGAACCTTTTATTAGGGTGGCCTTTAATTATCATGTGTTTTGTTTTATCTTCATTTATTTGTAGGGAAATTTATTTTGATTCTCTTATCAATCCTAGCGAGTCTCCCAACATCCCCTTGATTGTTTATAAAGACATTGATATCAGCAATATCCGAGGGTTTTATAATTCATTTCGATATGCATCCCTTCTTTTATACGTGATGTTATCTTAATAACATATAATATAAATTGAAATTTTGAACTATATAACAGCTGTTCCTCCCCCCTCTTCCCCTAGCTTGTCATGTTTTCAAGTTGTTAATACCTATTTACCTGTAAAAATTGATTTTTTTTAAATAAGAGCATCATAAAAACCTATTATTTCTTTATGATTTATTAGAATAATTTCATATTTTATTTCTCTCTGCTATTTTCGTATTTAGCAGACTACTTGCTGCAGCTGTAGATTACAAAATGTCTCCTTTAGGGCAAAAAGAATAAATATGTAAAATTATTACGTATGACTTTTTGCACTAACATTAGTAATATATAAAACAACAGATTGGACAGATTATTGGTAAATTCCAAATCATAACAGTTAATTTTATTAAATCTTGCTCCAGCCATAATGCACCTGCATGAATCGCTCGACCAAAATATGTTAATAATAATAATCACTGCTGTTATTGTAACTGATTTGCTCCTTACCATGGCTTATTTTTCGACAAAAGAATTTGTGATTAAAGAATGGGTTCTTTGTCTTTTTCTAGGTATCTTTCTCTTCAGGCTACATCTCCTCTGGGCATAAACGATAAAGTGAGATTTGCTGTAGAAGAAGGAATCTGTGGGGAGACAGAAACTGCTCCTAATTGCCTGACCCCTGCTGTGTGTTTAGTTGAAGATTTTTTACGAACTGTATATTTGAGGCTTTTTCTCTCTTCTCATCAGTACTTGTCGCTCCTCTCTGATGTGATGTCTTCTTCTCAGCCTCGTTCATCATCTCCTGCTTCATCGGTTACTGATGGTGGTTTTGACTCTAGTCTTCCATGTGAGCCTGATCTACTATGGAGGCGAAGGAAACAGAACAGGTACTTTTCAATTAAGTATTTATATACTTGTATTGTAAGTAGTGCTGTATATTTTATTGTTGAAAAATTCTGTGTTCCGTTATAATATCCTTACCTAATAAAATATAAACTACATTAATTAAATTAAGTGTTGGATTTAAAAACCTATTTTTTTTAATGTAAAAAATAAGTACTAGATAAGTGGAATAGGGAGGAAACGATATATTATATTACTGCATCACAGATATCTTCTGCCTATCTGTAAAATTCTTATTTTTATTTATGTATGAAATTGATATTTGACTTTGATGAGAAGATTTCAGTATATGAGAACAAGAAAAGGGAACGCATAATATTAAAAAAAAATCTATTGTGGTGCGTGTATCACACAACTTTCACTTACCACCCTCTTGGCAGAAATAAGCATTTTCAGACAAAGGGAAGAGAAAGTATAAATTATAGATGGTATGAAACATTATTTAATGAAGAAAAGAATAGGTGGGGTGGTCAGTCAGAAAAGGTGATGGCCTGAACTTCATGTTGAAACGTCGGCATATGTAAAAATAAATATTATCATTTATTTTTGCCTTCTTTTTTGACTGACCACCCCATCTATTCTAATCTTCATTATCCACGACAGTCCCCTTATTGGGTCTACCATTTACCAATTATGAAACATTATTTAAAACAATTAATTACCATATGTATTCAAATCTGCCAAGTGTATTATATTTGTTTTGTTCAACAATACCCATTTCTTTTTACAACTGTATATTTAAATTATTTATTGGATTATAATAAATAATTAAGATAAGAGTACTATTGATAAAGAAGGCTGCTATATTTATTTATATTTCACTGTAGGTATTTTTATTTGTTTTAGTACTCTGGTATATATACAAATTTTTTAACAAAAAAGATCAAGTGGCCCACTTGCTGAACTAGTTCCCCCACCATTACCGGTATTACAAATTATAATTTTTATACTGCTGTAATCTATACAATTAAATATTAAATAATACCAGCAATAAATAGCATTTATGAAAACCGCATATATAATAATAATAATAATAACCTTTATTTGTGCATACAATGAAAAAACAATGGATAAAAATATACAAAATCTCTTATATGTACAAAATCAACTTAGTTGAGGTTTTGAGTTCGATCTTTTTTTTTTTTTTTTTTTTTTTTTTTAACTTTCTTGTAACCACACTAGGTAATGAACCTGTCCCATCCTTTCCTCTCTAATGCTACTCTCTTCCAGGCTGCTTCCCCGCAGGTCTTCTTCATCTCCTTGTCCCAGTCTGTCGGCGGGCGTCCTCTCTTCCTCACGTGCTCTCTTGGATACCAATCCATAAACTGTCTGGTCCATGTTAATTCATTCCTCCTGATTACATGTCCGGTCCAGGTCCACTTCCTGATGAACACTTTTTCCACAATATCTGGAAGGTCATTCTTAGCTCTGATCCATTTGTTTGTTTTTCTATCCCTTCGAGTTATCCCCAGAAGATATTGCTCCATTCCTCTGATGGTTATCCTCTATTTGTGGCAAGTCTTCTGGTCAATTGCCCATGTTTCACAACCATATGCATATATATATATTGTAATTTATATTTTGGATATAGTTGTGATATGAGTTCAATATTGAAACAATTTGTTTCATCTGAAGGAACAAAGTGGATTCAAAGGTTTCTTGGAGGAGGAACAAAGTTGAGATGTATATTTGGCACCTCAAAAAACTCTCAATTATGGATTTTCATGTCCTTCTTTGGCGACATGGTCCATGTGTACCTGGGCTTCCTCCACAGCCTGACACCAAGTTATCTCAGATTCCCATCTACATCTTCCATCGGAATAGTGGCCTACCTTCCTCCTCCTCCAGGTTGTCCATACAGCACTTTTCTTGACACCTTTCCCTTCGGCACCCTCTCCACATGGCCCAGCCATCTTATACAGGACACCTTGATGGAGTCGACAGTGTCAGTCTCTTCGTATAATGCAGTTAGCTTCCGGTTATAACTGGCTCTCCAGACTCCTCTCTCACACTAAGGTCCATATATCTTGCTCAGGATCTTCCTCTCCCAAACTCTCAGCGTTCTTTTATATTCGGCTGTCATTGTCCATGTTTCGTTTCCTTCAGTTACTACAGGATGTATCATGGTCTTATACACCACTTCTCATGTCTTCCTTGAAATATACTGCAGAATTTAGTAGCCGCTGAAAGGCAAAGTAGTTTCGGTTTCTTGCAGGTATTCTGGTGCCAATTTCAGTCCTAACATTGTTATTGTTAGTCATGGAACCAAGGTGCATTGTTGTGAATTCTATGAATTTTCATAGCAATGGATAAATACAAATTTTTTTTGTTCAAAATGTTTGCCTTGGGCCAGTCTTCTAGCCTTAGATATTTTTTGGTAAATCATGAAAATTGTGATAACTTCAACATCCCCTCCACCTATCCACACAAACATCAGCAGAACGTTAGGGACCTGTAAACAAAATGAAATGCCACAAACTAGATCCCCGTTAAACAAATTAGATCTGCAGATATAAAATAAAAAGATTTCAGGAGTTTTTCTTTATTTATTCCTGTTTAAGGCATAAAATCTAAAATATGTTGATATGGTTTGGAAGAGCAATAATCCAGCTTTCCAATGGTTATAGTAACATTGAACTCTAAGAAAATCCTGAAGAGATATGAATCCTTCAGTGAACAGCATTTTCATTTCAGTGCAAAACTGAATTTAGAATTTTAAAAGGGTGAGACTAGAAACAAATTTGAATCGTTTTTTCATGACAAACATTTACTTTGCCTACTTTACTAAAAGCACCTTTGGTTTGGTTTTTGTAATTTATTATATATTTGTATTCATTTGATACAATCTGCAAAATGTTTTTCTTATTTTACACAATTAACAAATCAATTGATATAGTGATATGCCTATGAATCCTTGCACAGCTAAGGCAGAAAACAATAGTATAAAAAAAAGTTAATTTTTTTCTCATGTTCTAGGGCCCATTAACAAAAACCCTATGACATTGGTTTAAAATTTGTTCGACCTAGTACACCATAAAAAAGTTTTCTTCAAATTGGTGGCCCCATATCTGTAATCTCCCCTTGTTACATAAATATATAAATGCATATAATTATGTTGTAAGAATTTTAGTTATAATTATTCTTGTAAAATTTAGTGGACTGAGTTTTGGAAGAATTGACCAACTTGGAAGATATGAAACAGATATCGAGCCTGAGCCAGATAAGAAATCTGGTAAGATATAAACTTAATTTTATATTATTCATTTTGTCTTTTAAGGATTCCTAAACTTATAAATTTTATTAATATCTTATCAATTTATAATTGAATCAGTTATTTCAGAAACAACACTTGTAACATTTCTCGAAAACCACATAAAAACTATTTTATACTAAAATTTTCATAGAATAAAGTCTAAAAATGATAAATAAAGTAAACAATCAATCTATACTATTTATATATTGTGTTTTCTTACATTAAAAGATTTGTCTATGAACAGTGTACCCAAAACAAGTTTCAACTCAAAATCGGTAAAAATTACACAAGTGCTGTTTCAGTAATTACTAATTCAATTATTCTTTTAATAAAAATTAAAGGAAATTTCTTAATGAAAGGAAATTAAAAAAAATCATGCTCCTGATCCTATAAAATTTTAAAATGTGTTCATAATTTAATGCATCATATATATCGTTAATTATTTTGAATTGTGTTTATTTAAAAATCTTTAAGCAATAATATATTTATATACAGGAATGTCTTGTTGAGTAATTATGAAATTTGCAATAATCAATTTGTTTTATCTTTTAGAATCTCGTATCAGCCGTGTTGTGAAACTCATTTTGAATAAAGATGAGCATAAGGTAAGCAATGATTTATTTTTGTTTTTAAATTTTAACATTTTTTAATTTTTTTAAACATTTTATGCCAATTGCACCTAGCAAATTTGATATATTAGGCATTAGCTATGAGTTTGCTTGATTAGTTTTTCTTGTTGTCAATGTAGGAGTAGGTCTCTTGGGTATTTTCGTTTCATTCTGTGCCGATCAGGTAACAGGGAGCAGGCAATAGAAAGGACTAATGGATTGATGTGATTTTGAGTTGAAGAATGAAATGAATTGTAATTGTTGTGGATGTAGGATTTTACTGTTGGGATGTTTAAGTCGTTATGTAAACTATTATTTGAAATGTACCAAGGTGTATTAACAATTTTTCGTAGAATGTTTTATTGTGTTGTTTGTATTTTATTTATGTGTGTTTGTTTTGCCGAACCCAAAAGTTCTGCTCCATATTTCCAAATTGGTCTCAATATGATGTTGTAGATCAGTAGCTTGATTTGTATGTTAAGTGAGGATCCGTAGTCCAGAAGATGTGGTTATATTTTCTAGTTAGTTCTTATCTTTTTAATTTAGTATGTATGTTCCAGGTATGTCTTTTGTCTAAGTAGAGTTCGAGATACCCTACATAGTTTTAAGGCACTGGGTTATTGTCAATCGCTATGGGTGGACCTCAGACTTTCCTAAGAAAGTTACATGGGTGGATTTGCTACTGTTAATTTTAATTTTCCATTTTTCGAACCAGTTTTGAAGATCATAGAGATGGTTTTGAAGGGCAATTGATGCAGTAGTAGGATCTTTGTGGGAAGAAAGAATTGTAGTGTCTTCAGCGAAGGAATAGCCGGTAGTTCTAGGATTCTCAGGGATATCAAAGGTGTATAGTGAATAGAGAATTGGACTTAAGGATGCTACCTTGTGGTACGCCAATTTGTTGAGGGAAGAAAGAGGAATCAGAAGGATTTTCTCAAAAGCAACAGAGATAGTGTCTACTATCCGATGACACTGTTCCACAGTGAAATATGTATCAAAGTATCATCTATCTTGTAATGAGGGTTATTTTAGGCAAATTTGAATGTCTTTGCATGGCCATCATATTAGAAAGCAACAACTTTATAATGGCAAACAAGGCTTATTTTACATAAAATGGTTACACTTTCATAATTAGATTTCTCAGATAGTTGTTTAAAGTTATCATTTTTAATTCTTATATCTTTTATTAGGTGATTTTATTATTCCTCAATTCGGAAGAATTATTGTGATGGTCAATAAAAGTGGTAGTTTTTTTTCGTTCTTCCACTCTACAAGCTTGGTGTTGCCCTCTATAAGCCGCACCAAACTGTTGGCTGTTGGATAGAGGATGACACTGTTCGACACATGGAATCATATGAAGAGATGACGCAACTGACTGGCAACAATTGTCAACTTGTAGCATGCGGCAAGGAGGCATATTTTTTGTCGCTGTGTGTTCCTTCTACGGAAAGGCTGTGTGTAACATGCGTCAATGCCGCATGCTACATGTTGCCTAAAAGTTGCCTCAGTGGAATTCCGCCTTTATACATTATAAGAGGCTATACAAAAAATTAACTTCTTAAAATGCAAAAACTTACCTTTTTTATGTAATAGATTTTTTTCTTAGAAATACTTCTATTATTTGTATATTGTTCGTATTGAATATGTCAATATACTACATTTATGTATTATACCAAATGCATAGGATATCAAACTATTTTATTGACTTGTAATTTTCTCCAGTGGTCATCAAAATAGCTTGATATCATCTTTATTTTATCTAATTATATTTCATCTTATTTTTTTTTCACAATTTTATTTTGTAATTAACCATTTGGTAAATTTATTGAAGGCACAAGAAGAAATGGCTTGGAGAGTTGCTGAAATGATCGTAAAAGACATAACGAGTATTACAATGGGAACTTCTCAATCCGATGAAGATTTATAGCTAGTGATTCTTAGTGCTGTTATATTGTTCTTTATCATCTAGTCAGTAGATAAGTACTCTCTATATCCATTAATGTCTAAGGTCTTGATGGTGGATTTTATTTTAACCTCGTCCAGGTTATTTTAACCTGGTGGGTATTTATGAAAATTAGAAATATAAGCATAATGACAGGGTGGATGTTATTAGCAATGTTTCAACTTCAAAAAGAAAAAAATTTTGGAACGTAATTGAAAGTCTATATTTGAAGGTATATTCTTATTTCTCAATCTACTAATCTACTTAATATTACTAAGTGTATTTTCTGTGATAACTGGAACGAGTAGTAGGCATAGATGCTGTGGATATTAAAAACATCCAGTAGTTAAGTTTATTATCACAAACTGTTACTAAATAATGTAATACAGTTACTTAGGAACCAATGTCACATGTCATCTAATTCATAATAAACGGAAATGAATGGAAAAGAGGGATCTGATAAATTAGTATATGTAAATACAAATATATTTTACAACACAAATATTGGTGCTTTTATGTTGTTCGTTAAAATATAGTTTACCAAGCTGTTGAAATATGTCTCAAAGACCCAGCAGTTTATATTTCCGTGCTTTATGTTGACTAATTTGTATATACGTCTATATTTTATTGTATTAATAAACTTATATGAATAAGTGTGTTTTATCTAGAGTTATCTATTTATATCAAAATAAATATTAAATTGCATATTTTTGTAAAGAGGAGCAATTGCATTATCTTGTAAGTAAAGTACTATTAGGTTTAATTTTATATTGTGTAAATATTTTATCCTTTTTTTTTTCCCTCGAAAGAAATAATTATTTGTCTTTATTTTGTTTATAACTTTTATTGTTCTTTAATATGACGAATTTTATATGTTTTATAAGTTTTGAAAAGAATTGATTGTAAATGAATCTCTTAATTGTTGATAGATATTTATCCTGTGGATTTTAAAGAGACTGGATTTTTAAGCAGTAATAAATCCTAATTTTTTTCCTAAGAAATAATTGTGAAAAATCAGCATAAATAAAGAACTAAATAGGATAGTTTGTATATAATGTTAATATAAAATACAAACAAAAAATATACAGCATGATTTAAAAATTTATTTTTTCCAAATTATAATTTCGTAAACAAGGAATGAGGGTGATAATCAAATTTGTTTACTGTTTTTTTTAAACATAGGCACTTTGAAATGATTAAAACAAAAATGAGAAATATATTTTTTTCTTAATTTGTGAAAACCAATCGAAATCTTTTTAAAAAGTTCTGTTTTCATCTAAAATTTGTTATATTTTTTCTTATCTTGTAGTTATTATTAAACTAAAATTTATTTATATATAAATAATTATTTGTAATTAAAATGAAGTTTATAACGAAACCAACAAAGGATTTGCCAATTTATTCAAATGTAAGACTTCATCCACTAATATGAAATAAGAACATGTATTCAATATTATTTAAAGTAAATTTAGACTGATCTTTGACTAATAATTAAAAAAAAAGTACAAAAAATCATCATCATAAAAGCATTAGCATAAAATTCTGGTCTCTTAAATTATATGGCTGTCTGGCCCAAAAATTTTTCCTACTTTTTGCATGTTATTATTTTCTTATGTTATAAATTTTAAAGAAAACTAATCTATTACAACATTCTTTTAAAACATGTTATTTATAATAATCTAACCATTATGAATCATATTAGGGGTACATTAAAAATCAAATGGAAAATTTGTGGAATAACATACAGTTTATATATTATTTACGATTTTCTTGTTTTCTAATTGGTAATATTCCTTTAAGATTTTTAGATAACTTTACACAATGAAAATAGACTAAAGACTGAAGGGTGAACAAATTTACTGATAGATTAGGTAGATGATATAATCATGTTTATTTAAAAATTAGGTGTTTTTTTTTCTTTTTAATTGCTGATACAGTTAATCATCAAAATGTTTTATCCAATTTAAGATAGTTTAGTTTAATATTGAATATACATAGTCACTGTGGAATTCGCAGAGCAAGGAAGATAGACGTTTTACATTTATATTGAGTGATGATGATTTAAAAAAAAAAAATGAGCAAAAAAATTATTACCCTAATCCTCTTTTGCTAGGAATCCTCATGACTGTTTCGAAGCCAGCAAAAATGCTCTCATGTATTTTCTTTACCTCATTAATATGCTCCTATTTTGTTGGCTAGTATGTTTGTAGGAAATATCTGTTTTTATTTTGTTAATTGTAAAACATATGTATGTTATGCTACGGACTAGTTTATAATTTTTTTTATTTTCTGAATGTTTAACGATGATGCTTGTATATTAGATTTTTATTAAATTTGTTATATCTCAATGTGAATTCATGCCACACACCTTTTATATTTTATTGTTTCAAAAAAATGTACTCTTATCTATAAAGCCAAAATTAAGGTTATAGGCCAATTGATATCATTAACTCATTCTATATATAGGTCATCCATCGTTTAGTGAGTCAGTGATAAATACAAAATTTATTAGCCTTTAGACTTGTTTATGAACACACTTCCATTTAATATAACTTGGTACAGCTTAATTATGATTCAATGTGCATGAAATATTTTGCTAATGGTCAGATTAGAATATACTCATTGAAAAAAATACTCACTTCTTTTCTTTACCAACTGAACTCTTTATGGCTTTTTGTTAATTTATCATTTGAAGTGTATGTCCACTATTTTCAATTCGGAGACAAAGTATGATTAAAATATAATAGTTTTTAAAGAATTTAAAGAGAAAATATTTTTTGTCTTCAATTTTCTTATAAGTTTCTAAATTAAAATTATGTTGATTTTTTTTTTTAAATTGTTTTTCGTTCCATTTTTTTTCTTTCAAGATTTACAATTTTTCTTCTGAGAATCTGATGACCATTAAATTAGAAGCAGATGAATTACATAATAATTTTTTAAGTAATTAAGTAAAAAGAAAAAAATGTATTTCTTAAGAATTTGAATTTATAGTATATGTTCGATATATTATTTTGTTCATTAAACTATTGCAACATTCCTTAATTTTAAAATTTATAAGATTTGAAGTTAAATGTTTTATTATTGTTTGCGAAAAACTACATCCAATTTAGTAAAATTATTACGATTAAAACTTTTTGACCAATAAGATGATGATTAAAGAAGGAAATAGTTATTTTTTGACTGTATTAAAATGAATTCAGTTGTAAATTTAAAATGTGGGAGATCTAAATGAAAGTTAATTTAAAGAAACCTATCCTTGTTAGAAACCATATCATATTGACAATAAGAAAAACAAGACCCCAAAAAAACTGCTAAATTAACTTATATGCAAAAATTTATATTATTTATGAATTATTTTACTTTATTTTATATTCTATACAACAAATAAAATGTGATATAAAGGTATGTGTATAATGTTTACTAGTTAAGCACAAAATATGACATGTACAGTACTTATTGGTTCTTCATATTGTAAATTTAACAATTATTTATCTCTTCTTTAAAAATAAAAAAATATTCAGTTAATGAAGAATTCTTAATTTTTATCATATTGTTTTACCTTTCTTGAAGTATATTTTTAAAATTAAAACCACCATCTAGTTCAATAATCACTTTTATTTCTGATGGTTTCATCTTTTATCAGTTTAATTTAGAAATATTCCATCTATATGGTAAGAAGAAGCAGATCTCCGCAGATGTTCCTCATCTTTAGTTTTGTGTTTTTCATAATCATTGATCATCACTGCTGCTCTCACATAATAAGTAATGAAGTAGCCTATAAACGGCTGGAATATCACTTTAATATTGCTGATTCGAGACCCATGTGGAGGGTGCCTCGAGGAAGTCTTACGCATCTCTTGGTAGGGCAGTGAGCGAGAGGCGTGATATGGATTGGAGCAGGATTGGAGAGTTGTTTAGAGAGTGAGACGCCTGGACCAGACTCCCAAGGGAAGAAACAGCAACCCCACACAACATAGCGATACGAGAGATAAAGATTACGACGATGATGTTGCTGGACAATGCAACTCTGCATGATCAAGCAGCTATCCATATCGGTAATGTGAGGAACTGATGATTGTTTATGTTAATGGCAATGTACCTAAAATAGTACAAAAATATAAAATAGGTCGAGATGAGAGGAAGAACCTCGAAATTTAGGCAATGGAGATGCAAACATCTATAAATAAAAAATTAGTTTAAGATTTTCATATGCAATTCATCTAATACAAGTATTAATGAGGCTCCTAGAAGTAAAGGGATATATGACAATAGCGAAGTTTTGAGTTCATGATGATTTACTTAAACTTTTATTATGATATTTACAACTGTATTAGTATGAATACATCAAGTAAATTTGTACAGAGAAATATTATTACATGAAACACGCTTGTTGAGAAACTACCCACTGGTAGCACTCTAATAATGATGATTAAAGTTAAACTTCTGTAATTGCAATGATTTTTCTTCACTGTTGAACTTCTTTTTTATAAGTTCTTGAGTATTTCTTAGGCCACTTTGACAGTTAAAATGGATTTTGGTGGTACTTCCCTATTATTTACTACTAGCATCAAATTATTAATTATTCAAAACATTTATTTGTATTAAATAAATATTTTTTATCTAAGAATAAATAAATTAATCATTATTTAAAAGATAAAACATATGAATTTATTTCTTATTCAAATAAAATTTGTCCAACTGAGGCTTGTATCTCATGTACATTGAAGGCCACTATAACTCGGCACTTAGTGGACAAAACAGGTATATCTCTTAACTGTGAACTTGATTGACAAATTTCCAGATCAGCTTCCTTACTTATTTTTTTTTTAAATGCACTTGTATCCCTTATTATGAAAAGTGTCCTCATATAATTATTCATTTATTTAAAATGTTAATTAAAAACTAGTAGACCCATGTGAACAATTCGCACATCATATTATTAAGTGATCAAATGCCAAATTACTAATAAAATAAAATAATGCAACGTTTCAGAAGATAAAGAAATCAATTGTTACTTTCTCGATAAATATAATCGACAAAGCAAATAAAAATTATTGAATTCTTAATTTACTAAATTAAGTAAATAATCCATTTACTTCAGTTTAGGACCTTGTTACTTAGCTTACTCTGTTTATAATCTTAATAAGTTTATTCACATTGTTTATAATTTTTTATCTAAATATGATGTAAGTTCCATAATTCTCTATATCTTTTTGTATCTTGTCCGTCCGTTCTAGCCCTGAAGAACACTTGCAAAGTCAGGTCAAAACGTTGGCTTTTAATAAAATAGTTTTACCATTATTTAGTCCATTTATGACTGCCACCCCAGACCATCTCCTTCCTTGAAACAAAAATTAATGTCTGCAAATTTCAATAAGATGTATCTTTGCTAAAAATTGTCCAATTTCGATGATTTTTTTTTCCTCTTTTAAGGTATTTAGTAATTTTTTATATAATCATGGACATGACCAAGGGAAAAGTGCAAGTTTTGAGTTATTCGCATATAAAGTTTCATTTCTTTCATAACTTTTTTGCCTTGAGATATGTTTTCAATGTCAGTACTACGAATAATGTAAGGTTGTGTGAATGCGAACCCTTTACCTTGCATTATCTCGAAAATGGTACATTTTTGGGCTTAAGAACGCAGGGCCTGATATTTCCAAAGAAACTACCCAGGTCTTGTAGTACACATGAAAATCTTCAAAGCCCAATTTGTCCCGTATCCATTTACAGACTTACCACAATTCCAGTATTGAAGCCTAAACAAATGTTTGTATCAACTTTATTTATTTTAGAAAAAAAAATACAGCGGAGAGTACGGTTCGCTAACCCTCCATGACGGTACCCCATTCATGGTATTTGAGCATGACAGGAGCTTATATTTGGTAGAAAACCGAGCCTTACTGTAATAATATATGTGGGGATTTATTTAAACTGCAGAGCTACTGCTTTAAAAAATGGCAGCTGATTTAAAGAATATTAGGAAAATAATTTGAGGATGAAAACAGGAAATAGATTGTTAAAGTTGTTATTTCTTAACTGGTGTATATGGATTCAAACATACATTTCTAACTCGAGCAATCAAGAGAAAACTTTTTAAAGTTTTATATTAGAACTGAGACTAAATTTTAGTTAGTAAATACATAAAAATGAAAACTAGGGAAAATAAAAAACGAAAATCATAATATTTCTTAAATATATTTTAAAATATTTATTACAACAAAAGCAACAGTTTCACCCATTAAAACTTTCTTGTATCAAAAAGTATTAACACCTAATAATAGAAAAATATTAAATTAAATAAAATAAGGAATATATATTTCACAAATTACTTGCTCTTTGTTAAAAAAGAAAGAAAGAAAAAGTGGAGTCAGCTACATAATAATTTATACACTTTAATAAGAAACATACTTTTCTCTATACTACATAAGTCATTAATTTCTGATTTTCTTAATATTCAGAAACATTATTCAAATTTTATTTTACAAGCAGAAGCATATAAGTTAGGCTTTCAATAAAAAGATAGTTGGAGTAACACTTTAATGATTATTATGTTAGTAAATGGAGATTGTTAACACTCCTCCAAGATTTCTGCTTTGAAGACGTAGTCCCTCTTTTCTTGACTCTCAATGAAGTGATTCGATACTTTTCTTAACATATATAAGTTTATTTAACATTTAAAAAAACAAAACAAATGTACACATTTCAATAAAGTTATTCAATTTATACATTTTTACAGTGCTGGTAAAAGTTATACATCTCAGAGAAGTCAACAAAATAAAAATAACATGTAAAACAATTAGATCACATTTGTTAGCTGGTAACATTAAAAAGAAGCTACTGAGTCCATTTAAAACTAAAATACAGGAAGAGCATCTGGTGAGTCATGGAACCTCCTATAGATGGACTGAACATATGTAAATACACATTTCCAATCAGGCTTCCTCATCACCACCATATCTTCAACATCTAGGAGGGGGAAGATGTCAGCTTCTTCTCTGAAAATGAGTAATATAATTATTACATTATGAGTCAATGTAAGTTTCAGCCTAAAAAATATGCTTTGTCTCTCTTAAGCTTAAGTTCATTATAGTCTGTGGTACAGATCCCCTTTTTATCAAATTATTAACATCACTAAAACTTTGAGAATGGCTTTATCTTATCTTAACCTACAAATTTGTTATCTACGACAATTTGTTCTTAAAAATTGGTTGTTTTCTCATTAAATAAATTACTTCAATGAGGTACTACTAAAAACTCCTAACACTCATTTGCTTTCCACTTCAATTAAAAGCTAAATTAATCACAAAATGGATAAAAAAGGTGGCCTACAAAAATATTGGGCGTTTGGCCTATATAACCTCGTTATTTTGACATGTTGGGGGTGAAGGTGACGCCAAATGGTCGAATATTTTTGCAGACCACCTTTTTTCTTAAATTATCTTACGATTCAAGTGGAAAGCATATAGGTAGATAATTCATGAGTTTTTAGTACCTAATAAAATAGAAAATGTTTACCAATCTCTAGATTGAAAATGCCTAATTCCAAGAATTTTCATAAATAAAATAGTTGTAGGTTATGATGAGATGAAGCTATTTACCATGGACTATTAGTTTGAGAAAAAAATGAGGTTTTTGGCAAGTCCAATTAGTTAATTAGACTGCCAGAGATATTATATTTTATTGTATATAAATTATATTAAAAATAAAAAAACTTACTCAGCAACTCGAAAGGCGAGCTCGAAGTTGTATCGACGTTTTTCTGGTGTTAATGAGTCATAATCAAAAGCATGAGGGCAGAAATGATGGATGAGTGCACAAAAAGCTAAGCCGTTACTCCAACTAGTTGAGAAGTTTTCTATTTGGATGTTCTGCAAAATAAAATTATTAATTTATAAATCTTTTAAAAGAGATTTTACGAGATGAAGCTTTCATTTTTAATTTGAAACGAACTTAAATAATTATGTGAAGAGGAGTGAGACTACTTTATAAAAAAAAATAATAAAAAAATGAAAACTGCATCTACATTAAAATATAGCAACTATAGAGAAATCAAAAAACAATAAAGCAAATAAAATTGTAGCTTTGCAAACAAGGAGCAAAACAAACTATGAAACAAAAAGTTCACCAGTATAAGCTTGAAACTAAATATAAATGATATATCAATTTTATTTAATGTGCAAGTATCCTGATGTCATGCTAAGCAATATCACACCAAAAAAATGTTTTCACACAAAACTAATCAAAAACATACAAATAATACTTTTTGATCGTTGAAATATCTCAATCTTTAATTTACATAATAATCAAGTAAACCATTTCTAACTGTAATTTAAGAAATAAAAACCTGTAACATTACAATCTATGAAGATCTTGGGTTCAATACTACATTAGGAAGTACTGTTTCTTGGTCAATAGTTGTGCAGGAAGGTGATTAGACCGAGATCACGCTCCACCGCCAGTTCCCCTACCCCCTTAATTAATTAGGGGGAGAGTAGCTCAGTGGGTAAGTTTTATATCATATATTTATGATGTTTTATATTAGGCTGGTTTCTAAACCAGCCGAAGGCAGGAAATTATTAATTCTGTTTCATCGGCCATGGATTGACCCTGGGGTTGGGAGACCCTCCTGGGGCACATACCCAACCTCTATTAAAGTGGGTACTCTTAATTTAAGAAATACATTATATAAATATGTAGAGCCATGATAATTATTCATGGTATGATACTGTTAAGACGTTAATCACTTTTATTAATAATTACCACAATATTATTATGATTGAATAATTGCCTTTTTTATTAAAATGGCCATAATCAGACTAGCAATTAATTTACTGAAATATTTCCTGTTAAGCCAGAAAATTTAGTTCATTGATATTTTATTATTTGTTATTAAAAAGTGAATTTAAAAAAATATTAATATGTATTAATTAATTAATGTAGTTTTGAAAATTCTTCCCTGGGTTTACTACTTTGGTTATTCTGGCTTATTTCCCAACATAATATTATATTATGTTTTTCTAAATTACTTATTTAGAATAAGTTGTTTTCATTTAAGGATGGTGAAATAGATGGCTTCAAAAAGAAGAAAGGAGAAGTGAATATAAGAGAAGGGAATCAAAAATGGGAATCAAAATTGTTCAATGTGTGGATGAACATTTATGATACTTTTGCTAAATGTAATATTATAAAGTTCATGTTTATATTTTTATTAAATTTATGTCTGAATTATAGATTATCAGGAAATAATCAATGAGAAAAAAATTATTAATTTTTTTTAATCTATATTCCAGATATTATAATTAATTACCTCTATTATATCAATATTTATAAAAAAAATTAAAAACAAAAAATAGTTGGAGCTAAAGTAATAAGTTGAATAAAAATGATTCTATTATAATATGAATACTTAAAAGCTAAAAATAATAATAAATAAGTATATAAATTTATATTTTAACAATCAACAAAAACAAATTATAAATATTATGCAAACCAAATTATACAAAGGCATTTCTAGCCACAACAAAAAAAAAAGTACACAGAAACTCAAAAAACACCAATTGTGCAAAGCTGTTAGTTTGGTTAGCATTTTAGCTGACATAATGTATGGAGAAAGAGATACCTTATAGTGACGGGTCTGAGCTTGGACCCAGCTGAGAAGTCTCTCCTTAATGGTGGAAGCACTCTGAGCTAGCTTTGGCTCCGTAAACTTAAATAGTGGGGGAGGGCGGCCCGCGCTACGCAAGCAAACCCACCATTACCAAGCGAATCTTAGGTTTAGTAAAGCAAGTATCACAAATAACTGGCAGGTAATGAAACATGTTTTAAATTTCTCATATACTGTTCTACTTCTTTTTTTTTTAATCGTTAAAACGGTACTTAAATTGCACCTCCAATAGATTTTAAAAATTAATCGAGCAATTCAAATGTCCGAGGAAAAATCAATTTAAAATCTGCAGTATATAAGAATTTTAATGTTAAGGTTATGTAGAGTTAAATATAGATAGTAAACAAAGTTAATTGTGCATGAAGAAAATTAAAATGTATAAGTAAGAAATGGTTTTAATTTACATGGTTAAAGCAAGCTATTTAAAAGAAAATTAAAGATGTTTCATTATCATTGTTAAAGATAAAAAGCAAATCAAATATATATATTTTAAAATATCTACAACTACTTAAGCACATAACTATGTAAATGTATAATTAATTTAGTTTTGTTAAAAGTTATCAAGTGGAGGCAAAGAAATAATCACAGAGAGAAAGATAGAGAGCTTAAAGAGCTATAATGTAAAGGAAATTAATTCTGTAGATTTTATAAAGCCATTCAAAGAAATTAAGAAAATAGAGCAGAAAATACTTTTAAGACTTATGATTCATTTTTAAAGAATAGTTGTATCAAACTTGGTATAACGGCAACAAATATGTATTTTCAATGAATATACAAAAAATATATCTATAATTATTTTAAATGTCAAGCTTAAAATTCTCTTGAGAAAAATAAAAATATTTTGATGCAAATTAAAACAGTTACAATAGACTATAGATCATAATGAACAGTAAATAACTGAATATAACATACAAATGCTAAGATATTTCTTAAAACAAAAATATTGGCAAATAAAATTAAGAATTGGTAGGTAGATTATAAATATTGAGAAAATGATATTTACATCATAGATTGGATAAGTAAAATAATTTTTAAGGAAAAGATCTAGATTTTAAATTTTTAAACAATTTCAACATAACTCTACATTTCAAAGATTAGAATATTTGAAGTGTTTTACCTGGGTGCAGAATTTTGTCTTTCTAGCTGCCTAAACTTCGCAAAAGGAGATTGAACGCTGTTAGCTGTAAGTAAATGAATGATGTTTTCATTAGCAGCTAATATCAATTTCTAGATTAATATTAGATTGATATTTATCAAATAATTACTATAGATAAACAAAAATTTAAAAATTTGATCAATCAAGTTAATTTTATTATTTAATTTTTAAAATAGATTTCCCAAACCATCAATAATCAATTGTAAGATAGAAATAAAAAAGTGAATTATTGAAAGTTTTAAAGTCACCAATAATTTATATTAAACTTTGTTTTAGTGATTTTTAACTACAGATACTTTCATTAGCTAAAACAAATCAATTTTTCTTTTTAGAAATTTCGTCAAGAGCAATGAAACATCCATTTTTAAACAGATTGCTTTCGAAGACAAACTGCAGTATTGGGTTGACACTATAGTTTTTAAGACCCCTTGTTCTTTGAGCAAATATCATTCTTGGTTTACCAATTATAATTGAACTAAGTTAATACAGTGCACTAAGTATTTCATAAGTTCTAAAACAATCCATACTAAAAATCCCCCTTAAAAATTGCAATTAAAAATTGCCCTTTTGAAAATCTCTTTTTTTTTTTTCTATCAAAACGTCTTCATTTTGGTATACTTTCAACAAGTAAATAAATCTTAGAAAGTCCTCAAAACCAATGACTGTAATACATTATTTACTGACCATAACTAGTAAACGACAATGTATTTTAGATTTACAATAATATTAATAAATTATAAAAAATCTACTATTTTTAAGAAGTTTAAGTTATTTACAAAACGATTACAGTCACATAAAAATTTATGTTAATTAAAACACCTAAATTCAAAACAATAAGGTCTGTATAAAAGCAGAAACTCAAACGAACAAATATGTATCTTAAAAGCTGATAATCGATGAAGAAATTCCACAATATACCTCAATAAGTCTTCACTTGTTCTTGTATAATCATTCATAATATAGAAAAGCGCTATTGTAGAGTACTATTTTGAGGAAATATTTAAATAATACCAACCAGAAAGGGATGGAGAAGCAAGATTTAGAACACGAAGTTAATTAAAAATACTACTTCAGAAAACATCACAAAAAAAAAGTCGAACGTTTACTTATTGCTGTAAAAACAGAAGAAGTCTGCCCATAACTGATGATTTGCCACGATATTAATTTTAATTAATAATTCTGTATATTGAAACAAAAAGGGCCAATATTCAAAACTTTGAAAGGGAAGGGTATTCATTAATCGTTAAAGGGCCAAATGTCCTCCAATTATTAGCTATTTGGGGAGACTTACAATGGCCGGAAGTTAGCCCTTTTAACTATAACTGAATACCCTACCCTTGTTTCATTTATGCATTTCATTGAAATTAAAAGTTTGTTGACATAGGCCATTTTTGTTCCACAATAAATCATTAATAAACATTAAAAGTCATCATTATTAAAAATTGATGGAAATTATGTTATATTACCTATGTCACATATATAAATATTAAAAATGATGGAACATTTATTAGATAGACAGTTTCTTAAACTTTAATAAAAGCTTTTAAATGTCCAGTAGCATCTTTTGAATTAAACTTATTTTCAAACATTACAAATTATATTAATTTCTAGGTGAACAAATTACTTCACATCCCAGTGTTTGATTTTAATATAAACTCTGTAAATACTGCTGAATCAAAAATATTTATATTGAAAAGGCACAATGTTCTGTTGTTAATAGTGGATAAGTTATTTGATGCAGTTTGGAAAATATAGCAGGTTGGAAGAAAAGCAAAGGTTGTGAATGGTTGCATACAGCTTACAACTTAAAATGTTTAAGAACTTCTTACCTTTAGTAAGTCGGGCAGAAGATGTAGTTTTGGTGTGAACTGAAAAATGGAAAATATTTTTAGTTAAAAAATAATCTATGTGAATTACTTAAGTAATTTTTGATAGATTGAAAAAAAAAATAAAAAAAGGAGTCACAGAAAACTGTATCTAATCAATTTTAGTTTTCAATTTAAAGAAAGTTTTAACAAATTATAAAACATATTGCTAAAATAATCTATAAATAAACAATACATATCGTCGGTTTAAAGCAAAAATTCAATAAGTACATTTTTGATGGAGCTGAGCTTTTAACAACATTTTTTTGAGAATTTCGTGCATATTTATTGTTAATAAAAAGAACAAGTGTACTAGCATGACATGAATAATTTTATAAATCAAACATAATTACAACAAGCACACAATTTTCTGATTATCGAAAAGAAAATCCATCAAGTCCATAATTATTTAATGTCACTTAATGACCTTTTACAATAAATCAATGATATAAATGTTGACAATGTATCTCTAAAAAATGTTTTTCTTTAAAGAAAAAAATCTTAATGCAACAATGAAGTTACTAATGTAATCTTACAAAAAAAAAAAAAAAAAAAAAAAAATCACTTAATTACATATAAAAATAATATTCCATTTTTAATTTATTGAGTAAAATACTGTACCTTCTGTTTTCACAATAGCGTCTCCTTTTCTCACAACTTCAGATGATGACTCAGAAGATTCTGTGGACAAACATTAAATGTTAAAGTCATATATTACAATAATGGACAAGAATGATTAATTATAAATAATTTTTAGCTAGGCTTTTAACAATGTTCACTTTAGTGCCAGCTGTTTGTTGAAAATTATAAAAATATATAAAGTTTATAATAAAAATTATTTTTAGCCTATTAAGTAAGTAAGAAACTCATTAAAAGACACACTGTATGAAATACAGTTCAAATAAAATATATGAAATACAATTCAAAGGCTATCTTAATATACAATAGCTTAAGAATTTTTTTTTTTTGGAGGTGGAGGGGGAAAGGAAGAGACCAAATTTTTAAGTCCGGCACTGGCTTTTATCTGACATTTAATATTTGAAAAAGAATAATAGTAACTATTAAATAGTGAGAGGATATGCTGTAAATATGTAACTAAATTCTTAGGGAAGTTATATCCCTTGAATAGTGAACATATTATCTACTAATGAATTTTGAACCAAATATATCAACTTGTTTGTAGAATAGTTGAACTGATAAACATTCCATAGGTAATATTTATGAGGTATTGTATGAGGTACTATTATATACAAAGTCTGTGAGATGAAAGTGACATTTTCATTGAGAAATTCATACAAATAGATATGAAGAATTGTACAAATAATAAATTTGGGTTTCTAGAATGTTTAATTAAAAATGAAAAGTAATAAAAATTCCTTTATGAAAAATAAAAATCACACCTTAATATGCCCTAGTAAAATGTTACATTTAATATTAATAAAATAATTTTTAAAAAATTGAATAGATAAAATTAAAAAAAAAAAAAATGATTTAGGACTGTCTTAATTCCAATGAACCTCAAGCTATAAACTGTGACCTATAAGAACAGCAGCTAAGATGTTTAACAGAAAATACATGTGATCAGGATGACTAAGCAGGTATATTAGATATTATAAGAAGGAATAAAACTAAAGAGCAGACCAGACCAAGAAGTGGATATATGATATTAGGAAGAAAGCTAACATTTGAAGAATGGATTGGGAGCGGAAAATACTTCAAGGACAGAGATTCTGATCCAGTTTGGGAATATATCATTTTGTTCCTCATCCAAAAGAATTGGATTAATGCGTACAGGCAGTTTATTGGTTACGTCTCACTTTTCAACACCAACATTTGGTAAAGGGAAACAAGACTAATATTTCTAATCTAAGTATTTTTTTTTTCCAAAAGGGAGATAACCGTAATAGGATGTAACTGTTTCTTCACAGCTAGATTTTTTTTAATAAGTTATTATTGGAAGTTGGAAGAAGGAAGTTATTCAGAGCTTGGTGTACAAAACGATGAATTTCGAATAAACTGGATTCACATCAAAACATTTAGAAAACAAAAGAGGCAACTCATCAGCCTACCCTTCAGAATTTCAAGACCAGAAGGCTGAGAAGCATGTATAAAATTCAGAACACACTCCTCTAATTAGAGCATCTATCTTCACAACCTTGAATGCTATAACAATCAGCAAGAGCTAACATGAAAGACTAAACACGTGATATATGGTTAACAAAGATACCATGCTACTAAGCTACATGCAGCAAGTTGAACAAAATAGCATATAGAGAGCATACAACATCTAAAAGTAGAGTAGATTATGGATGACGAAGACATCAGATTTAAGAAAAATAGAACAAATGAAAATGTCACCTTTCAGTTCATTTACAAAAGTAATAATAAAAAAGAAAGAAAACTATTTATATATTTACAAAATATAATACACTAAACTATTAAAACTTATTAAAGAACATTTCTTATTAATTCAAACTCTCATGCAACAAAAGGATTTGCACATCAATTACCAAAATTATTCTTGAATATTCAGCTTAATTAGGCAAATATTGAGAGAACATTCACGTGCAATACTATTATAAAAGTAAGATTCATTTATTTAAGTTCAAAACAATAACAATCTAGATATTAATGTAATGTTTAGTAATACAAAGCAGAAAGTAACATTTTCAACAAGAAATATTCAAGAATATTTTTTTCTTTCAAGTCATATCTATCTACATTGGATATATAACTACTACATGGAGAAATAGAAAAATAAAATTGTACATAAATTTTCATTATAGCTACGGAAAGCTAAATAAAACTTTTTACTAAAAAATATATAAATATGTAATCAAAACATATATTACTAGCACTATTTGCAAACTTGATAATCTTAAAAACATAGAATTATTAATATCAAATGAATGAAGCAAAGGAAAAATTCAAAAGACATGTAACATAATAAAAACTAGTTACAGAGATGAATTTCAAGCGTGCTTATTCAACATATCAATAGTTCTGTTAAACTGAAAGCAATTACTGACTGAGGATAAAACAAAACACTGCTTGAAGTACCTGAGCTGATGAAGAACAATCATCAGTTTAAAAATAAAAATAAAAACAATTCCCTTATAACTGAGCAAAGTTATTTTTTGTAAAAACAAAAACCAAAAAAAAAAAGGTTTCATTACTAAATCAATTGGAGTCTTTTGATTTATCCGAAGGCTATGAAATGTGATATTAATGAAATAGTTTAGGCAACTCTACCACACACAGTAAGGTCAAATTAATCATCACACAATGGGGAGGTAGTCTGCAGCAAACCAAACTGAAACTCAACTAATCACTCACAATTATTGTAGCCTGCTAGTTCCGGATTTCTTATGCTTGAGAGCCAGACTCCTCTATTTCTTTGCAGATAATGAAATATTTACATCGTTTGTACTAAACTCTTCTATGATTCAATATAAAAAAACAAAAACAAATTCTAAGTACTGAAAAACAAAATCAGACATGTTTCCTCTAATCACAAAAAGTAACAAAAACAAAAGCAGTCTTCCGTGAATCTTGTTATCACTTACTATTTCTTTTCTTATTCGATTCTTGAAATATACTTTCAAAAACTTCATCTACATCAGTTAAATCATCATCTTGTTGAATATTAATGGTGTTGGTCGACTTGTACTTTGGATTGGTCTTAGTACTTTTGGTAGCTTTTGACTGTTTAGACAAATACTGACTAACAGTTATTTTCTTTTGTGTTAAAGTATCCTGTGAAAGTGCAGCTTCATATTGTTTTGGCAAAGCTAAAGTATGGCTAGACTTGGCTTTAGATATTTTTGGTAATGGTGGAGCTTGTTTCGCTTGTTGCATTTGCTCTTTAACCATTTGATGCCAAGATTCTGATTTCTGAATGACATTAGGAAATGAAGGGGACAAAGATTTTTTTTGAGCTGATTGCCTAACCTGAAGTTTTAGTTCTGATTCCAAATCTAAATCGAATCTCCTCCTGGTCCTATTGTTAACAGTGACTGCTTGTTGGCACTGGGCTTGACCCATTACTCGGCTCACAGCTTTCTCTTCCAGCGGACTGTCATCACCATTTGTAACACTTCCCCATGGGCTCTCATCTTCCTCAATTCTTAAAGACGGGCTCATGGACTGATAAGAAGGGGATAAATAACGATTATCATCAGGAAATTTGATACTAGATATCCTCTGTGGCGACATCCTATCCAGGCTGCTAGATACTGATAAACTATAAGGTGAGGAAGGAGCCAGATCTTCCTTAATTAACAGTGGTGAATCATTTATTGTTTGTGTCACATGATTAGGTTTGTCAGCAGAAATATGAGGTATATCATGCCTTTGGTCAAAGGAATCAGACGAGTTAGCTGTGTTATTACTGGAATAAATGTAAGCGGTATAGGGTTTATTTTTAAAATGTGAAGGATCTATGTAGTTATTTTGTTTATAAGTGTCACTATTTTCAGAAAAATTAGAATATCCAGAAGCTGATGAATAAATATCGTTTTTAGAAATTTTTTGCTTGTTATCACCTACAATAGAAAAATCATCATTATTTTGAATTCTGAAATTATTTTTTTCTAATTGCAATGTTGGTGAATGTTTATAGTCCTCATTACCGTATGTGTTTGGATTAACACTAGGGTTGTAAGGGTATTTGCCCGAAGAGCCGTTTATATTTTTACTTATTGTCTTTGATGAGACATTTTGAGGAGGGACAACGACAACTTCATTGGAAGAATGAAGCATACTCTGTTCTTGGCTTTTTGAGTAGGAAGATGACTGATAGCCATTACTGCTAGGGTTTGAAACTTGATAAGATATCTTATATTCATTTTTCTTGGTTGGAATACTTTGAGTAGATTTTTGATAATCATTATTTTGAAACTCAGCACTACAAGTGGAAGGCTGATATCCATAACTTGTAGAAAAATTATGTCCAAAATCATGGTTATTACTGCCTTGGTGATTTGTAATGTGGGTGGATGGTTTGTATCCACTATTTTGTGGACTACTATGGGAGTTAACTTGCATAAATTGTTTTTTGGCAGCCAAGGTGTTTTCCTGTGATTTACTTGGAAAAGCATTATTTGTGTAAGGTTGTGTGCTTGTATTATACTGGTAAGAATTTTTATTACTTTGAAGATTTGCTGAAGTTTTGTTCTGAGTAACATTATATTTTTGAATATTCATGGATTTTTCGTTATTAATATTAGAAGTATCAAAACTTTTAAAACTAGTGTAGTTACTATTTGTGGAAGGATGTGTTGTGATTTTGGAATGTGTTTTTTCAATATTATTTGATTGAGGGGAAGAGTTATACTTTTTGAAAGCAGAAGTAGTATTGTTAACGAAAGTGTTTTGTTTGGTATTTGGTGTGTAATTCGTATGAGGATGAGACACATTACTTTGTTTTTTACTACTTTTTTCTGGTCTCTTTTCAGTTTCGCTATCACTTACTGAAAATTTCTGAGCTGCGATTTGTTTTACAGTGCCAGATACAGTAGACACAGGTTTTTTCTCAATTGGCTTAAAAGCTGATTTGGGGGCATGATTGAAATTATTCACATGACCAGGTTTGGCAACAGTTAAAGATCCAACAACAACACCATTATCACCAGTTTTTACTGTCCATGGTAGTTTATTTTTATATTGATCTTTGTAGTCATTACTTTGATGAGCTTCACTGTTCTGCCAAAACATTTTAGCAGGAGATGGTACACTCATTTTGGGTTGTTCTGTATGTTCAAATGTTGTCTTTATAGAGGAAAATCTGTTGCTCCAATGTTTGCCTCCTCTAGCTGATGGATTGTAAGCTTGCATTTTAGGTTGATTTTCATTTACTTGTTTTAAAAAGGCTAGAAACTTCAAGTCGTTTTCAGTTTTAGGTTCAAATGTTGGGGGTAAAAATTTGATATCCTTATTATGGTGCTTCCTTTCAACATCTATACTCACTTCATCAGCAGAAGCTCCATATTCATCACCTGATGAATACTCAAAGAAATTGGCAGGCTTTGGTATATCTATAGTGTTTGCTCTTTTCATTTTGAGCTTCTTACTTGATCGATTATGAAATCTAGCAGCACTCGGATTTTTCTTGGCACTTTCAGTAGCAATCTGCAAAAGCCTCTGAGCTGAAGAAACTTCATTATAATTATTTGCTTCACAACTTTCTTCACCACTAGATACATCTCCATCATCACTGCTTTCTCTTCTTTTTCCTTCCTGACTGATTTGTTTCTTGATTGCTGCTTTATGTATAGCAATCTGTACAGTTTGTTCAGGAGTAAAAAGTCTTAAGCTGGGGTCATAATCTTGAAGACTCCCAGAGTCGCTTAGACTTCTTTCTGTTTTAGGAATGTATGTTAAAGTTGCCTGTTGAGGAGCAGGCTCCATGAGGTAACCAGGCCTTTGAAGAACAGGACAATAGTTAACATGTTCTATGACCATCTCCTCCAATGGTGGCTTAAGCCACTTCCTGGCAGCAGCCAATTCTCCCGGAGAAACGCCAATAGTGACACGTCGCCTGGGGGGAAGCCTGAGGCATGACTGAAGGGAGTTTACCAGCTTGGAGACAGCTTCTCGCCGACTAACATCCAAACCAGGAAGAATACATTCAAGTCGAACCAGAGCTTCCTCTACCTCTTTCATAACCTCAGGGTTAACACCTTTTAAATCCTCACCTGATTCTATACCTGAATCATCAATACTTCGTAAACCTAAAAACTCACCATGACTTTCTTCTACATCTTCAGGACCTCCTGCAACAAAATAAATATATGGTACAGTCAATAAGTGCAACTAAAATGTAAATAAATATTAAAACATTTTGATTTTATTCAAAAGACTTTGACCCATTGAAATGCAGTAGATCTTTTTCTTATTATTAAAAACCTAAATAGATCAAATTGAATGCAAACATACAATTTTTTATATTTAGGATAGAAAAAAGTTTCTTTAAGTATTTGTCAAAATTAATGGAATGAATTTGATTTATTATTACCTTTTTGTTCTGCCATAATGGTGCGAAGTCTGGCTCTCAGCTTTCTTCTTCCTTCGTAGTCAGAACAAGCTTCTAACTGGGAATTTATTGGTTATATTAAGAAAAAAATTTCAACACAAGGAAATTGTTAAATAGTATTAATTAACTATTATAATTCTTATGAAATGAAAAATAAAATTTTCAAATCATCTAAAAAAAGTGATAATAAGTAAATATAAAACACATAAGAAAATAATTTTTTGGAAACAAGAAATTAGAAAAACTATTAAAGATGAAAAAAATATTTTTGATTTAACTGAATGATCTTAAATGCTTTAAGAATCAAGAAATAATAAAAGCTTAAATAAAAACCAGTTTAATTAAAATAATTCCTAAGTTTCTTGAATCATGAAAACAATAGTTATGATTATGTCTTTTAGGCTAGTTATTCAGATATAAGTGTATTTTACAAAATGGAATACATTTATATAAAATACAATTATATACATACATAGTATATAATTTACAGATTAAAATGGTGGAAAATCAAACAACTTTTGATGATTAATTAACTACTTATTCATATCAATAAAAAATACCAATTTGATATAATTTTTAAATGTTTTATTTAATTCATTTTATTTAATAAATATGAAATTTAAAATCAATTTTCAATATTCTTGTTTGAAGTGATGAAACAAGAATATTAAAAATGAAGCTGGACTGGGCTGCATATATAAAGTGCTCCTGTCAGAAAATTTTTGTAAATGTTCTCTTTTAAAAAAAAAGAGAAAATAAAAATAATATGTATATTTACACCTGCAAATCTATAGTAGTTGCCAATACAGACAGGAGACTTCAAGTTTTTTTTATTTTAGGATTGTGACTAATTACCTTCGAAAATAGTTCTGACTAATTACAACAAAAATTGTAATTATTGTCAATAAATATTTTATATTGTCACTGATAGTAGTAATCATGATATATATCATTAATAATTTGAAAAAACAATAAGATATTCAAAACTGCACTAATAATTCCTATAGCGATGAAATCAACAATTAACAAATTCATAAAGAAATAGATAAATAATAAAAACGGAATATAAATAATTGGTATTTACAAAATATTAAGTACTTAGGGAAAGATTTGAATCTTTGTGTGGCATTATAGTTGGAACTGTCCAGCAGGAATAAAAGAATTTAGAACTAATTTTTTTATAATTTACACTTAATTTATCCACAGTGTAGTGCAATTACCTATTTAACATAAGAAATTAAAACCAAAGTAAGTGAAAAAATGACTGGTTGTTAACTGTGTTAAATGATAAAATTAACACTTACTAAAATTCGTAGCTGTTTTTCGTCGTGTATTTCGTCAATATCGTCTTCAACTGATCGTACAGACGTGGCCTAAAACAAAAAAAAAAAAAAAAAAAAAAATCAAAAATTAAATTAAATACGCATATCTCTTTGCTAAATATCAACTATATTTAGTGTAAGCCTGATACATATTTTACATTTTTCAGTAAAACAGTTCAATTTCTTTAATTGTTGTATATATCTGTGTGGGAAGTAGTCCCTGGATTTTACCTGTATAGTTACCTGATCAAGATGATATTACTAATAGAAATTTCAAACCAAATTATTGTTAGAATATAATTGTCTCCTTAGTTAACCTTATTATTACTAAAATACATAAAACTTATAAAAAAAGAAGTAAATTGCCTTTTCAGTTAATATATAAAAACTGCTTCAAGTTATTGTTGTTCTATTAATTTAAATCATTTCTTTAAAATTGTTACATTTTGTAATAAAAACATGATAAATAAATTGGAATGTTCCCCAAAGTTGCCTTACAGACACCCATATGTACTAGCGGATCCAGGATTTAATTTTTTTGGGGGGGAAATGGCTTCAGTCCGAAAGCTCTTTTTTCATATATATATATATATATATATATATATATATATATATATATATATATATATATATTATATATATATATATATATATATATATATATATTTTGAAAAAAAAAAGAAAGATACTAACTACCTATATGAAATGGTGATTCTTGAAGTCCTATTAAATGTAATTACATGAAGAATAATACTTGACGAGATGATTCTTTAATATTTCTTACCATAAAAGATGGTTACATTTTACCATTTTGGGGGGCTTCAACCAGAAAGACCTCCTCCGGTAGATCCGCCTGTGCCCATATGTATTTGAACAAACATTTGATTACACATGCATGTAAGAATAATAAATAAATGTATTGATATTTTGCCATTAAAATGGATTTTACTTTAATCAGAATAAAATACGTAATTAAATTTTCTAAATAAAAATTACTTTCCAACGAATCATTCTAAAAAAATAAGTTCAAAAAGGTAACATTCCAGATTTTTAATTAAAATTTTCCATATTGAATCTTATGGCTATCGTAAATTGGAAATAGTTGGGCGTTTGAGTTAAGAGGAAAAGAAAAAAAAGAAGTTTTTTGATATCTTGGCAAGAAGCCAGATAAAAACATCGGAAATGATACAGTTCATTTACATACCTCCAAAACAAACAAAAATGCAAAATATCCTTATGAAATTCAACTGTTTTTTGACTTATATATCTCTTTGGCGTAGGAGTTTTTCATTTTTCCAATTTTGGATACGTTTAAACTCAAAGCAGATACTCTTTTCGGATAATTTTAATCGGATTCAGTGCAATAATTTATAGGAACGAGCCATAAGTGTACAGAAACATTGAGTGGTGACGAAAGCAATACGTTTAATTAAAACAGTAGTTTTGGAATCGGGGGACTCGGTATAATCTAAATTATGAGTATTTTTTTAAAACTAAAAATCAAACCAATAACGACACAATTATTTTACAAGTTTGCTTCTCGTGTTGCATTGTCTATAAAAATATAAAGAGAAAACAATTAAAGACTCCATCAGTTTAAAGTATTTCATAAAACGTAACTGGAGTTCGGTAGTTGCTGAGTTCTGGGGACTAAGAGAACGATTTAAAATGTAATTTTCAATTCCATAAGTAGAAATGTATACATAATATTCTTAACAATAAATACGATTATAAAATAATAATATTTAAAATAAAATGAGGAACAATATTTGAAAACTATAGCATTTAACATGGTTACCTCAGCAATGTTTATCATATTGCCAACTTGCTTACGTTACATCGTCCACTTTGTAGATATTTTATTTTAAGAGAAGTCTACTAAAGATGAAAATTCAACAATCGGTAAAATTAAAGAGAAGGATGGTTGGGGTGATCAGACAAAATAAAATAGTAAAAATAAATAATTGTATTTATTTTAACATTCACCGACGTTTCGGCCCGAAGTTCAGGCCTTTATCAGGGCTATGAAAAGAACCAGATAACAATAGGTATAAGAAACTACAAACATTGAATAATAAAGAATTAAAATTAAAAAAGGTGAAAGGTATAGACTAAAAATTCAGGTAGAAAAGCTTAACGTAAAATGAAGTAGATGGAGTGAACATTAAAGTAGGTAATAATAATAATAATAACAGTAACAGAGAACTAAGAAATAAATAATAATAATGGTAACAAAGCATGGACCAATGAAATAAGCACACGGCGAATTTGAAAATAAATACAATTATTTATTTTTACTATTTTATTTTGACTGATCATCCCAAACATCATTATCTTAAATTATTCGCTACAGTCAACCACCATCCCACATTAATTAGTAAAATGGTTTTGTTTTTTTCAAAATTACACTAAAAAAATAAGTTTTACAGCGATTACAGAATAAACCAAGAACTTCAATCTGAGAATTACATACAAAATGATCGGGGTAAGTCATACGATGATAAAATATGAATTTTATAGATATATATATATAAGAACAATTTACCAAATCCTGAGTGTTTTGAGTCAATGAGTATATATTTCAATTAATCATAATCGTTAAACATTAATACAAGAAATTGTTGAGGCTTAACATGATGTATTAATCTTGTTATTTGGTTGATACATGGAACCAAATCAATTAATTTTACGTTTAGAACTTCTTTCTCGATCTACTAAATGCATTGAATAAAAGTATTCAATTAAATTTACGCAGAATTCAATGAATTCTCTGATCGTTATGAATCTCTTAAAATATATATAGCTTTTATAACTTATAAATATATAATCTTTCTTTTTTAATGGACGAAACTAATGAAAAAGCAGCACTACATTTTTAAATAAAAAACAATTAAAAAAAATCTTTATTCTGTATTATAAAACAATTAAAAGAAACATAGTACCTAACTATTTAGGAAACGTAATTGAGACTTATTTATTAAAATAGGAAAGTGAGAAAAATATAAGACATAATTTTTTCCAAGTTTTATTTTTACGGTTCATCTAGAACCATACATCAACAATTCAATAGATGATAATATTAAATTGTAATGATAAAATAGGAAAAGCCAAAATAACAGCCAGTTCAAAAACATGTGATTACTGTGCTCTACTTTCCAAAATTTAAAATAGAATTTATGGGGGAGGGGTATGAAGTCGCACAAGTCCGGTATACTGGATCTAAAAATTCAAGCAATATTAAAGTTTGTGGATTAATGGTCAAAAGAAACAGATTTGTTGACAAAAACCTAAAATGAGTTGTCATGAACAATGTTATATCGAAAATTGCAAAATATATACCAAGTACTTTAAATCAATAAATAAAGAAAAAACTTTAACTCCATATAAACATTTTTATATGTTTCAGTTCATTTATAATAAAAGTTTTCATTTATATAAAATTAAAAAATGAATGAAATTTAACGAAAGCAAAATCATAATTGTTTGTATTATATTTGATAAATATCAAACATTAAACATTTTTTCAAAACCTATTCTATTGTTGAAGTAAAATATACAAGTCTTTCTGTGAAATATTTTTTTTTTTACATTTCCTCCAAATGTTGATAAATTCCTCTGAAAAACTTTTTTTTTAATTTATATTTATTAAGAAACAAAGTTAGCTAAATTTTTATTGAATTATAAGTGTGAATTTATACTGTAATAAGTTTCTGTCGTTTTAATGGAGGGCGTTATCAATAACTTTGGAATCAGTTGCACATAGCACGAGTGGCGCTGATCTATAATAAATAAAATGGAAGGTAATATAACAAGAAACTAACGATGTAACGATAATATCATTAATAACTATTAGACTGTATCAAAATAGAACCTAACCGGCTTATATAAAAATTTCAGAAACATGTCAAGTATCAGAATAAAATCAAGTAGGAAATGCACATTGCTGGTAATGTATCCTCGCACATATAAAGCACTTCTTACTGCAATTAATTTATAAGGAACAAGTTATTTATTTTGTATGGATATTTCATATGAAAAAAAAAGAAAAAAATCAGAAAATATAATACATATTGTATGATTAGCAAAAGATACTCACTCATTGACTTAATGTGTAACCAGTTGAGGACATGAGGGAATAGTTCCGTGGCGGTGATAACTGGTTATTGACTATAAGAAGCAAAAGGCGCCAGAACAATGTTAAGACATCGCCGAAAGGCAAAGACTAAATCGTCCGCCTTCTAGCTGACCAAAATAGGCGCGAACTGCGTCAAACGGTGGTCGCTATTTCTGTACGCTAGTGCAGGAGCGAGGAGATAGGGAGCGCTCGCTCCGACCCCTGACCACGGGCAGCTCTTCATCAACTGACCTAGCCGTCCTGGAGGGGAGTCGTTACTCGGCTTGTCGAGGATATGCAAATAATGGAGGAATAATAACATTGGAACTCCGGGTCTTGTACTAATCGTATCAAAGATAGTGAACAACGAAGATTTGAAAGGGTTGCTCCGCTGAATGTTCATCACGCAGGGGAAGAAGATTCGTACAAGTGTGATTTGACTAAAAGAAGGGTCGGGTCAGAGGTGCCCAGAAGTAAGTTTCGTAGCCCAAGTTGTGCCATCAAAATTTTTAAGGGGGCCATATTTTGAATTTTTGAGGGGGTGAATTTCAACGGGGTTATGAGTTTTCGGATTAGGAGAAAACACGGAACAGATTGCAGCAAGTACATGTGTATGATGTACGATTTTTCAAATTTTACCTTAGCTTGCTCTGGTTTTATGAAAAGGTGAACAATAAAATATCTTGTGTCTCGGCAACACGACATTCCTGTCGGCGGTTATACGGTATACTTTTGTTTCATTTAATTTCACTCTCACAGTCACAAAGAGCGCGATAAACCGCTGAGATATCGTATCGCCGGACATATCCGCGTTCTGTGTGTTCGAGCCTTAATCATCTGATGTTTACGAATGTTTTTTGAGGTTACAAATTTTATATTAACGATAAGACAATCATATGATTTGAGAAACTTGCTGGATTGGTATTCGTTTAATGAGAAAAAAAAAAAGCAAAAGACAAAAATAGTCAAATTTCAAAACCAAAGATCTGAGTCTTCCAAAGTCAATATTTCACCAATGCATCATCAGTAAAGAAAAATATATGATCGCATAATTTTAGCCTGGAGCCAGCACATCTTACTTCAATAGTCTAAGAAATACTAACCGAATAGGGCATCAATAGATTCAGTTCGACGTAAATTTAAAGTTTTTTTTCGGTAAAAGGGAGAAACCACGAACTTATCCAATCCCAAGTTAACAAAGGAGCCATATCAAAGCGTTTTGTACTTACGCACTTTCCACTCGTTTGGACGATATGTTCTATGGATTAAAATATACCAGTTTCTTTGTATATAATTTTTGAATTTTTAAAACTTAAATATAGAGAAAAACAGCAATTTTGAATGACTTGGACGATTTCGAAAAGCAATAAAAATACTTCTTGTACACTGGCAAGCGCGTATTTGTATTGCCGTAACAATTTATTCGTTTTCCTTTTGATATTTATTGTATTGCCTAATTTCAAAAATAAAATAAAAGTAATTCATTATCGATTAATTAATTATTATTTAAAACAACTTGGCCAATGTACTTTTGGATTAACACTATTAACCTTTTGCGTAAAATTTGTAATCCATATTGTTTCTAAGGAAACCTTGTCATATTTTACTATCATTACTAAAAGACTCTATGGTTTATGGAGATTGTCATTTTGAATACAAGGAAATAAACTTCGACCTTTAAATTTTTTCAAACAAAAATATTGATATAACAATAATAATTCATACCAATCAAATTAAATTAATACTAATAATTACAAAATTTGTATTTACAATGTTCTTACAATTTTCTTATACTTTTAAAAATCAAATTAAACCTTTCCTTAACGTAAAAATTCTAAGGTTACTTATTTTGTGTGAGTAAAACGTTATAAAGTTTCACAGCCACTTGGATGAATATTGTCGATTCTTTATTCCTCAAGTAAGAAATCTTGTAAGAAAACTTATTATATTTTAAATAACCATGACAGAGCGGGTACACAGCTTGCGGCGGCACTCTGGATCATATCCAAAATGTTTGGAATTCTACCATTCCTCTTATGAAGGAATTTGGCTCCATGGAGGGAAGCATACTAGTCCTATGTACACCACTGTAATACATACCATACATAGAGTATATATGTACATAGAGTTGAAATAGAAAATCACATTATTCCCATACCATCATATTATTCAGACAGTTTTACTTTCCTACCTATACTAGGTAAGGAAAGTATTACAATTGGGTCAAATTTTCGATATGCAGTTTTCGACGGATTTATACGTTTCAGAGCCCCCTGTTCCGAAAAACACATTTTTTGCCATTGGCCTGTCTATTTGTCTATCTGTGCCAAGATTTTCTCGGGAACTACTGAACCGATTTTGTTGCTTCTTTTTAAATTTTGTAGAGTTTTGACTGTGACAGAAATACGGTGTTCCATGCGCAGTAAATGAAAAACATGTTTTTCTATAGACTGTAGCGCAAAAACGGTTATAACGATTTTAATGAAACTTTTACATAATAAAATTCCCTACAAAACTATATAAATATCGTTCATTTTGGACAACTATTAACGAAGTTACAGCTATTCAATTTCTAATGTAAGATTACGAGTATATATCCTGGTGTCAGGAAGGGATTAATGAGAGAAAAAATATGATTACGTGAAAGTAAGAAACTCTGTTGCCCACATCACACAAGCTTCACTATTTTTTAATAACATTTTTGATCAGCAATATTAGAGAGTATTGAAATTTCTATACTGGTCTACCTTAAGCCGGTTTACATTGCTTTATTTTATCAAATAAATCGCACTCAAATCTTTTTTAAGATCAATTTACAGGAAAATAAATCTAGTTCAATTTTTTTTTGTTTCTTCATGAACATATGTAAACACTTTTCAGAAATATGTAGGAAAGTCGTGTGAGTAGACACACTAGATATTTTTTATTGGACAGGTTATATGAAATTATATTTGGATTAAAAGAATTAAAAAAACAAAACAAAAAACTGAGGTGTGTGTTTTAGACCACACGATAGAAGTAAAAACACCAACAAGGTGAAATTAATAACATGAAATATTATTATATTACATACTATTATAAATAATAGTTCATTACAAAGAGGATGAAATGATGAACATTTCCCTCGCTAATAATATGCAGGTCCGATTTTTAGTATCAGAGATATTTTAATCCATATCTTCCATGAAACTCGTTATCATTTGGTTTCGACACAATTTGTTTCCTTTTTGCCTCCCTAGCCGGCCGTCGCATTAAGATATAATTTTGAATAATAGTTCATTACAAAGAGGACGAAATAATGAACAATCCCTCGCTTACAGTATGCAGGTCCGATTTTTAATTTTTGAGATATTGTAATCCATACGCAAAAACATTCCAATTAGCCGACTTTATCCGAGTGTTAAGCGTCGGAAATTTGACGGCTCAATCTAATTTACTATTAACAAAAAAGTGCGCCTAAAGAAGTTTTCAATCCAAAAATTACTTAAATATACAAAACACTTTATACAAATCTCCATTCCCCCCTCCCTTTATTTACTTTTAATTTCCATTAGTTTTCAAAATAATTGTTAAGTTCTTAATTATTATAGACAGATTATAAAAGATAAATACAGTTCTTTTCTAGAAAACAATAAGTTGAGGCTTTTTAGATGTTCCAATATCTTACAAATAACGAGGGATATGAAGGCAACTAAAGACAACTTTACTATCACTGATTATGAGACGACCAAATTTACATTTAAACAATAATATACTAATTTTTTCTGATCCTCCATAATTTTAATAATATACTAAAATATGTATGATGCAACATTTAAAAAAAAATCGTCAATTTTAATTATTAGGTATGATGGAGAAAAAAAGTTAAATGTAATAGCACCGCCGTTTTGACGCAACATCATTTCCAATTAAATCCTAAGAGAAATACAAGAAGTTTCTTAAACAATCTTTTCACCTACTTCAGTGAGTATGAGCTATTTATACATCGCTCACTAATGAGTAGCCAAAACAGAAGTACTCCTCCACACAACAGAACATGACATAGGTATTCAATGTGTCATCTCATTGCGTTGTACTTAATTATAAAACAAATTAACAAAAACACAGTAAGGTTCCTTTCTTGATTTAGAATTCATGAGGTGAACCAAACTAATATTTAATTTTTTAAATATTCCTTTTGTTATTAAAATAATAATAATAATATGTAAACAAATATAAAATGTAGGAATATAAGTTACGATAACTGCGTTCGAAAAAATAATTGATATTTCTGTTTTTAATGGTTGAATTGTGAGAAACAACATTGCCTATATATCCAAATCCACAACTAATTCCTGGTGATTTTTTTTTTCAGATCAGAGTGAGAGATGATTATTTTTTTTTTTAACTTTTCATACCTTATTAACTACATAATTACAATAAATCCAAACATATTGAAAATACAAAACATCTTCTATCAGATAATCTTCTATAAAATTTTCAGAGGTATTAAATAATGTTGGCTAATATTAGTTCAAATATTTTATTATTGAGGAACCGTAAAAAACCGTTTAAGTACATTTATTATAATAAATCTGACAAAAAAAAAAAATCATCAATTTAATCAAATTTACATAGAAACACCCCGATAAATATAAAATAAAAACGCATTACAGATGTAAACATGTTTTTCAAACAAAAAAAGTGTTGTAAAATGTATTGCAATGAAAAAATAAAAGGTATTTTACGGCACTCTTGAACTAGTATCCTGTTTTAATAACTTATATTCTTTATATACTGATTTTGCTTTTAAAAATGAGCATATAATGTCTAAGAAAAGAATATAATAAAATTAAATTAAGCTTTATTTAAATTATAAATAAATGCATTGAAGTTCCGGCTATAATCTAGGTTCACTTGAAGCCAACAACCGGTTCTTGTTGCCAAGACAATGCACAGAATCCTACCGTTATAATTTAAGTATTTATGCGGTATTGTTTTTACAAATTCTGCAAAACCCGAAAGATTTTCTTGTTTCATTAATTGTAATCTATAAATGACAAACTTTTCTTTACGTTTAACAAACAGAATTTTCTACGTTTTTGCAAAGATCGTTGAACTATTTACATTGCATGGCCTAAGATCTTAAGAGATTGGGCGGAAGATGGCCAATACAGATATCCTATGGTTAGAATTTACTGACTTATACGATGCCAAAAATAAACTAATGGATAAAGAAGATTAATCTCTTGCACAGACAATAAATATACATTCAGCACACTCACTCTCCAACGATTTCATTCGTTTAAGTAAATGATTGAGGAACCAAAAATAACTTTAGTGCGATATATAAATGTTTACTTAGTTGGGAAGCTTGCTTGATCTTTCAAATAAATAAGAATTATTTAAAGAGACTTCATCAGT